ACGGCCGCCAATTGTGTTTCCAGTGCCTGAATCTGCAATTGAGCTTTTGCTAAAAGGCCATCCTTCTCGTCAAACCCTTTGTGATCTTCCTGAACAGCAATCTCTTCGTGGGCACGTCGTCGTCTAGCTGGTTGAATTGAACTACCTGAACCTTCAGATCTTGCGAGCGCCTCGGGTCGACCACGCAATCTGGGATGTGTCTGATTGCCAGTCACTGGTGGGTAAGTGGCTATTGAATGCATTGGCCACATTTTTCGCGTTCTTTTGCGTCTGTTGCTGTTCTCCAGCAGAAGAGGGCTCAAAAGTGGCTTCGCCATCGACACCGGCCACAAACCCGTCGCTTTCCAGCCACCCTTGATGTTTGACACAGTGAGCGCTTGCTCGCGTGCTTTCTGGTAGCAGGAAAGAAAGTTTTGCTTGCCGACTGGGCTTGAATCGGTCAGGAGGCTGAGAAATCCGACCTGTTTGCGGTAGTAGTGCTTAAGAGCGGAGAAGACAGACAAATCGAGCGGTTGCAGCACATGAGAGGTATGGGGAGGTAAGAAAGAAGGTGAATCTGATGCTGGTAGCATAGATACATGAAGTCAACCGTCTCGTGACTTCCGTGGCCGTCCAATACTAGCAGTCTTCGCTCCGAAGGGTCGGGTGGCTGGGTTCTTGAAATGACCCCTTTTTCGAGCCACTCCACCGCAGTTTGGTCCGAAGTCCAGCCGTTCTTTGTCGCAGTGAATTGCCAGTCACTAAAAGTACTGAGATCTTCTGGGAACCACTGTTGCTGGACCGATTTGCCCTTGAAAATGACGGGTGGAGGGAGGAAGGTGCCGGCAGCGGACACGCACTCGATGAACGACGTCCAGACCCGAGAACCAGGCGTCTTCTTTTGTACAGATCGTTTTCAGCACTGCCAACGACCAGGCCATTCTCCCCAAGTCCTTCCATGATGCCTGCTTCATCCATGTTGTACCTGTTCTCCGGCTTAATAGCCAGAATCTCGGAAGGAAGAAATTGTTGAACCAAGGCCGAATTACCTCGGTAGAAGCGCCGTTGACACGCGCAGAGTCTCTGTGATGGCACTTCTGGGTCCGAACTGCAGGATTTCGTCTTAAAAATGCTTGCATCCAGTGTTTTCCGAGCGGTGTGTGGTCTCCTTTGACGGCGAGCATGCGCTGCGCGAACTGCCTGATCTGCGAGTGAGTGGGAGGAAGGCCCAAGGCGTCCTGAATGAGAATCCATTCGGTAAGTTGCTTTTCCTGTGTCTGAGAAAGCCTCTGAAGAGCAGAAAATGCATCCTTTCTGCATTCGTGACCATGCATGCGATTGTAAAGAGTTGCCCTCAGGACGCCCCAATCGCGAGCAGCCTTCTGGCGGATCCGCCATTGGCGATTGCCTCAAGGGCGCTGTGAATGTCAGACTCTGTATATTTCATCAGTAGTGGCTTGAAGACACATGCGTCAATTTTTTAGCAGATTGGATGCGTTTCCGCGGTGAAATTTGCTGTTGAAGTTGACGCAGCCGTTTAGGTTGGGCACCCATCTTGGGTGCCCAAAACAGGGGGGTGCCCATTTCTATGTGCAGGGACTTAGCTGTCTGATCATTTGTTCAGCCGAAGGCTGACTATACATTAATCAGAATAAGTTTCCCAATGCCTTGAGGAACGAAAGGCCTTTCTAACGTGCCCCGCAGACCCCGCCCTCTCCCCCCAAAAGTTCTCCGCCCCTTGATTGGTCCCTTGTGATTGGTCCCTCCTTGCCTCCCTCCTTGTTGGTCGCTAGGGGTGATAGACGAAGGTGAATTTTTTGAAGATTTTGAATGAAGGATGAATCAAATGAATTGAATTTTTTGGATCTTGATTCAAAATCTTCAAGCTCCAATTTTCGCGATTCAAGTTGGGTTTGGGCCAATTCAGGCCATTCATGAATGGTTTGAAGGATCCCTAAACGAAGTGAATTTGGTGTGTACCTGAGCGATTGCAAAGATGCCTCAAAACGCCAATAAGTAGTATATAGTTTTAAGTTATAGCCTTCTAAGAAGTCGATAATCCCGAATACTACAAAAATTAACTTACATAAATACTGATCCGCCTGTCCTAGGCAAATCGACTGAAAATAAGCACTTTCAAAGCTCTGCCGAATCCTCAAAATACGTCGGTACAACGCGTTCGAATCCGCCACTGTACACGGCTACACTCTTAGAGCCCCAATCCTCCGAAGCCTCCATTGTATCTAGACAGGGGGTTGATATCGCAGACTTATCGGCTTGGGATGCAGGAGGTTTGGGGGTAGGGGGTTCGGTGGGAGCCTCGGTGGGAGGAAGAGGTTAAGGAGGATTCTCGCCTGAACACAGATTAGCATATACCTACATATATAATGAGGGTATATCCATACATACCATCTTCCAGCTTGCCCGGAATGTGGTCTGGTCTCCAAATAATACTATTGGCAAAGGGCAGGATGTCATACTCCATGGCCGCCTTAATCAACGCCTGATCGATCTTATCTTCCTGAGTATAAGCACTCCGTAAAAGTGTTAGTACTCGCACCGTATCTGCCTTCAAGGCGTGACGGCGGATACCGAATTCGTCTCTACAACCGCTAAAGAGGCGTTCCACGTCAACTTCAGAGCCAGAGACAGAGAGAAGATCACGCGCCGCCGCAGCCAAAAGTGGCCACTCGACCTTGTGTTCTTTCCACCACTTCAGTAGGAAGTCTGGAGACTTTGCAATAGACTCGTCGAACTCTATTCGAGGAGCTGCAAACCACCGTTCAAGCTCCGAAATAGGGATCGCCGCGCCCGTCTCCGCCTCCCTCGCCTTCTTCATTTGGATGGCTCTCCATTGCGCAATGGAGACTCCTTGAGGACGCTCAGCTGGTCTGGATTGGCTCATAGTTGAGTTTGTGGCATTCAATGCTGCTAGCTCCGGCCACTCCGTTTTAAAATACTTCTTGACTTTAGCCATAATCTCAGAGTATTGATCCGGTATCATCATTTCCAATTGGTGAGTTTTATAACGCGGATCCAGGATGTGAGCTGCGAATAGCATCATTTGATCGTCAAGCTTCTTCATATAAGTAACGTGTTTTGCTTTGCCCTTCGAGAAGGCGTCTCGAATGGACATATCAAGGTCTGTAAAGTCGCCAACTCCTTCGACTACATCATCAAGGAGAGCTTCCAAATCCCAATAGATATCGAGACTTTGTGAGATCGGCGGCATAACTTCGGAGACTTTCAGAGTGTGGTCTTTAAACGGCTTCAGAACCTTCCGCAGTTGATAGAGAGCGACAATCTCTTCTGATAAGGGCAGGAGGCACTTGACTTGCGGGTGAGTATCAACGAACTCAGTATACTCTGCCTCAAGCTCGAGGAATTGGTCAATCATGTCGTAGGCCGAATTCCAGCGAGTGTCGACATCGTAGGTTGGCTTCCGGTAGTGCGTGCGCGGCATGCTTTTGAAGTCTTGCTCCCTAGACCCGGATCTCAACATCCAGAGATTGAGGAGGCGGATTTTGGCAATCCCACTTCGACTAGAGTCTCCCGGAATGGTGTAGTTGTTGCTTTTATTCTCTTCGTCCCACTTGTCAAGCATCTTCTTGGCTTCCTTCGCTGTGCCTGCTTTGAGATCTTGCAAGACGCCCTCACAAATGAGCGAGGTAATATGAGCTAGACAGCGGATCCAACTCTTCCTGCCGTGAAAGCGCATGGGGCCTCCTATTGGGCTCACCTTGTCGTCGAATTTGGTCTTGAGAGAATCGTACAAAGACTGACAGAGCGTGCCGTTATTGCCGGCGTTGTCTCCCGTAATGGCGAGAAGCTTAGGCTTGAGCCTGAGCTCCTCAAGCGTCCTCTCAACTATCTCAGCTAATTGTTTGCCAGTGTGAGATCTTTTGAGCTCAATAAACTCAATAACTTCCTCTCTCTCCTCAAACTCCGGTGTAATCCAGTGCGCAATAATGGCGAAAATGGGCACCCGATTCGGTGCTGTCCAGATATCAAGGGTGAACGAGATGGTGGCACAATTGTACTCAAGCTCAATCTTCAGCTTCTCCTGCGTTCGACAAAGTCTGTATATATATGATTGCGTAACGTTATACGACTCCTGTACACACATGTTGTGTTGTGAGCCAAGAACATCTCTTGAAAAGCAGGAGTCTCGACAACAGAGAAGGGTTGTCGGTGTTTTACAAACCACCGGCGGATAGACTCCTTTGCTGTGAGTCTTGCTCTCTGCCTAGGTCGACCGCTCCATGCGTCTGCCTCTGTATAATCTCCTCCACCAATGGCGCGGCCGTATCCATTAATTCGAGCGTGGTGAGATTCCTTCGTAATACCGTGGATTTTTAAATGGTCTCCCATGCCAGAGGTAACCCTCGGCGGTTCTATTCGAGGACCTGGAATCTCTTCCGAAGAGTATTGGGATTTTGAAGGCACTCTATACAAGTCCACCGGAACTCTTGGAAGATCTTCGGCCCATCCTTATCCTCTGAGTAAAAGCTTCTGTCTATAGCTTCCTCTGCATATACCAATAGACGTGGCTGTTCTTGTCTCTCTTCTTGCGAACATGCTTTTGTTTGTTGTCGGCCCACTTCTTGATAAGTCCGGCTTTCTCTGCGAGCGTCATATGACTACTGTTCAATGGCGGCTCTGGTGTATCCGCGTCGGGCATGTCATCATCTGACTCACAGTCAGGATGACCCGGGGGCGCGCAGACAATTGTTCAGCCCGAAGGGCGTTTGCCTTGAGGAACGAAAGGCCTTCTAACGTGTGCCTTGAGGAACGAAAGGCCTTCTAACGTGCCCCGCAGACCCCGCCCTCTCCCCCAAAAAGTTCTCCGCCCCTTGATTGGTCCCTTGTGATTGGTCCCTCCTTGCCTCCCTCCTCGTTGGTCGCTGCCCTTCCCCCGGCTTCTGTTGCCTTTTCGCGTGCCTTATCCCACCACTAGGCGCCTCCCACCCTGTCTGCCGCCTGCCGACTCTTCCCGCCTGCCGAACTCTTCATCGCGTCACCTAGCGCGGCCGCCTTGACTCTTCAGCATCACCGTCCAGCCAGCGCAACGCCTCCTCAACGGTCCTCTCGCTCAGTACCTCGAGCCTGGCCTGTGCGGCAGTCATCTCCTCGGGGACCCGGTTGCCCACCAAGTCTCTGTCCCGCACCTTGGACACGAGCATGATGCCGTCTAGAGTTCGGCAGCGCGATAGCTGCACGTACAGGCCGTACGGGTCGCACTGCGAGGGCACCACCGTTCCATCCATCTTCGTCGTCCGTGTCCCTCGCAGCTCGAGGGCCACGCGCTCCAGCGTTTTGCCCTGCACCTTGTAGTCCGTGCACGCGAACGCTGCTGCGCACGGCAAACCCTTTCGGCTGACGTCGTTGCGTTGCTACGGCCTTTTTCGCTGGCACTGTATCTTAACGGTCATGGGTGTCAACAAGATCGTGCCCGGCGGCATCCCGACGAAGTGGAGATATCTCGTCGTCTCCGATTCGAGAATGATCCCCGCCGGCGGCCCGAAGTGGATCGTCATATCGGCCGAGATCCGATGCCCCGGGTACGCCTTGTCGACAATGACCTCCACCGCCGAGTAGCTCGCGCCGTTCACTAGCTTCAGCCCCTGGTGGGTGTTGTGGTTCACGACGATGGGCATCCGGCCACGAACATGAAGACGGCCGGCACCGGGATCGCGCTATCGTCGCCCTGGTTGAGTATCATGATCGCCTCTTCCTCCGTCGGCAGCTCCTCCTTCCACTTGTGCTCGGAGATGAAAATGCGCATCGTCGACCGCTGCTGGACCCGGAACGCCAGGCTCGCCTCCATGTTCAGGTTCCACCGATTCCTATTGAGCGGCGTCACCACGGTGATGCCCGTCTCCCAAGGATCCGCCTTCCTCCCGGTAGCACCTTGAGTTGAGGAGGTTTAGATCCGTCCGATCCTGCACGCCTAGACGGATCCGCTTCAGCAGCCTCTGCAGCTCCGGGTCGCCGGCGGCGCGCATCTGCTCGTCCAGCATGACGACCGTCGTGAACCTCTTCCACAGTGCGTGCGCTTTGTCGTGCTGGTGACGCTGCTCGGCCTTGAACGAGTTGTCTACGTCCCACGAGATGGCCGCGCTAGGCAGGACGATCGACCTCTCTTGGACCGGCCGGAACTGCTGAAAATCTCCGCAGAAGAGGACGATGGGGATCCCCCCGAAATCTTGCCGCGATCCGCGAAGCCGGCGAAGCCGCTCGTTCACGGCGTGCAGCGTCCGCGCCCCGAGCATGCTCACCTCGTCGATGACGAGCATATCCTTCTCCTGCCAATCCATTCGAGACTGGCCGTGGATGAACCGCTCCGCCTGTTTCGGCAGCCGCACCCGTCAAGGTCTTTGACCATGTTCGCGCCCCGCCCTTGGTCTTTAGTGAACCCGCAGGCGGAGTGGATCGTGATGCCGTTGATCCGCGCCGCCGCAGTCCCCGACGTCGCCGTGATCAGCAGACGATCGAAAGGCTCTTTTACTGAACAGCTCGACGAGTGCCTCGATGATTCGCGACTTGCCGGTACCGCCCTCGCCACCGACGAACTGGCGCAGCTGGCAGGCATCGCCCCGTCGGTCTGCTGCATCAAATCGAGCTGGCGGCATATTATCAGAAAAGCGATGGACTGCCTCTTGTTCAGCGTCAGCCGTGTTGCCAACACCTTGCCCGCCGCGAGGAAGGAGGTTGATGGGCCAAACTGAACGTCCATTCCCGCCCCTGCGTCGATAGCGGTCTCGTCGGAGTCGGCCATCGTCATTTCGACCTCGTCCTCCCCGAAACCGGTCATCACCCTTCGCCCTTCCACTTGTGCTCGGAGATGAAAATGCGCATCGTCGACCGCTGCTGGACCCGGAACGCCAGGCTCGCCTCCATGTTCAGGTTCCACCGATTCCTATTGAGCGGCGTCACCACGGTGATGCCCGTCTCCCAAGGGATCCGCCTTCCTCCCGGTAGCACCTTGAGTTGAGGAGGTTTAGATCCGTCCGATCCTGCACGCCTAGACGGATCCGCTTCAGCAGCCTCTGCAGCTCCGGGTCGCCGGCGGCGCGCATCTGCTCGTCCAGCATGACGACCGTCGTGAACCTCTTCCACAGTGCGTGCGCTTTGTCGTGCTGGTGACGCTGCTCGGCCTTGAACGAGTTGTCTACGTCCCACGAGATGGCCGCGCTAGGCAGGACGATCGACCTCTCTTGGACCGGCCGGAACTGCTGAAAATCTCCGCAGAAGAGGACGATGGGGATCCCCCCGAAATCTTGCCGCGATCCGCGAAGCCGGCGAAGCCGCTCGTTCACGGCGTGCAGCGTCCGCGCCCCGAGCATGCTCACCTCGTCGATGACGAGCATATCCTTCTCCTGCCAATCCATTCGAGACTGGCCGTGGATGAACCGCTCCGCCTGTTTCGGCAGCCGCACCCCGTCAAGGTCTTTGACCATGTTCGCGCCCCGCCCTTGGTCTTTAGTGAACCCGCAGGCGGAGTGGATCGTGATGCCGTTGATCCGCGCCGCCGCAGTCCCCGACGTCGCCGTGATCAGCAGACGATTCGAAAGGCTCTTTTACTGAACAGCTCGACGAGTGCCTCGATGATTCGCGACTTGCCGGTACCGCCCTCGCCACCGACGAACTGGCGCAGCTGGCAGGCATCGCCCCGTCGGTCTGCTGCATCAAATCGAGCTGGCGGCATATTATCAGAAAAGCGATGGACTGCCTCTTGTTCAGCGTCAGCCGTGTTGCCAACACCTTGCCCGCCGCGAGGAAGGAGGTTGATGGGCCAAACTGAACGTCCATTCCCGCCCCTGCGTCGATAGCGGTCTCGTCGGAGTCGGCCATCGTCATTTCGACCTCGTCCTCCCCGAAACCGGTCATCACCCTTCGCCCTTCCACTTGTGCTCGGAGATGAAAATGCGCATCGTCGACCGCTGCTGGACCCGGAACGCCAGGCTCGCCTCCATGTTCAGGTTCCACCGATTCCTATTGAGCGGCGTCACCACGGTGATGCCCGTCTCCCAAGGGATCCGCCTTCCTCCCGGTAGCACCTTGAGTTGAGGAGGTTTAGATCCGTCCGATCCTGCACGCCTAGACGGATCCGCTTCAGCAGCCTCTGCAGCTCCGGGTCGCCGGCGGCGCGCATCTGCTCGTCCAGCATGACGACCGTCGTGAACCTCTTCCACAGTGCGTGCGCTTTGTCGTGCTGGTGACGCTGCTCGGCCTTGAACGAGTTGTCTACGTCCCACGAGATGGCCGCGCTAGGCAGGACGATCGACCTCTCTTGGACCGGCCGGAACTGCTGAAAATCTCCGCAGAAGAGGACGATGGGGATCCCCCCGAAATCTTGCCGCGATCCGCGAAGCCGGCGAAGCCGCTCGTTCACGGCGTGCAGCGTCCGCGCCCCGAGCATGCTCACCTCGTCGATGACGAGCATATCCTTCTCCTGCCAATCCATTCGAGACTGGCCGTGGATGAACCGCTCCGCCTGTTTCGGCAGCCGCACCCGTCAAGGTCTTTGACCATGTTCGCGCCCCCCGCCCCTTGGTCTTTAGTGAACCCGCAGGCGGAGTGGATCGTGATGCCGTTGATCCGCGCCGCCGCAGTCCCCGACGTCGCCGTGATCAGCAGACGATTCGAAAGGCTCTTTTACTGAACAGCTCGACGAGTGCCTCGATGATTCGCGACTTGCCGGTACCGCCCTCGCCACCGACGAACTGGCGCAGCTGGCAGGCATCGCCCCGTCGGTCTGCTGCATCAAATCGAGCTGGCGGCATATTATCAGAAAAGCGATGGACTGCCTCTTGTTCAGCGTCAGCCGTGTTGCCAACACCTTGCCCGCCGCGAGGAAGGAGGTTGATGGGCCAAACTGAACGTCCATTCCCGCCCCTGCGTCGATAGCGGTCTCGTCGGAGTCGGCCATCGTCATTTCGACCTCGTCCTCCCGAAACCGGTCATCACCCTTCGCAACGCTGCGCGGCGATGGCTTTCCCAGGCGGCGAGCGTGCTTTGTATCCCTTGGATCATCCTCTCCTCTCCTTCGAGGCACTTACCTGCTGCGACTTGATAGCCTTGACCTGATCCTGCGGCGGTAGTGCGGCCCCGGAAAATACCCGCCCCGGCATGCTTAACCGCCTCTCCTCGTTCGATCAGCGCCGTGGCCTCGAGCTCGGCCGTCGAGCGCAGCGCCGATTGCTGAAACCGACAGAGCTGCTGTATCATTGCCATGAGCTCCGGCGACTTGGCCGTCACCTGATTCGCTCCCACTGCACCTCGGACGACGTCGATGAGCCGCGTTGCGTCTCCGATGCTGTTGGGCTGATATGTCGCTGCAGACTCCGCGCCCGCCTCGCCTGCTCCACCCTCCTCGACGTGTGCGACCGTCGGGTCGCCATCGCCGGACGAGGCTGCCCATTGCTTGGCGTCGCGTTTTGCGTCTTCGGCGGATCGTCGAAGCAGCTGCACGTTGTCGACGAGACATGATATTCTCGGGGCCATAGCGTCTCGAGCCCGCGCCCAGATGCTGTTGATCTCACCTGTTCCTTCGCCCAGGAAGGACTCCACGGCACGAACAGCGCAAGATGCTGCACGGCTGCCCTTCAGGGGTGGGTTAGCCTCTCCGATAATGCCCGCTGACAGAGCAGTTGCCATACACACCTCCGGTAGCACGACTCGTCATCGTAGGTGAAGTCCTTGCTCAGGTAGCCGTCGAGGCAGACGGTAGCGTGCTTGCCCGGCCGCCTGAGCACCTGAACCCAGCGTCGTCCCGGCGCCCATCCATCCTCGAAAGACATCTCCCCCCAAGCCGCCCAGCTCTCGTCGTTGCCGATGCGTTTCAGTCTGACGATCGATATGTAGTCATACAGGCATAGGCCTTTCAGCAGCTCTCCCGGTGCTGGTACGCCTCGACGTGGGAGATTCTCAGGCCTTCTTCTTCGACGACGACCGACTCATCCAAGGTGTCATCCATAGCCGCAGCGCCACTGGCTTCTCGGAGATGCCGCCATCGCCGAAAGACTTCCCAGTACAGCAGAGAACAGTTCAGGTACGCCCACGCGCTGCTGTCGGTGAACTCGGCCGGATATCCGAGAAGGTGAGCGACGACCTCGACCTGTGATAGCGGACGCTCCGTGAACACGCGGTTCGCCACTCTCATCAGGAACTGTCGCGTCCTGTTCCCTTGACAGGGTCATCGGTGGCAGCGTCTCCGCCACCGTCCCGCCCTCCGTTGGCCGTGCCATCACCTGTTGAGGCGGCCAGGAGCTCGGCCGCGGCCGCCACACGCTTCCACACCGGGTCCTCCACCTTGGTCGCGTAGTTCGTGACATAATAGATGAGGGCCATTGTCTTGCGCTGCGTCGCAATGAAGGAAATATCATGGTTGTGCCGGGCCCGACAGCAATAGCCTCGTTCCATCAATTGACCATGCTGTGTGTCCTCCGGATCTGCAGCACCCCGTCTGCCGTGAGGGCGGTCTTGTCGACTAACCTCCATGGCGCCTTGAACCGGCAGAGGTCCCTTTCCGCCCTCCTTTGCCCAAGGAATACTTCACACAGGTCGGGCTATGCGTGTGCACCTGCGTCGCGCCGGCACAGAAGTTGGCCTCCTCGATAAACGCGGCCGAGAACTGCGCGGCGTTGTCCAGCAGGGAACCAATACCGCCCGTCACAGATCGCTCCGCTTGCACGGCGCAAAAACTTTCCTGGTCCAGATCCTGCCTTGCACGTCAACCCGGCCCCACTTGGCCATCAGAAGAGTACTTCAGGCTCCCGGTGGCACATCTTAGGTAGGCATTCTTACCTCTGAGAAGACGCTATCGATGTATCGGACGATTCGCTCGCGATACGCCGCCTGATCCTCCCCGTGGATGTCGGCAAGCATCGAGCTGAGATGCGCGTTCCCGTGCAGCCAGAGCAAGCCGTGAACATGAAGCGCCCTCGTTCGTTCGTCTCCACGGCGCCATAGTACTTGCCGATGCGCCCGAATACCGACTCTTCACCGACCTTCACGTAATGATCGAAGAACAGCTTCATCTCGCGGTGGAAGAACACGGCCGAGCTCATGGGATCCGATATCGCCAGCCGTGCCCGCTTATACGCATCCCCAAGGCCTTCTAAGAACTCCTCGGCCGCGTCGGGATCGCGTGTGCGGTATGCCGCCAGTCGCAGCTTCACCGGGTTCGTAATGTCGTTCGGGTTGATGGTGAACCAGATGGCCGGCACGCCATATCCGACGATGAGCGACTGGATTTTCCGCCGCATATTGAGACGGACCTCTCGACATGGGCTGCCGGTGGCCGTAAAGCGAGAGGCTCCTGAGAAGCTCCTTCACGTCACCATCGGTCGTCTTACCCGAGCTCTCCAACTCGACCCTCGCCGCCGCTAGCCTTTCTGTGGTCATCGAACGCACGATGCGCTCTACCTTGCGGAAGTTCTTCCTCCCACACTCAACATGCTGACCCGGCGGTTCCTCGACCGCACCCCATGTTGAAGACGAGAAATGCGAAGATGTGGTGCAGTGCAAATCGACCACCATGGCGCCGGAGCACGATCTCGGCCCACGCCTGAAGGTTCAAGCTTCGAGACGATACGGGTCTCCGCGGCCGCCTCTGCCTCGACAGCCCTGCCTCGCAAGTTGGCCGTGACCTTCCCGCGTCGACCATGGTCTCTTCAACCAGCCTTGGTCCCCAACGCCAAATGGGAACAGGGTCGGGAACGTCCTGGCAAAGAAGGACGCCTCAAAGGAATCGGTAAACTCACCCCCCCGCGAAACCCGGATGTATGGCTCACAACCACCGTCGCCACGCCCCCGAACCCCCCCGGCTAGGGACCCGACCCACGCTCTCGGGCCCGCACGGCCGTCGTCGGCACCTTCACCAACAGCGTCACAGGCAAACTGCAGCTTCTCCACGTCCGCGACGTCTGGCGGTCCGTCGAGCGCGAACATGCCAGAAGACGTCACCTCGTTGATCGCTGGAACGTTCTGGTCGGGGCAGGCGTCACTTCCATCGCGAACCGCGCCTTCTCCGTTGGGCCCGTGACCTTCACCCTGGCCGCCGGCTTCTTGTCCTTGGTTGAGCAGGGCGAAGAGCTCCTCGATCTCCACCGGCCCTCCTCGTCCACGGCGCGTTCCGTGGGCGGCACAACGTGCGCCGTCCGCGCTTTCTCCCACCCAGACGGCTCGTTCCGCTCCATACGATCGCACACCGACGACGGTACCCCGTGTATCGAGTCTCCCCAGCTCTCCATCTCCGCCGCGTCGATCTCGATCTCGGCGTAGTGGGGGTTGTTCCGCTTCAGCCAGACAAGGGCCCTCTCGACCACCCGCCGCCTCACCGACAAGAGACTCGACAGGTCGCTCGGTGCCGGCTTCTCCGCGCCCTGCCACGAGATGTGGATCTCGTCCAGTGCTTGCAAAGGGGTGCGGGAGCACTTTGGTGGCCAGCTCCTGCACATTGTTCGGAAACACCGTGATGTGGCCCTGACATGCCTCGGATACTTCACGCTCTGCCTCTGCCCGCCCGGAATGCTATATCTCGTGACAAACCCGTAACATGAGTTCAGCGAGATGAGCTTCTCTTCGACCGGCGTCAGTCCCTTGAGCTCATCGGGGAACATGTGCTCGCAGCCAAGGCGACTGTGAAGGTGGATCGCCGGCGACAGGCTCCTGCGCGCCAGGCATCGGCCACACTCGGCGCACACCGACACGGACTCGCCCTCAGGAAAGCAACTCCGGCATGAAAATGGTGAGCGGCCGCCCTTTGATACGCAACTTGACAGCCAATGATCCCATGTAATCTCCCTCAACTCTCCTCTCGTACACTTGCGGTAGCACACCATGCAGGTCCGTATCGGCAACGTGCTCGCATCGTGGAACGCCTGATAGAAGTCTCGCACCGTCGACACCTTCCTCTCGAGCGGTATTGGCGTGCACCACGTCTGATCGTTAGACAATCTCTCCTTCAAGGCAAAGTCTTCCTCCAAAAAGCGCAGCACACTCGCCAGGTCTTCGGCCTGCAGCTCCGTCTCCTATGCCTTCCGATTCCACTTCGGACCTGTTTTATCGGGCGCCCATCCCGGCTAGGAAGACGGGCTCTCTTCTCCCGCCTCCGGGACTGCCTCTGTCCGCGCAGCGAGCCGTCCGCTGCCTCTGCTGCGCCATCGTCCACACCCACCTGTGCCCTTGGCCGCCGAACCGGTCCCCGACGGAGCTTGGGCAAACCCCATGCAATCGATGCTGCAAATTGCGCCGTTCGTCTTAGGTCTTGGAAAGTCGTATCCTTGGGCTGGATAGGTCGGAGCGTCGGTCCCTTTTCGAACGAACACCCGGGACACCGCCGGTCGCCGCCTTATCTCCCTGCCCGTCACCTTCAGGACCCTCTCCTGGGGCAAAACGGCCGATGAAGGGGCGGACTGTTAGAGCCCACTGCCCCCTGGTCTCCACGTTCTGTAGGCAACACGAACCTCGGAAGCGGACTCGGTGACTGACGTTGCGCGGAATTTCCGCTGCTGACCAAATTACGGGACTTCCGTGCTCTGCTTGACCGCAAACCGCCTCGCGGCGGTCTTCTCGGCAGTGACTTTGCGATCGCCTCTGCATGCTTTCTCCATGCGGTTTCTTCGACCGCAGACTGCTTAGGCTGAATCAGCCGGAACGTTAATGCTTCATTCGCCACTGATCTGTATCTCCCGAACCGCCCCAACCTTGTCTCCCGTGCTCCGTGCCCTTCTCGGAGTTGCCCTGTATCATCTCCGCACCCCGAAACAGGCACTCCCCGTTCCTACCCTCTTCTCCATCCTCGACTGACAACGAACAGGCTCCACGGTGAGCGGCCGCCTCGCCTAGCTTCCTGCAGGACTGTCCGCCATGCTACTGCCTCCTCGACGTCGACTAGCGTGGATTGGCAACAGGCTAGAAAGTTTTGGCTCCGGAGCACTTCCACTTGGATAATCTCGCTTCTTGGCGTACACTATTTCTTTCCGAGTGGGAAGCTTCCTAACGATCACTACTCTCATGGCCGTGGCGTTTCTTCCCTTATAATGCTTGCCTATGGTACCGAAGCGATGCAATACTACTACCCCTTTGTAATCCCCATTTACCCCCTATGTGCGTCCACCGTCCCGGCCTCGGCTGGTCTCCACGTGCGACCTGCTACCCCAGCTTTGCCAAAGGCGGCCCTTCCATCGCCGTGCTCTCTTTGCGCACTCCAGCGAATCCTGGCTACTGCCGACCTCCGGCACATGGGGTGGCCGCCTCCGGCCCTTCCAACGCCGTCCCACCCACCTTGCGCATCAGTTGCTCCATCAATATCTGCCACTCCACCTCGTCGAGCAACAGCCAAAAGGCTGCCGGCGATAACATGTCCACGGTGTCCCTCGTGCAACCGGACTACCCGGCTAGGTTTGCTCCCTCGCCACCACCAACGTCGCATCAACGGCCTTCATGCTAAAGCGACAGCCAGGATCCCCCTGCCTGTGTCCTCTTGTAGTCGCTAGCCACCGGAGTCTCGACTTGCAAACCCTCTTGGAGAGTTCTCGTGACCAACTCGCATCCTCCTCCTCAGGTCGTCCCCTATATCCGACTTCACCGTGTCCCAATAGTGGACTCGACACGGTCGGCACCCGCCTCGCTCAGCCGCACGCAATGCCCATCCAACTACCGACGACCGTCAAAGGGACCCCTGCAATACTACCATAACCTCTTTCTTTCCTTCACTCTCATTCGTTATTGTCGCCTTTGCTATCTACTCCATGCAACGATGACACCGAAGGGTACTGCTGGACTTTCTTTCTCCGCAGACTTACCCACACTAACCTTACTGTTCGCCGACCTCCAACTTCTCGCGACATAGCCATCACCCCTACTCAACTTCCAACCCCCGGCTTCCTACTTCACTCACGACCATAGAACCAGATGGTCGAGACTGTTCAAGAACCTCGCCAGCTCATTCCCGCATACCCCGCTTCTGATCTATCACCTAGGTAGCATTCTCTGACTCTTAAGTCTCCCGACCCTAGCCGCGAGCCCTCTTTCGAGCAGCAAGAAAACCTGCTTTATAGGATGCCCACCTCCACTCTGCGTAACCCCTCATTTACACTTCCACGGTGACTACATCTGCCATGTTCTCACGATGTCGGCCTCCCAGCTCAACGTCGATACCTCGTCCTCCCGCGGCAACCTCTTGACAGCCAGAAAAATGCTGGCGCCGACATGTCCATGATGGCCTTTGTCCAGCCCGGCTGCCCGGCTAGGTTCGCCTACCAGAATGAGCATCGTGTCAAAGGGCTCAACGCAGAAACCCTAGCGAGGGTCTTCCTTCCCACGCCCTCATGGCTGTCGACTCCCGGAGTATGCAGCAATCCGGTCAGATACTGGCAATCCATCGACCTGCATCTTCTTCAGCCTTAATATTTCCATATACAACCAACAGATAATCTCCTCGGAATGGACCGAGCAATGGTTCTTCATGGTCGGCCGTGTTCATCCCTTTGCCCTGACGTGGGAAATCGAGCGACGTGATGGCTTGGAGTCGGACGATGATAACATCACAGAATACACCGTCCCCGCGCTTATAGTCCGCGATCACAGCTACCAACCGTGAGTCTATGCTCCAAATCTCTCTGTCGCCACTGCCCTCCCTGACGATATCCATAGAATTGTCACTCGCACCCTCAGCTCGGTGGATACTTTCCCAACGATACAACCCATTGTCTCCTTCACGGGACCTGTCATCGGCTCCGGCCGCGACCTCCTGCATGGAAACTCGGCTGCGGCCCTTGACGACACCCAGCTGAGCTGCTGCGGCTTTGTCCAGCTCTCCACCTTTATTTGTCCTGGGATTCCCGGCAAAACCCCCTTCAAGGGCTTTCACCCCTTCCAAGTTTTCGTCATCTTCCCCATTCACGCTAATCCTTGGACCTCCCTATGCAAGAAGATGACCGAGAGGCGCGACAGCCAGTTCCAGTCGAACGCTCTCTTCACCTGTACGGGCAAAATCGCCGGCTTACTGGATCACCAGATCATGAAACATGCCCCGGCTTTCGACCAAGACTATATCTTCATCGTCGTCCCCGACACGTGGACTTTCCACGACAAGGCCATGTCCGACCAGGCTTCTGCAACACAACTACTGCCGACGACACCCAAGAGCGCGGTCGGCAATCCCTCGGACTATAGCGTTGCGTTGGCCAGGTTTACCTCTACGAAGAAACCAAGGCCGCCCCAAACCCCCGCCTCCCCACGCCGCATGCTTCTGGCCCAGTCGATCCCCTTATGCTGGCATCAAGTCGGTCATTGCCCGATCCCTACCAAACCCCAACCAAGAGACCGCGACTTTCTCCCGAAACTTCCACCATAATCACCGACTGTGACGGTCAAGACTCCCAAATCCGATACCTCCTCCTTTCTGTCCCCGGAAGACCCGCAGAGTCAGAGACGGACACCGAACAGGTCAATCACCAAGACACATCCGCCTCTGGCTCTATCAGACCTCCCGCGTCGATATCTTCCCGACCACTGCGCGCCCGACGTCCGCCCAAGAATATTCTCTGAACTTTAAAGCATCAAACGAAACAATACAACATGACAACATGTCTCATCATCCTCAAAATCAACTGCCAAAGGCTCGAATAGCACATTCTCTTCTCTTCTTGTTCTCCTTTTCATGAAGACGATCAAGTCAAAACTTCCCCAATATACTCCTTATTCTGTTTATACCTACGACTTATACCGGTAGCACATGTAAATTTTCCGAGCCTTCCACTCGCCCAGACATGCATTACCCACTCACATCTCTCTTCAACCCTGCCGTCTCTCCACGCCCTTTGAGTTTGCGCCTTTTTAAACCAAATTTTCCTCCAGCGGCCTAGCCTGCCTTCCCGACGCTCTGTCTCGGTTTCACTCACGATAATGCTCTACGTCTCTCGCCGTGTCTCGTATCTCGACCTCACTCTTCTTCCTGTCTCCTATCTACTGTCGCCAACTCTCTCTCTCTTCTGTAGCCAACTCTTCTCCGGTTCTCTTGTCGCCAAATTTCGTTCCGAAAGGCTTCTTTGCGCGAGCCGCGGCTGGCGAGCCTTCCTCTCGTATATGAGGATTTGGTGCAGACAGGGGTCATAAGTTTCTTGGGCTCTGATTGGTCCCAAATTTGTATGTACGGTCGCAAAACGATCAGCAACTGGATGACGGCTCCTAAAAGTGGGTCCCGGTTTGTTTACTTGGAATGTCGCGTGACTTGGAATGTCGCGTGACATGGAAACTTCACTGACCCAACTCGTCTTGATATCTTGCTTCAAGCCTTCGGCTGAATAATGAGTTCTAGGTCTACTCAAGGGCTCCAAGTTGACTTGGCTTCGATCGTCTGTGCCCGCTGTGGCGAGAAGAAACCGGCAGGTGACTTCGTGAGCAAACGGAAAACTGGCGGGAACACCAAGAACTGCCTGGACTGTCGGAGTCGGTGCAGTTCTCATGTCAGCTCTGTCTTCCCGCTCCGTATGACATTCAATACTAACGAAGTGAAGTGTTCAAGATCCCGAGGGCGATTCTGACGTTGAGGACCTCGCCGCCCGTCCTTCCTCGCCTGGGAGAGCTAGCGTGAAAGAGTCGAGGCAGATGCTGACCTGTCGCCTCCCAGCGAGAGATCGGGAACCCAGCCTAGTTCGCCGGAGAAGCTACGACGACTTCATGCAGCTATGACGTTATTCAAAAAGTCAATTAGCCAGCCGCACATAGAGCTGGGAACGCCAATTCCACCAACCCAACAAAGCTCGCGGTTCTTCCGGGCGCTGGCCCCGTCACCTGCTGAGCAGCCAGCGACCGATCCAGTCGCCTCCCATTTTGATCCATCGACTGCCCGAGGCAACGCAACCAGAATGAATTATTCTTACCTGGCTGCTAGATTTCACAAAGGCGGGAAGGTATCGCAAGATGATCTCTCTACCGCAGGGGCTAGGTTAAGCTGGCCGCTATCCAGCGCGACCATCGATCACGACGTCGTGCAGGGAGACTGTGTCCTGACTCCTTCCATATCTCAACTCGGCGTCTCGGAAGGTTCGGGTGTCCTGGATAAGATGTCCCTTGTGTTTTCGTTGCAGCAGTGTGTTCGGGCTAACAGGAAAGTAGATGCGAGTCGAGATCGGCCGCAGCCGAATGGGGATCAGGTAGCCAAGGAAGGGGCAATAGAGACCAGTTTTCCGAACCCGATATGGACGCCGAGGACTATTTCAACCTGCTGCTTTCCCCCGCTCGACCGCGTCGCTACCGTGAACAATTAGGGGCTGATTGTAACTCCGATGCCGAGAACGAAGACGAGAACAGCGATAACGATTCAGTGTATGAAAGCCCTGTTCGTAGTCGCTTGCAGCAGCCGTCTGCGCGGCCAAGACGCGGCCGCCGTGGTCCTGCCCTGGCACAGGAGGGCGGCCGAGACAACCGGGAAGGCGAATCCAGAGACAACCTCGACGGCAATATCGACTGTCGCGGCCGCCACGGCGTATTCGAAGTCCAGTGATAATTCCACCGGAAGAAATGGCGGTCTTCCGTGCACAAGATCCGGCGTGGACTGGCGACCTGGATGCTTGGGCCTTGACGGACTGCGATAGGGCCACCCTCCGTGAGTTCTGGACCAAGCTCAACAATGACCAGATGGAATACTGCAGCCGATGCCGCGAGTGTTGGTTTCAGATGGAAATAGATTATGACGGCATTTGTTCGCGTTGCTATCGAAAGGATGAGAAACGTGGCCCCGACGAGCCTTACTTCTTCTCTGCGGAAAACCAGCTCGACTTTGGCCCCGTACCGACCCGATTGCCCGAGCTCACACCTACCGAAGAGGCATTGATTGCTCGTGTCCATGTCCACGTGAACATTATGCTTGTGCGGGGGCAGCAGTACAAGTATCGAGGGCACGTCGTTCACTTTCTCCGCGAGGTTGGCTTGGTGTACAACCAGCTCCCTCTCCTGCCGCGGGAGTTGAACACGGTGTTGCTGCGTCCTGCCAACACGTCGTCACACGCTAATCTCAGCCGGCAATTCACCCGCCAGTTCCGCGTGCGTCGCCAGGCGGTTATGATATGGCTAGACTACCTGCGCCATCATCATCCTGGCTATCGATCCATCGCGATCGACGACGAGCGACTGAGCCAACTGCCCGAGGACGGCAATGTGGTGGACGCCATCCCCCAAAGTCAGGTGGAGGCTGCCGATGTGGGACCGGAGGAAGATCAGGAGGCAGAGCCTGACCTAGAGGATGCGGCTGCGGTGCCTGACCTGTTGGCCAAGGACACGGAGCTGGATGCTCTGCGGTCTATTCTCGCGGGTGAATCCGAAGCGGATGCGGGCAACCCCTTGCCACAGGCTCTCCAGGGCAGGCGAGGCACGAGCTCCAGCTTCCCAACATACGGCACACGCCGATCAATGAGTTCAATCACTCTCATGCCCTGCTCTCCTTGGCATTCCCTGCCTGTTTCCAGACGGCAGAGCCGACTTTGTGGAGCCTCGCTTGCGGTCCATTGAGTACAAGGATTACATCGAGCACGCGATGCGGTGGCACGACGGCCGTTTTGCGCGCCATCCAACCTTCCGCTTTGTCGCATTCAACACCCTGATGCGGTCCCAAGCACGTGCGAGGTCCAAATTCTTCGTGAAGCAACACGATGGCACCCGTGAGCCGCTCACGCGAGAGCAGCTTATTCAGGCGCTCGAACACGCTGAGGATCCACGGGCGCAGGCGCTGATCAACTCGATCACAAGGCATGCGGTGTCGATTCGCGGTACGCGACCCTTTTGGAATAGAAAGAGGCAGGACCTCGAGGCGTATGCCTACAGCTTGGGTTGTCCTGGCGCATTCATCACATTTAGCCCGGCTGATTTACACTGGCGGAGCCTCTACCAACACATGCCCCGATATGAAGAATGGCTGGGCGCGTCCGAGCCGGAAAGGATGGCATTGTCGCGGTACTTGTTGCGGCAGAACCCTCACATTGCTGCTTTCCACTTTCACCGCCGATACTGTCTCTTTCGGGATATCGTGTTGAGAACGAAGTTTAACGTGACGGATTACTGGGGCCGGTATGAATGGCAAGGGCGTGGAGTCCACACAACCACGATCTGTACTGGATGGAGAATGGCCCGGTAGCCGACATGAGGATGAAACCGCTCGCGACCTTTTTGCACGCACGTGGGATTCCACATCACTGCCATTAACCCGGAGCCGAACAGGACAATGCCCCAGGGTGAAGGGAATCCCCTGAGTGTGGATCCGCTGGGCGTAGAGATGACATTCCTGCGGCTCTCGCAAATCGTCAACCGCTGCCAGCGCCACAGATGCAATACCGCGTACTGCTTGCGGGTCCGAAAGAGAAGTGGGGACCTGGCGAACGATATGCAAGGGCTGCAGCCGATATCGAGGCGGCCAATGTCGCCGATCCGGAGAGGAGTGTCGTTTCAACTTCCCCGTGCCTTGCGGAGCTAGCCGCAGTCATCAGGAAAGAAGGTAAGTCATATTACATCTTCGAGGCAGCCCGCAACGACAGCCTCATGAACCACTTCAATCCTGCCATCATTCTGGGCTGGCTGGCCAATATCGACATATCGCCCTGCACCAGCTTACAGGCAGTCATTACGTATGCTGCCAAGTATTGCAGCAAATCGGAGAAGAAGACGGAGCCTTACTGCAAGCTCGCAGATCAGGTTTTGCCGCATACAGCACACCACCAGCCCCTGTTGTCCTTCTCCTCTCGCCTTATGAATAAGTTGATTGCCGAGAGAGATTATTCAGCGCAGGAAATTTCCCACTGCTCAACATCCCTCTGCAGGAAGGCACTCGGATGGTTGTGTACGTCGACTGCCGTCCGTTGGAGCAGCATGTGCGGTCGTTCCGCGTCGACGAGGATGTCAGTGAGGCTGTCGGCAGCTACCGGAAATATCTGCAGAGAAATGACCAACATGAGAGTATAACCTATCTCGAGTACCTGCAGTCCTACAATCTCAAGACGTGGGAGACTCGGTGCGAACGCGAAGAAGAGGGTCCTGTCCTACTTCCCTCGGTACAGGTCAGCGGAGGCATCACCCCAGTTTCATGACTTCTGCCGTGTCAAGTTGATGATGGCCCATCCGCATCGCTCTCCGGAGGAGCTGCTTGCTGTGGACGGGCAGCCGTTTGAGTCCTTTGCGGCGGCGTACCAGTGCTGCCGGCAGCGACACCATTTCCATGAGGACGACCATTACGGCGAGGTGGGAGCAAATGAGCTGCAGGCAGAGGACGATGAGTTTCAGCGGGAGGAGCACGAAGAGCCTGTCGTGGAGGAAGATTGGCATGAACTCGCCCGTATGCTGCCAGACCATCCGCTGGAGGAGGAGGATATCGACGTGCTGGGCCGGCGAGATGTCGACGTGAATTATGACTGGACTCCCACGTTGGACGGTATACCGATGACGGCATTCTCCAGGGCGACTTCTGGAAGCAACGCAAAGCCGAAAATCCCCTTCACCTTGATGTGGATCATCAGCCGCTGGAGGCTCGCGATTCCCTGAATCCGGAGCAGCGCCTAGTGTACGATACGGTGATGGGCCACTTTCTGACCCAGGCCTGTTCCCAGTTGTTACTCCATGTGGACGGCGGCGGTGGCACGGGCAAATCATACCTCATCAATCTGCTTTCGGCGCACCTCCAAGCCGCCTCGGGCGGAAGAGTGCGGAAATCAGATATCGGGCACTACCTTGCACTCCCTGCTGCACCTCCCCATCAACAAGGACTTCAAGCCCCTGTCAGCGATCGACAAAGCTCAGCTCCAGAAGAAGCTAAAGGATGTCAAGTACCTGATCGTCGATGAGAAGAGCATGCTGGGTCTGCGACAGCTGTCATGGATTGATGACCGTCTCCGTGAGGCGTTCCCGAATAGAAATGAGGAGTTCTTTGGTGGTCTTAATATCCTCCTGGTTGGCGACTTCTTTCAGCTTCCCCCTGTACTGCAGAAGCCTCTTTATTACGACAAGGAGGTGCAGGGGGTAGAGATCAAGGGCAGGAACGCATATCGGCGCTTCGACAAGACGGTTTTCTTGAAGGTTGCCCAGCGTCAGCGCGGCGACGATCAGGCAGCGTTTCGCTCAGCTCTTGAGGAATTGCGGCTGCTCCAACTCTCTATGGAGTCCTGGAAGCTCCTCTCCAGCCGTGTTCAGGCGAAGCTGGACGATCAGGAGGTTGCCAAGTTCGTCAATTCCCTACGAGTATACGCCACGAAAGACAGGGTGAACGAATATAACCACTACCACCTCGACCGCCTAGGCCGGCCTGTCATCCAGGTCATGGCTAAGAACGTTGGCCCGGTGCTGCTGCTGCTCCTGACGACAAGGCAGGCAACCTTGCGAAGCAGATTCCCGTATGCATTGGCGCCCGTCTGATGCTGACGTCCAACCTTTGGCAGCCGGTTGGCCTCTGCAACGGTGCACGTGGTACAGTATACGATATCGCGTGGGCGCCTGGAGCTGACCCCATGCGAGACCCTCCCTGCGTGATCATGATGGAGTTTGACAAGTACCGGTACACGGGGCCGGTATTCCTGACCACCACAGATGGCAGGAAGATTGTCCCGATTCTGCCAGTAGACAGGGACTTCCTCGTCGGAGCCACACTCTGCACTCGTACGCAGTTTCCCCTGATCGTGTGCTACGCCATTACAGTTCACAAGTCGCAGAGCATCACCGAAGACATGATCGTGACGGATCTGTCGTGCCGTGACTTTCAGACCGGTTTGAGCTACGTGGCCGTCTCGCGTGTGAAAACGCTGCAGGGTCTGATGCTGGATGCCCCGTTTGACCGCAATCACCTGACTTATGCGTCGCCGCCGGAAGGAATTAAGATGAAAATGAAGGATCAACAACTTCGCAAACGACAGGTTCTTACCCAGAATCCGTATAAGATAGGCGACGGGTCTACGTAACTCCACTTGATGCTACCGGCGACAAGATCGACATTTTCCAAGGCACAGATGTATGTATGATTGTAGATACTGTACTGATTGTTCAGTGACTGACTGCTTGACTGGTAGCCAGACTCGCAGCCTTCGGCTGATTGTACGCCTTGCACCACAGCCCTAAAGACTAAAGTGCAAGGCGTGGCGCAGTATTTTATCAGACGCCTAATGCTCCATTATGATTTGGATGACAGTTTTATCCTTTTGAAGTCAAGTTCTTGCATCATTGCACCCTGCGCTTTCCCATCTAAATACTCAGGTCTACTCAGGTCAACAATCTCGGCTTTAAGCTTCAGCATCCGACATCTGATAAATTAGTTTGTTCGTACCCGGACTTCAGGCTGATGCAATCCGCCGAGGGCGCTGAGGAGCGGAAGCAGCGCAAGAAACTGCAAAACCGTCTTAACCAACGAGCACGGAGTAAGTGCGCGAGCTCTGAGTCCCCAGCAATGTATTGGCTGGTATTGAAATCGTCGATTCTAATCGTCGCAGGATCGCGGATAAGAGAACAAGAAACCCAAGCCAAAACAGACGACCCGCGCCCATATCAAGTAGACCGATGGCGCTACACCTATCAACACGCCGCCGATACCGATGGCGGTACGATATCTGCTCGATCCCACGAGCCGCATGACTCTACAGCAAAGTTTGCCCTAACTAACAGAAGCAAAGAGCCTGTCCCAACGAAAGCAGGGGAGCGGGACAACAAGGCCTGGCTCGACATCCTAGTGGCAGCTTGCCAGTTTAAGCCTTCCCCTACGCAGGATCATCTGTTACATCTGATTCACGTCAACGTACTGCGCGGCCTCTTTGATAACAAAGTTGTACTCCTGGGCCTTACTTCCTATCTCGCGAAATGTGACGGAACTGAGGGGCTGCAGGTCATTCCTGCTGAACAAGCTTTCCCTGGTCGTGCAGTCATCATGTCAACTGCGAGTGACCTTCCCAAGTCTCTTCGCCCGACGCGGTTACAGAATACCGTTATGCACGCGACATGTATCGATCTACTACCCTTTCCAAGTATTCGCGATAATCTGATCGAACAGGAGGGTCGCTTTAGCTGGGCAGAATTCGCTAACGACCTGGTTGGCCATCTTGTCGATCCTTCATGCTTTTCGGGACCCCAGTGCAAACAGAAGCCAAGCATTGCAGAAGAACCAGCGCCTTATTACGGGGACGAGGATGACCTCACTGCGAATCGGAATGGCATCATTGTGTGGGTGCCCCCATCGACCTGAAAGCTGGAAGTTACCTCTGGTTTCCTGCGAAAATGGGGTTGGTCTCTAAAAGGCTGCCAAGAAATAATTGAGTCGACAAATCGTTGGAAAATATCTCGAGGAGAAGAGCCGCTTGTGAGGTCTACGTGTAAGGCGCACACACAACTAAACAGAGAGTGAGGAACGGGGGTCAATCATTCAATTCATTGATCTCTGACGAGCTCCATCAGGTGCTATGCAACCCTACTTTTATAACCACGAGAGGCCTCCCAGCCCCGTGCTTTTCCCTGGAAAAGTCACTCCAGCCAGTGGTTGGAATCAACCAGCCATCTACCGTGGTCAAGCACTTTAGGCGCGTGACAGGTTGCCCCTTCCTCCTGAAGAGTTCGTCCCGAACCAGACTTGCAAATAGATAAATCAAATCAAATCCGGGGTCCAATTTGATTTGATTTGGATAGCAAAATCATGGATCTGATTTGATTTGATTTGATTTGAATCGATTTGGATCTCATTTGGATATCTGGATAGCCCCACTTTTTCCCACGACAAAATACATTGAGCCGCTCCTATACCTTAAGGTCCGCTTTGATAAGGTCCGCTTTGAGGCGGCCTCTCTGAGCTGCGGCCATCTGTCCGGCAAGGCTAAATATTCTCTCCGGCTCTGAAGACATCGCCGGAATGGAAAAGAGGTCGATTGCCATTCGCGACAGGCGTGGATATTGGCGTCTGCGGAGAAGCCAGTACTGGATGGGATTGTCCACAAGACAATCGCCCGGATCGGTACTGCCCACCCATTCTGCGTACTCGTCACGCATGGAGGACGGTGAGGGCGCAGGTTGGGCGCCAAGTTTCCTAATTGAGGTCATGAAGTCATCTAGGTCCGTTGTCTTCCTTGCAGCTGTGGGCTCCTCGGGTATCGTATCTTGCTCGACCGCGAGGTTCGGTACTCCTCCCATATGCGCCATTGCAGCAGTCAAGTGCAGAGCTGTCCCATTTTGGCCATCGGCTACAAATATCTCCCCGTAATATGGCAGATGCACCCAAAGATATATTTCACGATCAAACGTGTCAGGTAAAACACAAAAAGAAAGCTTGGTGACACGGCCTGGAAAAGCAACTGCCCGTAATTAGCGACCACTCTAGGCCAGGCAGGGCTGGCTCCCCAAAACTATTGGCCCAGGTCGCCATTGTGGGGCGTATCCAAATAATCAGATATCCAAATAAATTTGGGTGTTGCGATTTGATTTGATTTGATTCAGCGCAGGGGCAATTTGATTTGATTTGATTTGGATTAATTTGATTTAATTTGATTTGATTTGATTATGATTTATCTATTTGCAAGTCTGTCCCGAACTCTTAAGTTCTTGTCAAGACAGACTGGTCGTAGTCCGCCAGAAACGCTTTATCCACAAAGTCGCTTCTGGACACCCAAGAGTTCTCTTCATCTCCATGTCTTTTCCATTTCACAAGATACCTCCGACGACTTTTCGGCCCTTGATGATCGAGAATCTTTTCAACGTCATAGGTAGACTCGGGTATAAACGGATGATCCTCAGGCTCAATAGGCTCTTGATTTCGAGTCCGATAGAGCTCCAAGCTGCTGACAGGCAAGACATTGTGAATCTTGACTGTTGAAGGCAGGCGTAGGCGGTAGGCTAGTTTATGACCCCCAACGACTTGGTCAATCTGGTATGGCCCGACGTACTTGTCAGTCAGCTTTTTGGTCGGACGTCTCAACGGAAGGTTCTTGGTGGAAATAAGGACCCAATCACCCTCCTCGAAGGACATTTGCTGTCGAGTCTTGTTATAGTGTCGCGCTTGTCGCTCCTGGGCTCTCGTGATAAGGAGGGCCGTACGTTCGTGAAGTTCTCTGAGGCCTCGGACTCGGTCCATGGCGCGAATGCTGAAGGTTTCGAGTTGTCCCTTGACATGACCCTTAGACCGTGGCTGATAGCCCATCAAAACCTCGGCTGGAGCTCCTTTCACCGTGTCATGGTATGAGGTGTTATACGTAAACTCCGCCAATGGCAACTTGTCCATCCAATCTGACTGCTCTTTGTTGCAGAAAGTCCGTAAGTACTGTTCGATCGTCTGGTTGACCCGCTCGGTTTGACCATCAGTCTGAGGATGAAAAGACGTGCTGAGGCGTCGCTTGCAATGAAGCAATGGCAAAACGTGGCCCAGAAGTGCCCCGTAAATAGGCTCCTCGATCGCTGACAATGCCATCAGGCATTCCATAATGCTTGAAGATTTCCCTCAGGAACACATCTGCCAAGCCATCACTGGATATGCGCGACGACACCGGAATGTATCGTGCGTAGCGGGTCAGGCGGTCGACCACGACCAGGATACTGGGTAAATCTTCTTCTCACATCGGACCGGCGGGAGGTCCGTGATGAAGTCCATCGAAATCTCTTGCCACGGACGGCTTGGCGCCGGCAGTGGCGCTAGCAGCCCGTACGGCTTATGATGCCTCGGCTTTGCGAGCTGACATTCGCGGCAGGTAGAGACATAACGACGCACGTCTCGACGTAATCCGGGCCAGTAATACTGCACCTGAATCCGCTTGCAAGTCTTGGTTCCGCCTTGATGGCCGGCAACCTCATCGTCGTGAAACAGCACTAGGATCTCGTTCAGGGTGGTTTTCCATACATGGAAAGGCCTGCAATCGATAATCGGTATCGGCCCCACATTTATTGCAAGTATTGCAATACACCTTTCCATACTTGGTCCGTGCACGACGACAAAATGTCACTGAAGACACCTTCGACAAGATGGACAAATTCACACCATATGGTGAATTAAAAATACGAAGTAATTGATTGAGCTCAATGATAATGTCCAAAAGAGAGGGTAGGCAAATCTTACGTGTTTTGTTCCAAGACGAGGAGGGAAATCAGACGGGAATTTGCACGAATTCTCACGCCACGGTCACGCCACCGCCCTTCCCTCTTCAAGACATTGTTCTTCACCCAATGCTTCAACCAATTCTCCTTTTCAATTTGGTCCGCATCCAATTGTGCCCTTTCCCAGGAGATCGTACGACGAGCCCCTGAAAACACCCGTTCCGGCTCGTCGCTCATCGCTGGCATTGATAGGATGTCTATTGCCATTCGTGATAACTTCGGCCGTCGGTTCCTATGTCGCTCTTGAAGCCACCATGATAAAGCAGTTGTTGGCGCAATCTCATATGGATCACCTGAGATGTAATCTTCATACTCGTCTTGACTTGTAGGTCGAGCACAATTCTGCAGATTTCTTGAAATACGATCAAATGCATCAAGGCCATTGTCTTCTTCTTCGTCCAGTACATGATACGAAATTGTACCGTCGTTTGTATTTCGGTAAGAGTAGCAAAGGTCTTTGACCCGTTTGAAAGCAGTTTTATGCCACTTCTTCTAATTTGAGTGGATGTACGTCGTGCGATAGCTTGGATGAAGGACCAAAGAAGCGGCGTAATAGGGCGAATTCTCTTTATTGATAATTTCTTGGTCAAGGTAGCCTTTGAAGACACGGCCCAGATCCCACGCTTGCCCGTAGAGTTGATCAAATCCTTCGATGATGGACGGTTGAAGAGGAGATAAATTCTCTGCGACGTTGATGACATACTTTCTTGCCCTCAGGGTGTTTTCGAAAGCTGGCGGTGACAGAAGTACTGTAGGGATCATTCTGGGGACAATAAAGATAATATATGAGGCGGTTCCTGCCTTTGAACTCCGCTTCCCTAACCCTTTACTACCGGTACATTACTGCCAGATGAGCATGTTTTCATGATCCAAAAGCAGGTTTTCTCTTGTCTTGGGAGATATAGACGCGAATGAATCCGAAGCAATGGATTCAGAATCGAAGAAACATAACTAACACAGGCTCAGAATCCATTGTCGCCAGGTGATAATGGTATGCTGTGGGTTGGTGGTGAGGCTGATTTTGTGGATGTGCGGATTTGTAGCGGGGGTTCCAGGCCCACAGCCCCTGTAGGTAGCCCCCTGTAGGAACCCTTGTTAGTGGCGTGGTTCAGCCAATAGTATGGAAATACATGGATCCATATCCATACCTATTCCATGCCATTCATGGAAAGGGTATTTCCATATTTAGATATGGAAAACCACCCTGATCTCGTTTCTCAAGCCCACAGGCACGAAGATCTTCTCGCGGTAACACAACAGCCCCTCGTCATTGGTGCTCCAGACTTCTGACGAGAGCCCACCGGCGGTAGCGCTGTCAGGGACACTAACAAGCTGCTTCTGCTGGACAACAAAGGCGTCCCCTTGCTGTGCCGCCAGCAGGGCCTCTTGGAGTGACTCCTGTAACGCTGGTGCCGTTACAGCGGTGCCCTCCTCCTGAAATGTCGTCCTCGACGTCCTCAAGACTCGTGCAACACGCCTGAGACGGTCGAGCTTAGCTCTTCCATCAGCGACAGGGACAGCCAGGTGCGACCTGGTCTGATCGCGTAATTCGACAGCCTGTCTAGAGTGCACACGGTCCCTACCCGCAGACTCCCAGGAAACAGCCGATCAATCTTTTCGAGGGCGACGGGGACAGCCGGTCGCGAACCGGACTGCTCGCCAAATCCGACAGCCTGTCTTGAACACGCACGGTCCCCTTCCGCGGGTTCACAGGGAAACAGCCGGTCAACATGTACAGGGGCGACAGGGACAGCCGGTCGCGAACCGGACTGATCGCCAATACCAGCAGCCTGTCTTGAACACACACGGTCCCCTTCCGCAGGTTCACAGGGAAACAGCTGGGCAAACTTTTCAAGGAATGACGGAACGCACGGATCTCGCAGCCCGGCCGTTCTCATCACCCTCTCGTGGTCCGGCCGTCTTGATAATCCATCCGCAGGATTCTTCAAGCCCGGTCGGTAAAGGATCTCAAAGTCAAAGCTGCACAACTGGTCCAGTGCATTCATCTGTCGATTGGTCAGCTTAGTTTTGGACATAAAGTACTTATGGTTCAGGTGGTCCGTCAAAACGGTGATCTTCTGCTCCGTATAGGCAAGGTAGTGGCGCCAATAGCGGAAAGCTTCTGTGATAGCTAGCAGTTCGCAGTCCGGGATTGCGTATCTTGTCTCTGCGTCCTGAAGCTTCCGCGAAAGGAACGCTACGGGGTGCCATCGATCGGTGTGCAGTTGAGAGATTATTGCTCCGATAGCGAACTGAGACGCATCCGTTTCGATTCGTATTGCCTTGGAAGGATCGAAGTGTCTGAGAACAGGCCCACGTGTGAAGGCCGTCTTGAGATCTTCGAAAGCCCTCATTGCTTTTGGATCCAGCTTGAAGGGCTTCGATGCACCCTTGCGGAGACGATCGGTGAGCGGAGACACGATCTTGCTGTAGTTCTTGATAAAGCGGCGGTAGAACCCAGTAAACCCTAAGAAAACCTGTATGTCTTTTACAGAACGGGGTGCTGGCCATTCTGTGATAGCATGGACCCGTTCTTCTTCCATGTGGATTCCTTCTTCGTCGACCACGAACCCCAAGAAGGAGACTTTCTTCACCGAGAATTCGCATTTACTCAGATTGGCGTAAAGTCCGGCTTTTCGCAACCTTTGCAGGACGTCCTTGACATGACCTTCATGCTGTTCCGGGTCTTCACTGAAGATGAGGATGTCGTCCAAGTAGACAACACAGATGATGTCAACCAGGCCTTCCAGTGCATCGTTGATGTATTGCTGGAACGAGGCGGGAGCGTTGACCAGCCCAAATGGCATTACCTGGTATTCGTAATGGCCATAGTGGCACCTAAATGCTGTTTTCCACTCGTCCCCTTCGCGAATCCGGAGTCGGTGATATGCGTCTTTTAGGTCAAGCTTGGTGAAGACTTTAGCTCTACCCAGTCGGTCCAAGATCCCCGAGATCAATGGCAAAGCCGCTCGGTTCTTCTTGGTCACCTTATTCAACCCACGGTAGTCGACACATAACCGTAGTTTCCCTCCCATTTTAGGAACGAAGAGAATCGGAGAGCCTGCAGGACTGATTGATCGTCGGATCCATCCTTTCGCCTGGGCCGAAGCGATGTATTCGCGTAATACCGCGAGCTCATGTTCTGACAGATTATAGATGGGTCCTGGAGGGGGCATTTGCCCATCCTCGAGGTCGATTGGATGGGAACGCCCTGAAAGAGGGGGTAACCTAGCAGCCTCTTCCTCCGAGAAGACGTCTGCCCAATCACGGTATGCTAAAGGCACTTCTGGCGGGGCTGCGTCTTCTAAAGGAGTCACCGCTTCGTTGTTGTTCTCGTGGATAAGGGGTATACCAAAGTGAGATTTCGCGAGACGCCTGATTTGTTTCGCGCCGCGGACGAACGATGTCCTTTGCGGGGGCGCAGCGAAAGCCCAGGTAAGGTGATCTGCCCTCTCCAGCAACAGACTAATATGTTTTAGCCAGGGTTTGCCCAGCCAAAGTCCTTCCTTGTCAGCTACAGATGAGACGAAGCAGAAGACCCGAAGAATTTTCTCGGTTCCCCAGCTATCCCTTGCCTTGAGCAAGACGTGGATAGTTCCTTTTGTGTCAATCCGGCTATGGTCTGCCGTTTCGGGTTCCTCAAACGTTGGTTCCACTCGCTGCCAATCACGTTGAGTGAGCAGCCTTGGAGAGATCAGGTTGTAGTGGCTGCCTTGATCAAGCAAAGCCAGCCATGTTTTGGACCACCGGCCATCCTGTCGCAACTGGTAGGGTATCCAGTTCTCACCGCTCTGAGACAGGAGCCGGTGTGGTTCCTAATCCTTATCCTCCGGTTCTTGTTGAATCCTTCGTATCCCATTGGCACCCGTAACCGGGTCGGAGTGACGGGCCGTAGTGTGTCTGCCGTCACCGCATCGTTTGCAATCAGGCTCGGTGCACTTTGGTCGTATGTGACCGGGCTTCCCGCATTTGAAACAGGCGCCAGGCTTCTCCTTCCTTGAAGATGCACCCTCTTCACCATTCGTTTCTGTCGACCTCGGATCACCGGCGCTACGGTCGGGTTGGTAACCCTTGTCATGGAAATCGTCGTCATACTTGTCACATGTAACTGGAAAGATGCCATGTATGTGAGGGTTATGGAGAGTCAATTGGCCTTGACCACTGCCCAAGTCAAGGGGACAAAGGTCCCAGTTATTTATATACACAAGAACGGTGCCCATGTAGGTTGGGACGCCTCCTCGGCTGGGGCGGAGTATCGCTTGACAATACTCATGGCCCTTTTCTACCAAGTCGTTCCACGATTTGGGGTAGTTTTGGGATCGAAAGAGATCCTTGATATCTTTGTTACAGCAGAAGAGAAACATCTCAATGCGTAGCCAGTCAGGAACAGTTTGAGGGAACTCGCTTTCAATCGCACGATATTGCCGAAAGAAGTCCCGGAATGACTGGCCGGGCTTTTGCTTAAGCTTGGTCAGGCTGGTGTATGCACTCCGGGTGCGACCTCGGGGATTGTTGATATTGCTCCAGAGCCAGTCCTCCATATCTCCCCACGTCATGTTTTCTTCACTTCCATCGAATTTGAGTCGCAGATTGTCTAGGAAATCCCTTCTCAACGTCTGGCTGAGATGGCCCGCCGCTAGCCTGATTCTCCTCTGCTCATCCTGGTAGTGGCGGGGTGCTCCCGAAACACCCACTGAAGGGTTCCGACAAAGGTAGAAAGCTCGGCTGCCGAAGTGCCCCGGAACTGTTGAATCTGTACCTGGTTTTTGTTCTTGGGCTCGTAAATGGGAGAGCGTTCCCGAATCCTTTGCCGCGGTGGTGGGCTATACTCTGGCGACCTGGACCGTCGTCGTGAGCCACGTTCGCCCGATTTTTCTAAGAGGGCGCTCAGGAGCTGCTGTATCTGCTCCCCTTGCCGCCGCGAATAGTCGATCTGCTGATCCAGCTGTTGCCGGATCTCTCCTAGTTCGGTTTGCGTTCCCTGAGCTCCATTGAAGGCCACGTTGGAGGTGGTGGGTTCAGCCTGTTGCCCCACATTCTCACCCCGCTGGAGCCTACCATGCGACTCTTTTCTTTTCTTCGCAGCTCTAGCCGCTGCGAGCTGATCTAGCCGTTTTTGTGTCATGATTTTTCTTCTGTTCGTCGTCGGCGAAGGTCTTGGTTCAGCCTCGCCGCTATCTGATGGAGATTCCGTTGCATCCGATTCCTCCACAGGGGGAACCTGCGCCGAAGATGGGAATGCTGTCTGTGATGCAGATTCCGCCACCTGAGATTGGTGCATGTGGCGCTCCACTGCTCTGGCCAGTTCTGGAGGAAGCTGCGATAAGTCCATGATTCAAGCCGGTCCCGTTCAACGGTCTCTGTGCCCTAAAGGGGAGAGAGATCAAACTGCAAGGCGCACACACAACTAAACAGAGAGTGAGGAACGGGGGTCAATCATTCAATTCATTGATCTCTGACGAGCTCCATCAGGTGCTATGCAACCCTACTTTTATAACCACGAGAGGCCTCCCAGCCCCGTGCTTTTCCCTGGAAAAGTCACTCCAGCCAGTGGTTGGAATCAACCAGCCATCTACCGTGGTCAAGCACTTTAGGCGCGTGACACTACGTGAGCCTTACGCTGGCTTGTCATCGGGGTTGAATTGTGGGAGATCCAGGCGAACTTGGAGGCTTGAGGGCCAACGCACACCCTAAAATCATTTTTGACACTTCCATCGGAATCTACACCCTCGATTCGCCCTCGACGCGATGGCGCGCCGCGCTCAGAGCGTCGGAGGGGTGGACGAGGTGCCGATGGTGATCGACGGCGGCAAGAAAGGGTTGGTGTTGTTGGATCCACCTGTGCACTAGGCACCGATCGCGCACGTATAACTAATCGACCGCGCTAGTCACGTGCGAGTAAGAGGTGAGACACAGGGAGGAAGGTCTTTGCACACAGTTTGTATGGGACACGTTTCCCTAGTTACACAAGATATAACCAATTGAACCAGTTCGAATAACCTCACTGCAGTGAAGAGCCTGTCCACACTGATCAGTGTCGCCCGGCAAAGGTGACACAGAACAGCAAGACGGAAGAGAGCTAACCTATCGTCACGCTCTGCAAAGCGAGCTCCTGACGGTAGGATAGTTGCTACAACGCGCGGATTGCTACGAAGACTCTGCATCAGAGCCCACTCTAGTTATCCAACCGTGCCTAAGCTTTGCTGTCATCAGCGACCCTTAGGCGTGCCCTATCGCACATTGATAACCTCATTGACACCCTGTGCCCTGTTTCTCAGCACACAGCCTGTCAATATGTCTGACAATTCATCTGCCGCACTAGCCCCGGCAACAGCCCAGGATACCCCGGCCAACGTGTCTCTCGAAGACAGGCAACTCGTTGAACGGAACCTGACGATCGTGGAGCTCCCTTCACTCCCGATCAGGCATTTCGACGCGGATTTCCTCAACGAACCTATCACCCAGAGCTCCTCCCTTGTCCACCGCAACAGCTTCTTCTTAGGCTGTGTGGCAACATACACGGTGGATAAACGTAACCACGGAATTGCCCTGCTTGGGGATCTCAGGCAGGGTGGCGATCAATTCCACCTCCACCTCCACCTCTTCAATAATATTGAAGTGGAAGTCACGTGTTTCAATTCAATCAATTCAATCTCACTTGCACATTGAGAGCTTCAATCCACGCCGACGCCTTGAACGTTGACCACGCGTTGAAGCCGTTGAAGCTAGAGGTGATCTAGGTAGCACCTACACCTGATCTAGTCGCGTCTGACGCGCGTGGTCACTAGCCTTACCTTACTCAAGGTCGTAGTACTTCGGTCCCATATTAATTTCATATGTAAAGGATGTGCAAATACCTGGGCGATTAGACACGTTTGAGCCGAATTTCCGAGTGTCGCGTCGCACTGAAACCTTCACCAAACAATGCACCTTCTTTCTTCCTGCAGCCAAATGGATAACGACGTTCCTATTAAGCCCCAGCATGCCTCAGACAGAGGCTCGTCCAGCAAGCCGTTTGTTAACATGGATGCTTTGCAAGACGAATGGAGCATCTTCCCATGGAACCATTTCCCAGGTTATACGATTTCCGAGCGCGCTGGCAGGCAGACTTCGTGGGTCTGGCAGCATGGTTTCGACATTCAACCTAGCGACTATCCCACGAAGAGAAAATGGATTTGCAAGCCCTGCCTGAAGAAGCCGAAGCAAAAAACATCAGACTTCTCTGCCGTTGGCACTCAGAATATCGAGAATCATCTGTTCAAAGAGCACAGACTTATCGATCTGTCCGGGAAGAGGGCCGCCCGCTCTTGGGAAAGGAACCATGGACAAGAACCCGTCCAAGAATATCGTGGAGATGTTGAATCTCAACGCTTCAGATCCTAAAGAGCAAGGTATCGCGAACGCCCTCATCCAGCGCTTCGATAAGGACCATTTTCAGAGACTTCTTCTCGAGTGGGTGGTCGACGCCAACGTCTCCTTTCGCCAGCCCGAGCACTGTCGTCTCCGACATATTTTCGAATACCTGAATCCATCGGTCGCAGTGACGAATGCCCACATCTCGCACGATACCGTTCGAAAGCGAATTGTTGACCTTTATATCCGATACAAGACGTGCGTAATCGACAATCTAAAGAGCACCCCGGGCCAAATTCATATTGCGTTCGACGGCTGGCGTTCCAGGAATCGGCACGCTTTACACGGGCTTATCTGTTTTTACATCGACAAGGATGGAGTTCCATCAAAGCTTGTCCTAGGCATGCCGGAGCTGAAGATCTCGCACTCGGGAGAGAATATCGCAGCCCAGATCCTCGAGATCCTAGAGAGCTATGAGATCCTCGACAAGGTGGGCTATATTACACTGGACAACGCTGGGAATATGGATACGGCGACAGAGGAGATTGCAGAGGCACTGGGCTTCGATCCGAAGAAGCGGAGGGTGCGATGCTTTGGCCACGTGCTCAACTTGGTGGTCAAGGCCTATTATTTGGACACAAGTCCGACGCGTTTGAGGCGAAGATTAACGGGAGCCTGTTCTTGACGCGGTCCAGCATGAAATCTGGCGAAAGAAAGGCCCAGTCGGAAAGCTTCATAACCTAGTACATTGGATCCATCAGTCCGATAAGCTGACGTACCGGCTTCGTGCACTTCAGGAGGAGTTCTTTTCAAAGTCGGACAACCCCAAGATTCGAGCGAAGAAACCTGTGGACGTTGTCCTTGATAACCTTACTCGCTGGCTTTCGACTCTTTATATGATACGGCGCGGCCTCGGATTGCGGCCTTTCTTAGAAGACCTTATTGAGAAGGTCACGCTTGAGTTCAGGAAAAATGCCGCAATGGGATGAGAAGGGCAAAGAGATGCCTTTGTGTCTCCGCGAGGAGAGTCTTCTCAGTGATAATGACTGGAAGGTCATTGAGTTGATGGATAGGGTGCTTGTTGACTTCGAAGAAGCACTCCGAATGCTAGAAGGCGACGCTCAGAGTCGAGTTCGAAAAGGAGGCCGCATTGAAGCATACGGAAACATGTGGGATGTTGCCTCAACCTACGAATTCCTGATGGACAGACTAGAGGAGTGGAAAGCAGTAGCGGAGAAGTTCCCCGATCCAGAGCACCTCAAGGCTAACATTAATCTGGGCTGGGATAAGTTGAACGACTACTATACGAAGCTTGACGAAACGCCAGCATACTATGCTTCTGCTATTTTAAATCCGGTTTCGCGTTGGGGGTATTTCGAGAATACATGGACCGACAAAGCACAGCTCCCCTGGCTTCAGGAGGCAAAAAGAATGGTGAGAAAGCTGTGGGAGGAGGAGTACAAATCGCTGCCGATCCCTTCGATGCCTGACGAAGAGCGTCCGTACAAGCGACTGAAGGCAATGAGCGCGCTTGAGAGACACCGAGCCCAGAGGACTTCGTCGCTGCCAAACGAATCTTCCTCTTTGGAAAGTTCACTGAATCCGGACCATGATGAATATGACCGCTGGCTGTCGAGTGCTGACGCTGAGAATGATCCTCTCGTCACCAACCCATTTCAGTATTGGTGGCAGAGACGGAAAGACTACCCACGGCTGTCACGGATGGCTCTCGACTTGCTCTCGATCCCTCCCATGTCCGCAGAGTGCGAGCGTCTCTTTAGTACCACTGGGCAAATGGTGTCACCGCTACGGACTCGATTGGAAGCCAGCACGATAGGGATTACGCAAACGTTACGGTCGTGGGTACGGAATGGCCTAATCGACGCCGTGGATACGTTGATTGACGTGTCAGGGGAGAATGCGAATAGCATTATATGGAGTCCAGGGGATGATACTGGACATGCTGCCGGCTAGGGCCCTCGGAGACCCCGTGGGCCGTACGTGGTTCAACGTCTTCAATTCAACTCAATCGCCCCCATCTGAAGGCAGGTGGTTCAACTCAACGGGACCAATGATGAGTAAGCTGTCAACGCAACTCAATGGTGAGGCCAAATTGATGGAATTGAATTGATCGCCACCCTGCATGCCGCACCTGTGTCCGTGTTGCGATTGAACTTACTTCTATTCAATTCTGTCTGACAGCTCTCAACATATATATACATAGTGGCACGTCCGTGCCACTATCCAGTGACTCACCACTTGTAACTGCTGCCTAAACATGTCTTGGTCCATGTCTCATACCAAGTCAACACTCCCTAGAGCTGTCAGACTTCAACTAATACAATGGCAACGCTATTCATAGCGTACGGGTCCAATTCCAATCCTCCTCCTGTTCCTCTCGAAAGCCTCCCTAGGCAGAGGCTTGGTCATCCCATCTGCTAGCATATTCTCCCCTGGAACCCAGTAGACTTGGATTCTCCCTTCCTTGACCTCATCAACGACGTGATGAAATGCTATATCAACATGCTTGATTTTCGACGTGTTCGATACTCCTCGGGTCAGCTGTACAGCTCCTTATTATCTCCAAGCAGTAGTGGCACTGTTTGCTCTCCCTTTCCTTCCAGTTCTGCAAGTAGTCGACGTCCCCAGAGGGCAGCTTTTGTGGCCTCCCCCATCCCAACATACTCTGCTTCTGTCGTAGATCTTGCCACTGATTTCATCTTCTTGCTATACGTCATGACGGCGCCTCCGTAGACCATAAAGACGAACCCCAGGATACTCTTCCGGTCCCTTGGATCAGTAGCGTAGTCGGTGTCAGAGAACGCTTCCCCATCTTGTAGGCCTGCAGAGCCGACGTGCCCTTCGATGTTGTGGTCAATGGAATAATAGTCGATATCGCTGCCTTCGACTCCTTGTGCGTGCTCATTATTTCCGCCATATGTGATACCGTGGTGAATAGTCCTGCCGACATAACCCAATATTCGTAGCAAAGCCTTCCAGTGGTTCCAGCATGCCTCTACCGTGAAAGATGCCATTCTGTTAACTGCGAATATAATGTCGAACCTCGTATTGCATAGCCAAATCAGCTTTCGAGCAATTCCACGTATTTCAACCATTCGTCATGGTTCAGAGGTCGTCCCGGTTCCTCAACGAGCTTCCGTATAGCTCCAGGTTCCATGGGGTTGCGTGCTTCATTGAGTCGTCGTAGAAATTCTGCCACGATTTCCTTCGCAAATTGTGATTGATCAATCATCAGCTTTCCTTTGTGCCTTTGAATCCGAATTCCGAGAATGTTCTCTGCTTCTCCGAGGTCTTTCATCTCAAATCTTCCCTTCAGCTTTTCCTTGACCCGTTCAATGGCATCCTCGTCCCCCCCTGTAATCATAAAGTCATCCACGTGCACGCCGATGATTACCCCGACTCTGTATGTCTGAATATTGTCGGGTCCACTGTCATCGGTGAGAAACCAATCTCCTTGAGATATTCTGATATTAGCAAATACCACATCCTTGCAGCTTGCTTCAATCCGTACAAACTCTTCAGGATCTGAACGTATTTCCCGAAATATTGCTGGAGCTCAGTTGGCACTTTCATGAAGATCCTTTCCTTTAGGTCTGCTGCAAGGAACGCAGCCACAGCATCCATCTGGTATACCTTCCAGCCTTTCTTCGCCGCTAAAGCTAGAATGATCCTCATCGCATCGAGCCGGATCGTGGGTGCGAAGGTTTCCTCGTAATTGATCCCGTGTTTCTGTGTGAACCCTCTCGCGACTAGACGTGCTTTATACCGTAGTATCTTCCTTCTTTGTCTTTCTTGTGATCAAACACAAGCTTGGCATCAACTACTTCTTCTCCGTGCACGTCACCTTCGTTGATTTCCTCCGAGAATGTCTGTCGTCGAATGAGATTCTGAACTTCCTCATCTATAGCTCCTACCCATTGATCCTTCTCACTGCCTTTCATCGCCTGTCGGAAGGTAAGCTTTTCGGGTCGAAGTCGTACAGGTCTGTATTAGGCTGGAGAAGCGTCCTTGCTACCATGGCTCTTTCCTTCCTGCCACTCTCCCTCGCTTCTTCAGACGTTCTGCCATGCGCTGTTCTTCTCTTTGCCGCCATTCCAGCTCTGCTCGCTGCTTCTCTGATCTTTTGAGTGCCACGGCCTCTCGTCGAATCTGGGATCTTGTTTTCGGCAGACTCCTTTCAGGAGAGGTTATATCCGCCTCCCCTGTATTGACAATGATTGTGTCTCCTTGGAGCTCTTCCTCCGAATCCGCAGTGTCTTGGTCGGTCGGGTTCCCATCCGCTGCTTCTCCGGCATCCTCCCCAGCTTCTGTAGCTTCCTGGTCCATGGTCCTATCCCTGACCGAATCTTCGGCATCAGAGTCATCATCAGTGAGCTCCCCTTGCTCCTTTTTCTCTTCCTTCTCATCGTCATACTGCGATTGTGATTCTTGGCTGATTTCATTGTCCATATACTTGCTCTCATCGAATTCCACGAATCGAACCTCGTGGACCTTCTTATCAGCTGGGTTCCAGACTAGATAGATTTTATCTGTCTCCTCTTTGTATCCAACAAAACTCCTTGCCATGCTCTTTTCAGAAGCTTTGTTCTCTTTTCTTTGGGAATAAATACCCAGGCAGGACATCCGAACACTCTCAAGTGCCCTGATCTTGGCTTCTCTCCACGCCATAACTCCCATGGGCTTTTAGCCATTCCCTTGACAACTCCCCTATTTCTCAGATAGGCCGCTGTTGCATTCGAAAACTCCCAGTATGCTGCCGGGAGGTCCATTTCGTGACGCATAGCAGACCCCCTCTCTGATATGGTTCTCATGCTCCTCTCAGAGATACTATTCCCCTCCGGGTGGTAGCCCACTGTTGGTTCGATCCGAATAGCTCTCCCCGTGCAAAATACCTTCATTGCCTCGTTTAGAAACTCCTTTCCGCGATCAAAGCGCATCGCCTTGACCTTTTCGCCTTTTCCGTACTCGCGACACTCCGCCTCTGCAACAACTACCCAGGCTTTGATCTTGTCGGTAATTCTCGTTTTGTCTCTAGAGAAATAAACCCAAACTCGCCCGGTAGCCTGATCGGTGATTGTTAGCATGTACTTCATTCCTGAAGTGATAGCTCAACTGGCCCCCAAAGATCTATATGGACTCTCTCCAGCTTTTCTGTCACCGCAGACATTGGCTCCCTTGAGACTTTTCTTGTCATTTTGGCCTCGGTGCAGCTTGAGCAGAATGACGGGCAGAATGAGTTGTCTCCGAGATCATCCATTACGGCGTTCAGTTTGCCCTCCATATGCTTTCCAGGGTGTCCCAGCCTAGCATGTAGTAGTCTTTCAGGCATCTTCAGGATTGACTTCAGCGCTACCCCGTTATCGCCACCCTTTCTTGGATTGTATGGGCTCGGTGCCCTCTTGTCTGGCTCAAGCGCCACACCTTTTTATGTCTGTGGCCAAACAGCACCTCCTCCTGATTTCTTGTCACCGTGACTGTCTTCCCGGAGAGTCCACGACAATACATGCTCCCTGTCTTCCAGTTCACCGACTGATAGCAGGCTGCTCGTCGCCTCCGGGATGTAGTGCACCCACGTACTATTGTCGACCTTGCTCTTCCTTTCTGTGAGACGTAAAAGATCCTCACATCTCCTTCCCTCTTGAACGAACCTCGGAGCCGTCTGCAATCTCAACACTTGTCTTTGTAGGGGACAACTTTGAGATAAATTGGTCTTCCCTTGGGGTGATATGGACGGAAGCACAGCTGTCGAGATACCATTGTGGAGGGGCTGTTGCTTTTGTGTTCGGAAGCAAGTAGGTAGATCTCTCAGATTCACTACCACTGTCTTCAAGGATCCTGACCGCGTTTGCCTTTTCTGTGCTATCCATGGCCTCTCTCGCCTTCGCTTTTTCAGAGGCTAGCCAGGTCTTCCCTGCTTTGGTTTGGTGCCAAATTGCACAATCATGCTTGAAATGCATGCCGCCACAAGACCAGCACCCCCCTGCCTTCTTCAGATATTCCTCCTTGCTATCATCGCCACCATCCTGTGCTTTGGACCTGTTGTTCCCTTTGTTCCATGCACTGCGGCCACGACCCGCGAATTGTGCGGTTTCTCCCTTGATTGTAGTATCGACGAGTTCCAACTCTTTGCTTTCCAGAGAGCTCTGCACCTTTTCCATTGTCAACGTCTCTGTCGAGGCGTTCAAGATCTCGACCGTAGTGTTAAAAGCGCCGTCCATGCTCATTTGCAAGAAGCAAATCAATAGCTGTTCATGGATAACAATGTCCTTGTCTTGGCTATTAATCTGAGCTCGAAGTCGCTTTAGGTCGTCGACCTTCTCCTGCACAGTTCTATTCGTCTGCGTACTAACGTCGTATAGCATTCGGATCAGCTGTCGAAGGCGCGCTTTGTTCGATGTCGCATATCGCTTAACGAGGGATTGATAAATTGCTCGTGGATCGGTGAGATGATTGACTGAGTTCTTGTGGATCTGGTCAATACTCTGTCGTATTTTCATTCTCGCAAGAGAGACATTTTTAATGTCCGCAGCATTCTCTCCTGGCATTGATAAACCTGACGATTCCGCTATTGCCTTATCGGTGACGCAGCTCATAAGATCGTCACTCAACAAGCTATCTTCAAGATCCATCTTCCAGCTGTCAAAGGAGTCTCTTCCATCAAGGATGGTTCCTTTGTAGTCTTTCTTGCCCATAGTGCCGGGTCTTTGCTGTCAACCGTCGATTCTTGACGAAAAAGTGTTCTCATATGCCGAGTTCAATCGTGCAGTGGAAGCAAAATAAAAGCAACCGGGTGCATAACCTGTTGCGATTGAACTTACTTCTATTCAATTCTGTCTGACAGCTCTCAACATATATATACATAGTGGCACGTCCGTGCCACTATCCAGTGACTCACCACTTGTAACTGCTGCCTAAACATGTCTTGGTCCATGTCTCATACCAAGTCAACAGTCCGGCATGATTCCTTGGAACGAGTCTTGAGAGTAACGATCTAGTATGAATTGTGTGGGTTCGTCACTGTTGAATAACTTGATGCCTACTGGAGAGATCCGATGATGGAAAGCTTCGTTGGACAGAAAGGTCGCAGCAGCGTAGAACGATTCATAAGGGTCAGAGGAGTCAGAATCATCGGATTCCTCGGTGCTCGAGTCATCCTGATCCTGTGATTCCCCTTCATAGTCAGCCAAGAACATAGCATACGAACGAGATTGACCGTGGAAGCCTCTCTCGTAGATACTTCTCTTTGGCTGCTTTTCTCTCGTTTTCAGGATGTCTCGTTGAGAAACAACCTTCCTTGCCGCAAACGTAGCATTTCTTCTTCCAATTTGGCTGACGCCTTTGTGATTGACCTCTTGTTCCGCCGGAATTTCGCTGAAATTTGCGATCCACGAAGTGCTGATCATGTCCTCTATCCAGGTCTTGGGGATATTGGCCACTGGGTTGTTCAGATCGTTCATCTTGCATGGCAGATAGCGATGATCGAAGCTGTGATGCCAATCCCTCAAATGTAGGTGCGGGAGAGTATATCGCGAGTCGGAATTCAGGCACACCACGGCACGCCCTGAGCGTTGCATCGATCAGGCCACCTTCGCCGCCAGACTTATCCCCGAGTGCTCTCCTACAGAGCCGCAATTTCGTAAGAAGGGCCTGGAGGACCTCGTCAGATGACTTACCGGGCATCTCAGCCCGAAGTCGGCTGAAGGTGAGGTGCTCCAGTGGGTATGATACATCTTCTGGTTGATTTCGGTGTCAAAGTGCTCTTTCATCTTCTGATACATCTCAGCGAAGGTTAAATCAGTGCTGATTTCGTGTAGAAAGAAGGACTGAGCTTCCTGGCCAGAATCGAAGGAAAACACCATGGAATTTAGACGGAGGAATGTTTGCTTGACGGCACACGCTCATGAATTTCGGATCTTGTCATCGAAGATATCGTATGGTTCGCCGGTATAGGCTAGTTTCTTGTCCCATATCTTAATGAATCTAATCGTGAGATCGGCCTCAACTTCCTCGTTCTCGAATCGAACAGGTGGAATGCTCGTGTATGCATCTCGGAAGTTGGTAGTCCGTACGGGGAGCGTCTGCTGATACCGAGGGATTCGCGCCATTGATGCTGAGGCTCTTGCTGAGCGGGTTGATGGGTCTCAATGATCTGAGGGGATTCCGGTTCCGCCGGTCGGGTAATAGTTGGCTGCTGGATTACTACCGGTGCCGGTGACGATATAGCCGCTTTAACAGTTCCTTGGAGCAGCTTCTGTTTCACCTTATATGCCACGGTGTTTTCAGCAACCTCTTGACCAAGCAACTCGTTCTCATCCCATTCAGGAAGTTCGTTACTTGTTAGAAGGCCACATAAAGCTCGAGAGATGCTAGAGTTGGCCTTGCCCATATAGATCCCCCTAATTCTGAGAAGCGTCCGGAGTCTTGATCTAAGGCGTGGGTTGATTAGTTCGAAGTCATCATAGCTCCATCCCGTGAAGTCGTTATACAGATCCCCAGGGTGGCGATCAATTCAATTCCATCAATTTGGCCTCACCATTGAGTTGCGTTGACAGCTTACTCATCATTGGTCCCGTTGAGTTGAACCACCTGCCTTCAGATGGGGGCGATTGAGTTGAATTGAAGACGTTGAACCACGTACGGCCCACGGGGTCTCCGAGGGCCCTAGCCGGCAGCATGTCCAGTATCATCCCCTGGACTCCATATAATGCTATTCGCATTCTCCCCTGACACGTCAATCAACGTATCCACGGCGTCGATTAGGCCATTCCGTACCCACGACCGTAACGTTTGCGTAATCCCTATCGTGCTGGCTTCCAATCGAGTCCGTAGCGGTGACACCATTTGCCCAGTGGTACTAAAGAGACGCTCGCACTCTGCGGACATGGGAGGGATCGAGAGCAAGTCGAGAGCCATCCGTGACAGCCGTGGGTAGTCTTTCCGTCTCTGCCACCAATACTGAAATGGGTTGGTGACGAGAGGATCATTCTCAGCGTCAGCACTCGACAGCCAGCGGTCATATTCATCATGGTCCGGATTCAGTGAACTTTCCAAAGAGGAAGATTCGTTTGGCAGCGACGAAGTCCTCTGGGCTCGGTGTCTCTCAAGCGCGCTCATTGCCTTCAGTCGCTTGTACGGACGCTCTTCGTCAGGCATCGAAGGGATCGGCAGCGATTTGTACTCCTCCTCCCACAGCTTTCTCACCATTCTTTTGCCTCCTGAAGCCAGGGAGCTGTGCTTTGTCGGTCCATGTATTCTCGAAATACCCCAACGCGAAACCGGATTTAAAATAGCAGAAGCATAGTATGCTGGCGTTTCGTCAAGCTTCGTATAGTAGTCGTTCAACTTATCCCAGCCCAGATTAATGTTAGCCTTGAGGTGCTCTGGATCGGGGAACTTCTCCGCTACTGCTTTCCACTCCTCTAGTCTGTCCATCAGGAATTCGTAGGTTGAGGCAACATCCCACATGTTTCCGTATGCTTCAATGCGGCCTCCTTTTCGAACTCGACTCTGAGCGTCGCCTTCTAGCATTCGGAGTGCTTCTTCGAAGTCAACAAGCACCCTATCCATCAACTCAATGACCTTCCAGTCATTATCACTGAGAAGACTCTCCTCGCGGAGACACAAAGGCATCTCTTTTGCCCTTCTCATCCCATTGCGGCATTTTTTCCTGAACTCAAGCGTGACCTTCTCAATAAGGTCTTCTAAGAAAGGCCGCAATCCGAGGCCGCGCCGTATCATATAAAGAGTCGAAAGCCAGCGAGTAAGGTTATCAAGGACAACGTCCACAGGTTTCTTCGCTCGAATCTTGGGGTTGTCCGACTTTGAAAAGAACTCCTCCTGAAGTGCACGAAGCCGGTACGTCAGCTTATCGGACTGATGGATCCAATGTACTAGGTTATGAAGCTTTCCGACTGGGCCTTTCTTTCGCCAGATTTCATGCTGGACCGCGTCAAGAACAGGCTCCCCGTTAATCTTCGCCTCAAACGCGTCGGACTTGTGTCCAAATAATAGGGCCTTGACCACCAAGTTGAGCACGTGGCCAAAGCATCGCACCCTCCGCTTCTTCGGATCGAAGCCCAGTGCCTCTGCAATCTCCTCTGTCGCCGTATCCATATTCCCAGCGTTGTCCAGTGTAATATAGCCCACCTTGTCGAGGATCTCATAGCTCTCTAGGATCTCGAGGATCTGGGCTGCGATATTCTCTCCCGAGTGCGAGATCTTCAGCTCCGGCATGCCTAGGACAAGCTTTGATGGAACTCCATCCTTGTCGATGTAAAAACAGATAAGCCCGTGTAAAGCGTGCCGATTCCTGGAACGCCAGCCGTCGAACGCAATATGAATTTGGCCGGGTGCTCTTTAGATTGTCGATTACGCACGTCTTGTATCGGATATAAAGGTCAACAATTCGCTTTCGAACGGTATCGTGCGAGATGTGGGCATTCGTCACTGCGACCGATGGATTCAGGTATTCGAAAATATGTCGGAGACGACAGTGCTCGGGCTGGCGAAAGGAGACGTTGGCGTCGACCACCCACTCGAGAAGAAGTCTCTGAAAATGGTCCTTATCGAAGCGCTGGATGAGGGCGTTCGCGATACCTTGCTCTTTAGGATCTGAAGCGTTGAGATTCAACATCTCCACGATATTCTTGGACGGGTTCTTGTCCATGGTTCCTTTCCCAAGAGCGGGCGGCCCTCTTCCCGGACAGATCGATAAGTCTGTGCTCTTTGAACAGATGATTCTCGATATTCTGAGTGCCAACGGCAGAGAAGTCTGATGTTTTTGCTTCGGCTTCTTCAGGCAGGGCTTGCAAATCCATTTCTCTTCGTGGGATAGTCGCTAGGTTGAATGTCGAAACCATGCTGCCAGACCCACGAAGTCTGCCTGCCAGCGCGCTCGGAAATCGTATAACCTGGGAAATGGTTCCATGGGAAGATGCTCCATTCGTCTTGCAAAGCATCCATGTTAACAAACGGCTTGCTGGACGAGCCTCTGTCTGAGGCATGCTGGGGCTTAATAGGAACGTCGTTATCCATTTGGCTGCAGGAAGAAAGAAGGTGCATTGTTTGGTGAAGGTTTCAGTGCGACGCGACACTCGGAAATTCGGCTCAAACGTGTCTAATCGCCCAGGTATTTGCACATCCTTTACATATGAAATTAATATGGGACCGAAGTACTACGACCTTGAGTAAGGTAAGGCTAGTGACCACGCGCGTCAGACGCGACTAGATCAGGTGTAGGTGCTACCTAGATCACCTCTAGCTTCAACGGCTTCAACGCGTGGTCAACGTTCAAGGCGTCGGCGTGGATTGAAGCTCTCAATGTGCAAGTGAGATTGAATTGATTGAATTGAAACACGTGACTTCCACTTCAATATTATTGAAGAGGTGGAGGTGGAGGTGGAATTGATCGCCACCCTGGCGGCATGCATATCGACGGGAGGAATCGAACAACTGCGTGCTCTCCAACGAGAGATGCCCCCAGTCCAATTCCGTGATGATCGCAAGCCCGAACCAGTTAGATTTGGTGCAGGAAGATTGGAAACACCACTTGGCGTGATCACCTTGAACACACCAGTGGAGAGGTTGATTTTCATATAGTCAACGTGCCAACGCCATTCCTCCTATGCCTAGCTGATATGGATCGGCTCGGCGTATATTTAAATAACGTCACGAACGAGCTCGTTGGCAATGGTGTGAGCGTTCCAGTGATTCGAAGATGGGGTCACGCGTGGTTCTTCTTGCGGAAACAAGAGGCATCAGTGGCATATCTCACGGAGGCTGAATTGCGGCGCCTCCACACGCGTTTTGGTCATCCATCCGTGTATCGGCTGCACAAGCTGCTGAATTCGGCTGGCCATGATGTGGAAATCGAAGCTCTGGAAATGATCAAGAAGTTCTGCCACTACTGTCAGATGAAATCCGACCCGCCACGAAGGTTCAAGTTCAGCTTGAAGGATGATTGTGACTTCAATTACGAAGTCATCGTTGATGTCATGACATTGGGTGGCAGACCAGTCCTCCATGTTGTTGATCAAGCCACTGCCTATCAGGCAGGAGATTCCTATCCAACATGACGGCCAAGGAAACGTGGCTCGCGTTGAAACAATGTTGGATGGATACATACCTTGGACCACCCGATGTGATCACTCATGACGCAGGCACGAATTTCGCTGCTGCCGAGTTCCAAGCAGAAGCGAAATTGATGGGAATAACGTGTCATCAGGTGCCTGTGGAAGCACATTGGGCTGTTGGGAAGGTTGAGAAGTATCATGTGCCCGTCCGAAGAGCATATGATATATTAAGTCCCTGCACATAGAAATGGGCACCCCCCTGTTTTGGGCACCCCAAAAAAATCACGACCATTTTCAACACCATTAATTCAATCCCTTCTCACTGCCCACCACCGTGCACTACGATACAATCGTCACCTATTTCTGAAACCTCAGCTTCGGTTTCATCAGATTCTTCATTCTCAGCTGCGTTCACCTCCTCCTGCGCCCGTCGTATTGCCTCAATATTGGCGAACCTCGAATTCGGGCTCGTGACCACCCTCTTCCTTTTTCGGCTTGACGGCCGCCAATTGTGTTTCCAGTGCCTGAATCTGCAATTGAGCTTTTGCTAAAAGGCCATCCTTCTCGTCAAACCCTTTTGTGATCTTCCTGAACAGCAATCTCTTCGTGGGCACGTCGTCGTCTAGCTGGTTGAATTGAACTACCTGAACCTTCAGATCTTGCGAGCGCCTCGGGGTCGACCACGCAATCTGGGATGTGTCTGATTGCCAGTCACTGGTGGGTAAGTGGCTATTGAATGCATTGGCCACATTTTTCGCGTTCTTTTGCGTCTGTTGCTGTTCTCCAGCAGAAGAGGGCTCAAAAGTGGCTTCGCCATCGACACCGGCCACAAACCCGTCGCTTTCCAGCCACCCTTGATGTTTGACACAGTGAGCGCTTGCTCGCGTGCTTTCTGGTAGCAGGAAAGAAAGTTTTGCTTGCCGACTGGGCTTGAATCGGTCAGGAGGCTGAGAAATCCGACCTGTTTGCGGTAGTAGTGCTTAAGAGCGGAGAAGACAGACAAATCGAGCGGTTGCAGCACATGAGAGGTATGGGAGGTAAGAAAAGAAGGTGAATCTGATGCTGGTAGCATAGATACATGAAGTCAACCGTCTCGTGACTTCCGTGGCCGTCCAATACTAGCAGTCTTCGCTCCGAAGGGTCGGGTGGCTGGGTTCTTGGAATGAACACCTTTTCGAGCCACTCCACCGCAGTTTGGTCCGAAGTCCAGCCGTTCTTTGTCGCAGTGAATTGCCAGTCACTAAAAGTACTGAGATCTTCTGGGAACCACTGTTGCTGGACCGATTTGCCCTTGAAAATGACGAGTGGAGGAGGAAGGTGCCGGCAGCGGACACGCACTCGATGAACGACGTCCAGACCCGAGAACCAGGCGTCTTCTTTTGTACAGATCGTTTTTCAGCACTGCCAACGACCAGGCCATTCTCCCCAAGTCCTTCCATGATGCCTGCTTCATCCATGTTGTACCTGTTCTCCGGCTTAATAGCCAGAATCTCGGGAAGGAAGAAATTGTTGAACCAAGGCCGAATTACCTCGGTAGAAGCGCCGTTGACACGCGCAGAGTCTCTGTGATGGCACTTCTGGGTCCGAACTGCAGGATTTCGTCTTAAAATGCTTGCATCCAGTGTTTTCCGAGCGGTGTGTGGTCTCCTTTGACGGCGAGCATGCGCTGCGCGAACTGCCTGATCTGCGAGTGAGTGGGAGGAAGGCCCAAGGCGTCCTGAATGAGAATCCATTCGGTAAGTTGCTTTTCCTGTGTCTGAGAAAGCCTCTGAAGAGCAGAAAATGCATCCTTTCTGCATTCGTGACCATGCATGCGATTGTAAAGAGTTGCCCTCTGGACGCCCCAATCGCGAGCAGCCTTCTTGGCGGATCCGCCATTGGCGATTGCCTCAAGGGCGCTGTGAATGTCAGACTCTGTATATTTCATCAGTAGTGGCTTGAAGACACATGCGTCAATTTTTTAGCAGATTGGATGCGTTTCCGCGGTGAAATTTGCTGTTGAAGTTGACGCAGCCGTTTAGGTTGGGCACCCATCTTGGGTGCCCAAAACAGGGGGGTGCCCATTTCTATGTGCAGGGACTTAAAGGCAGAGCTGAAGGATACCGTGAGCCCTGATCAAGTCCTTCAAATGGCTTTCAAGGCTGTCAACGACACAGCCGGTCCGGATGGCCTCGTTCCAACCCTCCTCGTCTTCGGTGCTCTGCCTCGAATGACGATGGATTCGCCGCCTACACCTTCCGCAATGGCAAGAGCTAAGGCGGTGTGGCGAACGATGTCAGAGCTGAGGAAGATCAACGCCCAGAGGAAGGTTCAGACCGCGTTAAATACGCGTAATGGGCCTGATACAGCGTTGCGCCTGCCCCTATCCCTGGCGCTAGGAAGCGAAGTTCGCGTATTTCGCGAGAAGCACGGATGGCAAGGCCCATATAAAGTGCTCGAGGTGACGGATACGGAAATCGCAGTTGACCTGGACAACGGACCAGCGAAATTTCGCAGTACATGCGTCCAACCGTACTATCGTCACCCGGAATCGCTCCTTCCTCAGTTGCAACCCGACCCTAGCCCTAGCCGCACAGACCCATCAACACAACAATCACTCCTTCCTCAACACAATCCGATCAACAACATCCTCTTCAAAACCCTCTTCCCTTCCACCCACAACTCAACAACCTCTTCCTCTTCCTACCACAGAAGACCAACCCAAACCTTTCGAATACCCTGAGCCAAAGAGGCCGCGCAGGCGTGGCCGACCTAGGAAGGATGCTGCACAAAATGGCACATCAGAATCCACTATTGTTTGCTCACCCGTTCAATTTATCGTTCATCATGAAGCTAATGCGTTTCTTGTTCGAAAAGAAATGGAACATCTCGGCCTAGCCAAGCGGCTACGAGCTGAAGGAAAGATCACAAGCACCGGTTTCCCATTTGAAGCTTCCGACACACTCGAGCTCACGAACCTCCTCGCCGCTGGGGTCATTGTACCCGAAGAATTCGATGCGAATAAACATGGTGGATATCGTGTCTTCAAATCACGAATGGTCAGAGAGGTTAAGGAAGAAATACTGCAACGCCATACGAGAAATCACGCCTCGTTGTGCAAGGATACAATGATGATGGGAAACGTGGGATCCTCACACAAGCCCTACCATCAGCCGGCCCGCACAACGCGTGGCCTTGGCCTTAGCACCGTTTCTCTGCACACGGGATATGTTCATCATGATCAGAGACATCACGATGGCATACACACAATCCCAGACCAAGCTGGCCCGTGTCATCCTTGCAGCCCTTCCTCAAGAACTCAAAAGAAGATATCCAGAGGGAACAATCCTGCGAATCGTGAAGCCGCTATATGGCATCGCAGAGGCAGGAGCCCACTGGTTCAACACATATCACGACCATCACTGCCGCAAGCTTAATATGGAAACCTCTTCGTTTGACCCGTGCCTTCTGATCACGGCAAACAACATCGCCGACAAGGACCTGTTTGGCATCGCGGCCTTGCAAACGGATGACACATTCATTGTTGGCACAGATGCATTTCTCAAGATCGAGGAGAAAGAACTCTGCTTTAAGGCCAAGCCAAAGAGATTCTCCAAGAAGGTTCCATCTGCGACTTTAACGGCAGCCGCCTGACCATACAAAATGGCTGTGTCATCGTCAGGCAGAAGGGCCAAGCCCAAAACCTCGAGGAGATCAATCTTCAGGCATCAAGTAGGCATCAGGATTATGCTGCTCAACGCGCCCGGGGCATATATCGCTTCGATTTGCCAACCCGAAGCAACATACGATTGTTCCGTTGCGGCACAAGCCCAAGAGCCCGTTAATACCGACTTCAAGGCTTTGAACAAGCGGATTGAATGGCAGATCAACAATCCCGACCGTGGCCTATGTTACATACCCATCGATCTCGAGAGCGCGAAGATCTTTGTGTTCACCGATGGATCATTCGCCAACAATAAGGATTTAAGCTCTCAAATCGGCTTTGTGATTATCATCGCCAATGAGACCGCGCAATCAACCGATTCATTTTCCATCCGCGGAAACATTCTTCATTGGAGCTCAACTAAATGCAAGCGCGTTACTCGAAGCGTTCTTGCATCAGAGATCTATGGATTGACATCGGGCTTCGATCTCGCATTTGTGATCAAGCAAACGGTCAATACGATCGCACAACGCCTTGATCTGAAGCAAATCCGCTCGTCATTTGCACAGATTCATATAGCCTCTATGAGTGCCTCGTCAAACTTGGCACCACAACAGAGAAGCGACTCATGATAGATATCATGGCGCTGAGGCAGGCATATGAATCAAGGGATATTGCGGAAATCCGTTGGGTCAACGGCGCAGATAACCCTGCCGATGCTATGACGAAGGCATCACCAAACAGCGCCCTCACGCAGTTTATTAGCGACAATCAGCTAAACGTGAGGGTGGAAGGATTCGTTCATCGCAATAACACAACAATTCTCGACGAGATTTAATCGGTTTTTCGTTCCTTCTTCTGCTTTACCGTCGTTCTTTTATTCCATTCACATTAACGAGGAGATCCTCGTGTCCATATTCCAACGTGGGACCGATGGAATCAGCTAGCGCATCCGGCGCTCGAAATGCGGCCCATGATGGCGTGTGGCAGAACACACCCAGTGTGGGGAGGAGAGCTCAGTCAGAGCACACTATCCAACATAGTGATGCATCGTGGTAGGAGTTTGTTGGTGTTCTTGTTCGTGTTTTTCCTATCTCATCTTAATTCGCTGTGTTTGGTGTGTTTTTGGTGGATTGATTAGTGCGCGATCATCGATTTAGAAAGAGGTTCCAGTGTTGGATCCACCTGTGCACTAGGCACCGATCGCGCACGTATAACTAATCGACCGCGCTAGTCACGTGCGAGTAAGAGGTGAGACACAGGGAGGAAGGTCTTTGCACACAGTTTGTATGGGACACGTTTCCCTAGTTACACAAGATATAACCAATTGAACCAGTTCGAATAACCTCACTGCAGTGAAGAGCCTGTCCACAGGTGTCGCATATCAAGCCTGCCTAGGATGATTATTCATGAAGTGGCGATGTTACTCGCAACGCCGCTGTTGCCTGCTAGGCAACCGATACTGCGTAATCACGCGACGGACCTTTCATTTGTGTATAAAGAGCTGCACAACTCCGTGCGTTCGTTCGTTCGCTTCTTGTTCTTCAGATAATTCTCATTCAATTGCCTGATGCCATCTCTGACCCATGTGGAGCCAAGATGTCTGACAGGCAGCGATGCCATCTCTTGACTGACGCACATCTTGAACGTAATGGAGGATGGGTTGCCATTTTTTGATACGCCGAGAAATTTTGCCTTGTTTTCTTATATTAAGAGGAATAAAATGTTCGTTCAAATGCTCGCAAGGAATAGAAGGCTCTTTTCATCCATGTTATACCGGTACATGTTTTAGGGCAGGGTGTCGAGTTTCTCCATTTTCGTGCGCGTCTTTCCTTGTCAGGTGTGAAAGGGGAGCCTCGCGCACTGAAGTTCAAGCTAAAAATAAACCTTACATTCAGACGCATAGGTAGGTTCTTTTCAGAAGATGCTCGTACCGTCGAATCACGTTCAATCTGGCTCATTACGGGTGCGTAGAATGAGGTTATCCAGGTCGCCCTTCCAACCCCCATTTTTGGCAGTATCCTGAGCCAAGTTCCGCACTATGGATATAATAGGGAGAATCCCACATGATTAAAGCCTAAGATGAAAGTCAATAATGTTCTGTTTTTGCTGTGTTGGCCGAAATGACTTACACAATCTGTCGGCATCCTCTTTTGGCCGTTGCTTGGTTTGATGTCAGCACCGCAGCGCACTGCCCACTAGATAAAAGTTCTAAATATATCCTAGACTTTCACTGCTTCTGATAATTCAGGAACTCAAATGATACGTCAATTGGCACCGTGGTTGTTGAGCTATCGTCGATTGATGTTGAGCGTGCGAAGTCGCCACTTGGAGGCCAAATTTGTGGTGTTTGTATTCCGTATTTTGGCAACAGATTCCCTTGGATTAGACCGACTCTTGTCGCAGACAAGCTCATATCTGATGGTCCCAGGTATGTACACGTACATTGCCATGCTTTGGTCCAAGACGAGGGAAGAGAAATTAACGGACATGTCCTGCCTCACGTCCCCTTCCTGAACCCCGGCGCAGGGGAGGCTGCGGACTAGTCTGCACGGTTCGGTTCGCCCCCCTGCGCCTACAGGCTACAGGGAAGTTGGCTACTCGTAACTATGCAGCATTGGCGAATGTGATCCGCGCATATCGATGCGGAAGCTGAAGATTTCCTGGCCAAAGATGCATAAACCACCTCAGGGGTGGTCGGCAGCCTGCAGGCATCAGCGAAGCAACCGCGGACCACAGCCCGAAAGAGGAGGAAGGCGCATGATCCCACCCGACGATATGTGCAATGAGGTGGTCAAAGCTGCGCCTTGGGGATTCTCGGAATGGTTTGCTGGAGCTCGCGTCCCGACCAAGGCAGCCCGTCCCAATCTCGTGTAGAAAGTGAAGGAGCGTAGGCACCCCCCCCCCTTTGTCTCGGTTCCCATGTTTCTCCTTTTCTTGCAACTCTCTGAAAGCCAGCAGACGCCAAACGATCTAACAAGTCCCTTTTGCCCGCCATGTCTACTGACTCTCCCTCGACAATACAAGGGAATATGAGTTCCACCGAATCGACTGCCTGTGGACAAACTGGCCATCTTCGTGCTCTCGATATGCTTATTCGTCCTGCTTCGCCTACATCAGAATTTTCGGATACTGAAGGTCAATATAACGACGTAAGTCGTCGAGACAAAAATGCGCAAGACGAGATTGCAGGGTCACCTACGGCGAATACACAGCCTGTGTTCGCACCTAGCGATCTTGAAGATGGTGGTCACTGTTCCTCTTACGACGATGGCAAGGAGAATCGTCCTCCTGCTGGGCTTGCTTTTCGAGTCGCTGTATCCGACACCCGTTATCGAGTAGAAGCCAGCGGTACCGTCGATAACAGACAAGACAGACAGGTTGAAATGGAATTCGACCTCCCTCTCTGCGAGCCTGTCAGCATTACCATCAGCCTTTCTAAGTCTTCTCCTTCGGGCGCGTCTCGACACACCAGGCAATACAAGCGGAGAGACTATGACGGGAACTCGAGGAGTGTGGATACAGAATTTCGAGCGTCTGAACGAAGATGGCAGAACCATGGGCAGGGGCACAAGCGACAGCGGATTCACAAATCTCGGAAGAGCAAGCGACTAGTCGTAGAGGAGTTTTGAGTTCTCCTATCTTCACCAGCTATTAGAATGGTAGTAGCCCCTAGATACATCCTCTAAGAAACGTTTACTCCACAAGCTGGCATTTACATCCTCGCTCGCCTTCATACTGCCCTCGGGTCACCGAATCATGCGATTCTTGTCGATGATTCAAGACGGCGTCGGTTGTGAGCGCCCTTGCCGCCTTTCCAACACGAGTCCAAGTCTAAGTGAGTCGGTCAACTCGGTCGTGAGCACACTGCGGCGAGTCGTTTGTGGCGAAATAACTACCCGGGGCTTCCCGCAGTCGCATGTTGACTTGAGCATGCTGAAAATTGAATCGAGGCTCCTCGCTAAATCCCTTTTCTGAGGTTGACTGTTGCTTTCTTACTCTCCACCATAAGCGTGATGAGTGATTGCCGCTGCCTTTCCCTATGTTAGGGTGTCGTAGGCCGGAACAGCCCCCACTTCATGCTTGGCTCGCCGCTTTGACTGCCATCAGAACTGTAGTCGTTCACGGCGAGCTCGTCGCGCATCCAACTCGGAAGGATTACTGTAAGGCGCACACAACTAGACAGAGAGTGAGGAACGGGGGTCAATCATTCAATTCATTGATCTCTGAAGATCCCATAAAATCCCGAGAATAGGCACCCTTCTTATATCATAGCATCCTCCGTTTCCTGACGGCCTACTCCGAGACATCCCGGAGGTATTCCTTTTCCAAGCGCGTGACAATTACTTGGAGCATTTGCACGACCTGAATGCAGCATATGCATGTGGCCCAAACTTGAGACGCTTAAATCTAAGGAATTGGCGGTAGACGGAGGGCGTACAGTGATGGAACCACCGTCTGTTTGATTCAGTGCCCTCAGGATAACACAAGGTGCTCCGTCGACCGTTCAGTACCGGGGTCTGTCACCGCAGACAGCTGCACCTCTCTGTCGACCCGTTTCCTCTGGTGCTCTCTCATTATACTGTCCAGAGGTACTGCTGGCACAATTAAAATCGCCAGACAAAGTCCACACTGACTTCCAAACTGGTGTCTCACCCAACCAGTCACAGAACATATCAGGAGCACAGATGATGCTAGGAACACCAATCCGCTCACTGCCCCAAGCCACGGCATCCCCTGGTTTGACGTCGGCTGCTCTGGCTGAAGCTGGTTAGAGTGCCGGTCAAAACGACGGAAAGACTGTGTCTTCCTCCATATTGCCATAACCATAATAACGGTAACAAAGTGAGACACCATTGGAGCAGCCCACCAGTATTCGACGCCGGATAGCGGGAATTGCCAGACGGTCGCCCCAATAAAGGGAAGGTGAAAGACTAATGCTAGTCCAAAAATGATGATTCTCGCCTTGGAGGGGTCAGGCTCAACGGCGCTACAAAAATAGGCGTAAATCAAGGGATCGGCAACTTGAATAAGCTGGAAACAGTGAGTATATCGGGGACATAACTAGACGGGTTGGAATAGAGTACCTCGATGGTGTCGACGCATAACATCGTGACTCCTTTCCAGGCCGTGAAGAAAGGGTAGGCAAGGACGCTCGGTAAGAGTGCATTTCTCGCACTGCCGAACAAAGAGGCAAATATTAATCCGGATCCCAAGAAGAGAGAAGCCGTAGAAATCAACGCCCAAGTTCGCCTACGCGAAGCTTCTCGAGGCTTGACTCTGATCATCCAGTACAGGTAGGGCGCCAGAAAGACCGTCGTCACGGCAAACATGACACCAGCCTCGATAACCTCCTTGATGGTAATCTCGTCATGCATGTCGACATTTGACAACCTTTAATGGTGGAGAGAGTGGGACTGGGACCTGGTGTGATGAGAAGGCATATGAGCATCGGATTCTTAAGTCATAGCAGCAAATGTTAGTACATAGCAAGTAACGCTCAGGTAAAAAGAGCCGCAGTACATTATCCTGTCTTTTACAAACAGGACGACATACCTAGAGTAAGATGGTAATTGGGTGTTTTGTGCATAATAAGGTTACGCCATCATCGCCTTGGGGTTGGGCTACACTCCGCTACAGTTGGTATGATGACTTGCATATATGAAGCATATAAGCTTTCTCCACATTAAAACCGCCTGGTCAGAGTAGGGTGGGTGGAATGGCACGTCTTCAACTGGTCAATGCGGTTGGCTCACAGTTACGAGGCCATCCAGTATCTCGGCATCACCAGCAGTGCATACAACCTGGTTCATGCACTCTAGCTTGCATGCGTCTAAGCACTACTTGAACAGGGTCGGAACGCTATGGACCGGCACAGGAGGGCAACGTGTCCAGGGGCCGTGACGATACCATGAGCTCTCTGGTGGAGATGGACCAAACAAGGATGGTCAAAGGCACGGCAAAAGGTGTCGTTGCTCCATTTTACCTTGAGATTCTTAGGGCAACGGGAAGCGTGTCTCTCAGTTGTGACAATTCCGCAAGATGAGCTTCGTGCTTGCAAGCAGAGCCAAGAACTTGGCTCTCTCCTGGTCGGCCTTATCGAGGCCATTGGTCCTGAGCGTCAAGAACAGACTTGCAAATAGATAAATCAAATCAAATCCGGGGTCCAATTTGATTTGATTTGGATAGCAAAATCATGGATCTGATTTGATTTGATTTGATTTGAATCGATTTGGATCTCATTTGGATATCTGGATAGCCCCACTTTTTCCCACGACAAAATACATTGAGCCGCTCCTATACCTTAAGGTCCGCTTTGATAAGGTCCGCTTTGAGGCGGCCTCTCTGAGCTGCGGCCATCTGTCCGGCAAGGCTAAATATTCTCTCCGGCTCTGAAGACATCGCCGGAATGGAAAAGAGGTCGATTGCCATTCGCGACAGGCGTGGATATTGGCGTCTGCGGAGAAGCCAGTACTGGATGGGATTGTCCACAAGACAATCGCCCGGATCGGTACTGCCCACCCATTCTGCGTACTCGTCACGCATGGAGGACGGTGAGGGCGCAGGTTGGGCGCCAAGTTTCCTAATTGAGGTCATGAAGTCATCTAGGTCCGTTGTCTTCCTTGCAGCTGTGGGCTCCTCGGGTATCGTATCTTGCTCGACCGCGAGGGTTCGGTACTCCTCCCATATGCGCCATTGCAGCAGTCAAGTGCAGAGCTGTCCCATTTTGGCCATCGGCTACAAATATCTCCCCCCGTAATATGGCAGATGCACCCAAAGATATATTTCACGATCAAACGTGTCAGGTAAAACACAAAAGAAAGCTTGGTGACACGGCCTGGAAAAGCAACTGCCCGTAATTAGCGACCACTCTAGGCCAGGCAGGGCTGGCTCCCAAAACTATTGGCCCAGGTCGCCATTGTGGGGCGTATCCAAATAATCAGATATCCAAATAAATTTGGGTGTTGCGATTTGATTTGATTTGATTCAGCGCAGGGGCAATTTGATTTGATTTGATTTGGATTAATTTGATTTAATTTGATTTGATTTGATTATGATTTATCTATTTGCAAGTCTGGTCAAGAAAAGGCAGGAATTTCAGGCGGGAAGGGAAGGATCAGAGAATAGATATCTGAGATTAGAAAAGGTAATTAGTTACTGGGCAATTCCTTCGGCTTTTTCGTCTCTTCAAGAATCATCTCCATCGCCCTTTCTAAAAGTGCTCTACCCTTATCGCTGTCCAACTCATCAACAGAACACGGTTCTTGACCATCCATAAAAACCGCGCTCGCACCGCAACTCGCCAATTTGACAAATCTTCTGGACTCTTCCTGCCATGCTTCGCGCATACCTATTTCCATTTCGGCGCTGATGCTCCTGAAAACCGGAATGTCCACTCCCTCACCCAACCTGGACGGCCCCCAAAAATATCTATCCTCACTGAGCTTTCGACAATACCAGTAACGGAGTAGAGATGATTTATCTCTGAGGTCGTGGAAATTGTGGTGGAGTCTTTTGTGAGGGTCTTGCATACACCTCTTGCAACTTTCGGTGATGATCTGAAAGGGTTGAACTCCCAGTCGGCACGGCTGGTCATGATTGCACTTCTTTTGATCAACATCGTCGAGGTGACCGCACCTCATCGAGCCTTGAGTGACAATATGAGATGCCATTATAGAAGACCTGTGAACGGTGATGACTACCGGTTTGTCTATGCATGCGCCATTCGATGCCTTATATCATGATGATGATGCAGGGTTAAAAGCCACTCCACTCAATCCACTAGTGAATTCCACTGCTAATCCACTGGCTTTTTTCAGTGGTTGGCCAATCCACTGAATCAGCTTACATCCGTCGTGGGTGGGTTGGTCGGCGTCCTTCTTGAGAACGATGTGACATCGACGCAATCTGCATTTACAGTTACTGAGGCGATGATGAGGAAGGGGCGCCAGTCCCAAAGTGGACTTTTTTTCAGAGCTGAGAAAAAGTCCACTTCGGGACTAGCGTTAGATGCCGCAACTTACCTCATGTGAGAGCCCCCGCACTTTCCAGCCTCAAGTGTCGCTCCCTCCCTCTCACCTCAAGCCTCGAGGCTCCTTAAGCTACTCCCTCCAAATCCTCCAAGTAACGAGTTCAAAATGGGCCAATATTCGAGCGTAAATCCCCATGAGCTTAATACTGGAATAGTGAGTTGAACTAAGGAGAACCTATTCGTGTGCTGACAAAACTTAGATAATTGAGTTCTTCAATACTGTCTGGCCAAAACTCGATGAAGATATCAAAATGCTTGTTCTCCATCAACTAAGGGCAAAAGAGCCTCAGAACTTTGAACCCAACCCTCCCCTCATCATCTTCCTCTTCAGCATGCAGACCATTGCCCGAAGGCTTTCACTCTCTGAGAACTAGGGCTCCACCTCCCGAGCCTGTGCCTCCCCACAATCCCATTGCCAAATCCCCGACATTTACCCCGTTGCCTGAAGTAGTTAAGCTACACTTCGCCAAGTCCTGTCAAGATCCAGCAAAGTTCTTTGACCAGTCTGATAATGGGGAGACACCGACAAACCCTTTTCACTGTGGAGCTTACCTGGCTCTTGTCCAGAACAAAAACATTGCGTGGATCGGACATATCCAGATAAGATTCCTAACAGTTGGCTTTCATGAGCTAGAACTACACCTTAGGGAGACTTGCCAGAAGTTACAACCTAATCGGTGGGTTAGAAGAGAGCTAACTAACATGGCTCAAACATGGCAGCCAAATCGGCCAGAGGATGAAGTGAAAAAGGAAGTCATAGACTTCTTAAGCTGGGGGAGACGTTACCACCAGTTCATGACAGAACTCTCAACGGCAGCAGTGGCGCGACTCCGCCCTGACAATCGGACTGAGTATGTATTCAACGCCATCACCTACTTATTCTAACTTGACGATAGCTATGAAAAAAACGTTCCATTATGTGGAAACCGACGTAAAGAGTACATCGAGAAACTCAAGGCACTCAAAATCACAGAAAAGGACGATATTGATCCAGTTGCTGAGAGTATACGAGTATGGACACACTCTCAATTCTTATTGTGCTATAGTCAAACAAAGAATTCGGGACATAGTAAGTTAGGTCCCACGTAACACATTCATGCGAGTTATAATTTGTTTATACACTAAACCTCCGCTTTCAGAGGACACGCTACGGAGATCCCTCAAACGCAAATTGCCCCAAACAGTCACCTCGAATCCGACGCAAGATAAACTGCAAAAGATAAGAAAGTCTGGAGTTGAGAGTCCTGCCCGACTAGTTCAACCAAGGTCTTCTACTGCTATACAACCCATTTGCTTCACAATCCAGCAAACGGATCTGGTTACGCTCGCAGATACTCCGCCGCTTACACTTCGCCCGTTCGATAACGAGACCAATGTCACGGGAGAGTCTGCATCTCATCAAACAATTCTTTCCGCTCATAATGAGAGGCCAACAACATCTAGCATACCACAAAATTTTAATATTGACTTCAATACCCTCAGTGCTGACGGCGTTTTTACTGGCGCCCCCGCTATAGAGGTGGATGTCAATGCTCTGGATCCTGATGATGTTTTGACTCGGTCTGCTCTTATCGATGTTGATTTCAACGTATTGGATCCCGATGCTGTGATGGCTCAGTCCCCTCTTATCGACGTGGATTTCAATATTCTGGATCCCGATGCTGTGATGGCTCAGTCCCCTCTTATCGACGTGGATTTCAATATTCTGGATCCTGATGCTCTGATGCAGCCGTTGAGTGCAGAATATAACTCCCCGGAACTTGGTGCTGCACCAGAACTGATCTTTAACCCCGCATGTTAGAGCTAGACCAACTACAAAGTTCATAGACCCAGCCTTCGGCCTCAATTCCTGGGACGGATCCTTGGACACCGACTTTCCAGGAATAGCTGATGGGATATATGCAAGGAGCATAAACACGAAAAACGGGGTATGAAGAAGGGGCCCAATGATTCAATTGTTGATCTCTGAAGAGCTTCTATAGCGACGAAGAAGCTGCCATCAAGGACACACCTAGCCCTTAACTGCCGCAATAGCAAGGTCAGCCATCACAAATAATCAGCCAGCCACCTGCCACAATCCAAAACCTTAGGCGCGCAACAGCATACTTCGGTGAGTTCTAAAAACTGTCCTTAACTGCCTTCAACAAGGTCTCGTTAAACAGTGAGAATTAGACAGTGTCATCCACTGGCTAACTATTCCTTGACTACCCAGATCCAAAGCAGGCACAATACTTTGTCTTTCTCAACGTGAACTGTAGCCGGCTGAGATATTTGCACTTTCTGTTTACGATCCAGTGGAATATTCCCATGTCCAAACTGAATCGAACACCCTTCACTGGTGTGAATTGGAATGATCTCGCTCGGCGTGTTCGTAAGTCTATACTGCCTCGGGCCAGCAATTCTGAAAATAGAAACTGCCGTACTCTGAAGTTGTCAGGACCAAATTAAAGTAAATAATATGATGGACTAACCTTCTCGCTAAATTTGCTGATAATTAGGCTGCGCAAGTCCTTGTGTGTACCACGTTCTAACCCCTCATAGTCAGTTTTCCTCCATTGCGCATCATTCACTTCCAGCCAACGGCAAAGCTCGTCGACATTCGCCTGCTCCACAGCCTGGAGTGGTCTATGCTGAGGATGGTTTTCCTCCGTGGCGCTCATGTGACCGATCAGAAGGGCACGTTCAAGTAAGGTGTCTTAAGGGGCACGGCTATGAAATATGAAATGGATGCGTGGTTTGGCGAATGCCAATCTTCAGGATAATTTTTAGGCCGCGGGGTGGCTGCCTGAAAATAGCTGACGGCCAATCAGCCCCACGCGTGATTACGTCGGTCCGAACATGCAGCACGTCGTGCCATGACGCCATAGCGGAGGCAATCTGCTTATGCCTCGCATCGAGGATTTTCCTCCGCCCTCCGCACAAGCCACATGGCACAAGGTGCTCCTGCTCGAACCTCCTCGCATCAATCGCGCCGCTTTTCGTTCTCATTAAAGTAATAAGCGGTCCTGTTTACCTATGTTTCTGTCTGACTTTTACGCCGGCCAACTCCTTTAGGGAAACAAGTACGCGATCAGCCGGGCAGCCGGGCCAGCCAGGGCTTAGTTCAACGAAATAACGCATCTTCAAAACTTGAGCTTAATGCGTAGAAATGACGTTGTCAGATAGAATAGGCTTACAAGATGTACCAAGAATGCTCCTTAAGGGAGGTGCCCCTATTTTGCGTGGCCCAGTGGTTGATCTGTTGTTTGCAGGGTGGCGATCAACGCAACGTCAATCACGAGGTTGTCAACCAGGTTGATGTCAACCAACTCAACCCAACTCAACGGAGCCAATTCTTACTAATCAACCAACTCAATATCATCACGATATTGAGTTGGTTGCGTTGACAAAGGTTGATTAGGTATCGCCGCGATGTTCGGAAATTTTGGTACCGGGTAGCTCAGCCCGAACTGTGCCCAGGGGTTAGTGCTTGTTAAGGAGTACTTCTATATACACCTAGGAATATCATAAATCTATGTACCACACACAATGCATTAACCTTAACTGGTCATGGGCTCGACGCGTCAACGCGTCCGATGCGATTCGCTCGCGTCCTGTCACTCTGGTACCAGCGTCAGCCTAGCCTCCCTTCACCACTCGCTTCTCTGGACCCTCACTTCTTCCGCTCAATACGTTCAAAAAGTTCAGATTTCGAGGCTATGGACTTCGTACCACCTCCCCCTTTCTCACCGGCTCCCTTAACGCCAGCTCCATCCACACCCGAGCCGTCCACGCCAGCCGAGGCCCGCGCCGCTCGACGAGACGAAGATCGATTGTTCCGACATTTCCGTGGTTACACATGGGCCCAGCGAAGCCGAAGCACAAAATCATGGGTATGGGAATACGGCTTTGATATCGAGAAGGGCTCGGATCGGCGATGGGTTTGCAAAGTTTGTATCGAACGGAACAGGCCGAAGCCCGGCACTGTAATTTCGATTGGCACCCAAAACGCTGAGCGGCATCTCTGGGACCATCACAAGATCCAAGATCCCTCTGGAAAACGTTCTGCACCAGCGCCTCGAAAGAAACCGTCCACGGGATACCAGACGATAACGGATGCCTTCAACATCGATCTAAACACGCCCCGAGAGCAAGCCATTGCGAATCACCTTATCAAGAGCTTTGACAGGAATGTCTTCCAACGTCTAGTGGTCGAATGGATCGTCGAGAGCAACCTGTCGTTCCGAGAACCCGAAAATACGAGGCTGCGGGCCATTTTCGAGTACCTCAACCCGTGTGTTGCGAGCGCGGATGCCCATATCAGTCATGATACGGTTCGCTATTTGCCAGGTGCTGCGGTCATGGTTACAGGCGGGTATTGTGGAGGAAGTTGATCCGATACTATTGAACAAGGCGGATGAAGCAGTGACTGGGCAGCCGGTCGAGGAGAAGGCAGTACGAGGATGGCTATCGCACGGAGGATGAGCAAGTGGGCATAAAGATCAGGGACTGGAAGACTCTTGATTCTGCTATCTAAGGTGGGAAAGAGGCGAGATCTTTATAGACTGCCTGAATATGAGAATGGAAGGGAATGGTAGTGAATGGAAGCATCTGATCAGATCATCTGGAAGCCACTGATGCGTTGATGATGCCTCCTAGAAGTTTCTGTGGGGAAATGTGGAAACGGACTGTGCGAATAGGGGGTCAGACTGTTGGAGGCTGATATCCTATGTGTGACATACCCCCCCAGGTTGTGCTGGCTAGTGGGCAGTGCAAACTGAAGAAAGAAACTAGATCCCTAGCAACGTAGAGTCTGATACCAAGGAACCATTGTAATTCCCTTGGTCTGTCATCGCGTACTTCCTCTTGAGGGCTGCAACCATCTCATCAGCTGCGTCCTCGTTTTCCTTGCGATAGAGGAAAACAATATCGTCAACGAAGAAGAAAACAGTGAGCCAGTCGTTCTGGAAGATGCAGGGTTCGTCGGGACACTGTGTAAGACCAAGCTCTCTGAATGCAGCAGTGAGTTCCTTCTGCCAAAGAAGAGGGGACCGTCGGAGGCCATAGAGGGCTCGCATGAGGCGAAGAGCCCATCCCTGTCTGTAGTATCCGTCTGGGAAGGCTACATAGACCTCCTCCTCGTCTTCTAAGAGGGCGTTTGTGAAGGCATTAACTGCGTCGAGCTGTCGGGTCTCAAGGTCGAATTTGGCGGTGATGGCCATGAGAATCCGGAAAGAACGTCCTGCAAGGGTTGCTGCATAGGTGTCCTTGTCACCTAGCTGTTGAAGATCTCCTCGAACACAAAGACGGGCTTTGAACTTTGTAAGAAAGCCATGCTTGTCGAACTTATACTTAAAGACCCAGGTAAGTGGCAAAAGCTTGCCCGTGACCTGGTCTCTGGGGACCGCTCTGAAGGTTCCTCTCTGTTGGAGTGCTTTCCACTCGGCGTGGGCTCCTTCTCTGAACTGAGGACCAAATCTGTGGGTGCGAAGTTCCTTATACGTCGTAGGTTCGGGAGGAAGGTGTCGTCTGTGAAGTTTTTCTTCTCTGCCGAGAAAGAAAGAGCTGTGGAATTGACCCTTAGTGTTGGTCGAAAAAGCACTGAGCTTGCGAGGCTTTGGAGTGCGGGCTGAGCGCCGTGGCTGAGAGTCACTCGGACCGGGGTCCGGTGTCGGATATGGGTGCTGAATGTCATGAAACTCATCCTGATCATCCGAGTCCTCATGATCAGATGGTTCGGGTTGTACCACAATCGTGGTGGCGTCTCCTTGGTCTGAGGTTGAGGAGATTGCTCAACGGGGTCAGGTTCAGGTTCATCGATTTGAGTGGGGATTTCCTCGTAATCCGACTCGTCCTCGATGTGGGCTGGAAGCTGTACTTCCACGCGCTGTGGGATAGGTTCTGGTGGCTGATCATTTCCGTCATAGAAGATGCTTTCATTGAAGGTCACATCTCGGACCCTTCGGACTTCTGATGTGGACGGAATCCAGATCCTGAAAATGTTCGTGGAATCATATCCAACGAGATAACCGATTTCTGTGTGAGGGTCGGTCTTTAGGTCCTTCTTCTGTCTGTTCTGAAGGGCCTGGGGTGTCAAGGATAGGCTCTGCAGCCGTATGCCTTGAGAAACGTGATGTCAGGCTGGTCTTGCTGGTAGCCTATGTCTCTGTTGTTGTCTCGCAGCCACTGATGAAGCAGCTGGAAAGGCGTTCGGAAGCTGTGGTTCTGCATGGGCGATCTGTTGTGCAAAAACACTGCTGCTTTCAAGTCTCTGGCCAAAGATCAGATGGTAAATTGGCATCAATTCCCATTGTTCTGGCCTGGGCAGATATTACCCCCCCAGATCGCTCTGCAGAGCCGTTTTGAGCGGGAGTGTAAGGGGCAGAAGGTTCATCTTGAATCCCCTTTCCTCGATCCAGCTCTCATACGCACTCTGAAGAGAACGATCGTTATCACGGTGGATAATGCAAATATTGAGATTCCATTGGCGTTGAATCATTGCCTCATGGTTTCTCAAAGCAGTCATAACGGACCCTTGTGTCGCGTCATTCAGAAGGTAGATGAAGATCATGCTTGTAAATTCATCTTTGATAAGAAGAACAGCTTCCTTGCCGTTGAATGAGGTGTTCATACTGAAGATATCAACGTAGATTCTCCAGAATGGTCTGGGGGCTCGGTTTTGAGGGGTTCGGCGAGAGACGACCTTCTTTCCCTTCCCAAGGGAACACGCGGTGCAATCGATGGTAACTGGGCCTTTGATCTTCGAACCCGTCGTGTTCTCAACAAGACGCTCTAGGGCTTGAGCGTTCAAGTGGCCTAGGCGCTTATGCCAAAGCGTAGCATCTGCTGTTTTCACTGCGCGAGGTGCAGATGAAGATGTGAAGTTGGAGGCGTGAGAGTCCTCCTTAATCGGGTTGAACTCGATGACCGGTTGACGAAAGCGGCGTTTCGTATGAAATATAATCTGATCGTCTTTAGAGACGCGTCCAGATAGTGGATTCCAGTTGTATCCCTTCGCAAGAAAGCGGTCGAGGATGCGATGTTGGTGTGGAATTTTGGCACGAAGGCAACTTCGTTGAGCTGAAAAAGTCCTCCTTCTTCAAGCTTCATACGGACTGTGCCGTAGCCAAGGATCTGAAGTTGACTATCGCCTGCAAAGAGCTCTTTTGGCTCTGCAAGGGCGGTGTAGTCAAGAAAACGGGATCGGTTGTTGCAAATGTGTGTGTCTGATCCGGAATCAAGGATAAAGGAGTCATACAGCGGGTAGACTGCCTTTCCCGTCGAGAAACTGGTTGATGGAGGTGTTGAGGGAGGCGGTGTGTTGTCAGGAGCTGGTAGAAGACCGGCAAACGCTGTGCCTTTAACGGAGGAGTCGGACGATTTCTCCATTTCCTTCTTCTTGAAGTCTTGTGCTTTCTCCGTCATCTTCTTTGCCCATGGATTGAGTCGAGGATTTCCTTGATCTTCTTCTCAACCTTCTGATCAGGAGTCCAGCCATCAGGCCGAGCTGATTTGATGAGATAGAAGCAATCTACGAAGCGGTGATATTCTCCGCAGACACACATAGGAACACCATCAGCGTTCTTGCTTGAAGACCACTTAGGCTTGTCCTCTTTCCTCTCCGATTTCTCTCCCTTGCCTTGGAAGGCAGCTCCGAATGATCCTTTGCTGTTGTTGGCGGCCTTGATTCGGTGAGCTCGTTCAAAGATCTCACTGATCTTAATGCCGTCCGGGAAGTCGGTCTTCCACTCAGGCTTGCCGAATACGGCCTCGTCTTCCATTTTGTTGACCCAATAGTCTGTGAATGGGGCGTTGATGGACGAAACAGCCTGTAGGAAATCTTGGGTAGGGCGAAGGTCCTGGACATCAGGAAGCCCTAATTGCTTTGCCTCAGTGAGGACTTTCTGCCATTGGGTGACCCAAGCTTCGATCTTGGTCCTGTTTGGCGACTGAAGGGTGGAACGATAACGCTGAACAACTTCCTCTCGAGTGCCCAGTCGGTTGGGGCCACACGAGCCTGAAGCAAGGCAAGTTGCTTTGCAACGTCGTGTTCCTCGGCAATGGTGCTGTAGTAGTTGCCGATGGTCTTGACGATGTGTTGTTGAAGGCTGGCGAGTGCCTTCACTTGATCCCTATACCCTTGAAGCTTCGAGCGGTATTGGGTGTGGAGGAATTCGAGACGGCGAAATTCCTCCGAGGTCAGATCCACGAGATCAGATGCTTCGTGGTTGATTTGTCGGAATGTTGGTTCAACTGGCTGCTGAAGAACCGGCTTACCCTCCTTGACGGCAGGGTCCAGAAAGTCCCAAAGACTGTGGGACGTGGCGAATTTCTTGATGATAGAAATCCATTGTTTCCAGTCGCAAGGGCCGTTGAGCACGGTGCCCTTGGAAGAGCCATCAAGATCTAGAGCTGAGCTCATTGTGGAAGCTATTCTGCGCAGCGGAGTGAACAAGAATAAGATACCCAGTCAGTGGCAGACCGGGCTCATAACTATCGCACGGAGGATGAGCAAGTGGGCATAAAGATCAGGGACTGGAAGACTCTTGATTCTGCTATCTAAGGTGGGAAAGAGGCGAGATCTTTATAGACTGCCTGAATATGAGAATGGAAGGGAATGGTAGTGAATGGAAGCATCTGATCAGATCATCTGGAAGCCACTGATGCGTTGATGATGCCTCCTAGAAGTTTCTGTGGGGAAATGTGGAAACGGACTGTGCGAATAGGGGGTCAGACTGTTGGAGGCTGATATCCTATGTGTGACAATGGCTTCGGGGTTTGCCAATGCAGATGCGGGAGGAAGAGGCAGGGTGGGAGTAGAGTTGCGTTGGGTCATTGGGCTCCAAGGTGGCGATCAAAGCACTAAGACGAAGACGGGGCATGGGGAGCTGGTCAACCATCAACGCAACGCCAACCAACTCAACATAGGGCCAAGGTTGATCAACTCAACGGAGGAAAAGCTTATTAATCGGTCAACTCACTCAACTGAGGGCTGAGGTTGAGTTGGTTGCGTTGATCGCCACCCTTGTTGTTTGACAGACGTTAACAACCTTCGCCTGTCTATGCCCGATGCGAATAGCTTCACTTGATAAGTTACGTGTCAGACTGTGCAGCCCAAAGAGGAAGCCTGTACAGTGAGCTACGCTGAATGGCCAATGCAACAGCCCCCTATTTCTCTTCCTCCGACCGGCAAGGCGGATGGCGCCGTGCCCACATGCACAGGGACTTCTTCCAAAACAGCAGAGGGCGCAGAACAGGCTCCCTCTCAGTCCGAGGGATGTCTCAATACCCATTAACACGGGGCTTATCCCCTTAGCTGTAAGGAAGTATGCAACATCGGTCTTTCCGTTTGTGCCTACGTAGTGCTTCCACTGTGCTCTCGACCACCGTTCAACAGTACGCGCTGATGGGGGCGTAAGGTATATAGGCCCTGAGAATTGGCGCACCTAATTATACAGTATCGGTAATCCAAGAGCCGCAGCAAGAGCATTAATCTACAGACTCGCTCTCGTCTTAAGTAATTAATTACGTATTGGCTACCTACGACGCGGAAGCTACAGACACAGTAGATGTACAGACGAGCAGCTAACTAGCTACAATTTTCGAGGAAGCGTTTCACTCTTAAGCATGCGGCGTGAAGCCCTACGCCCTTGAAGTCTATATTGTAGAAGAGTATAAGCAAAGAATGGTGTCGCCCTGCCAGATATAGCCAGCGCCGGACGCCAGGGAGTCCACAGTGCAGAAGTTAAGGTGGACATTGAGGTCGAATTTTCACGTAGATACACCGCATCAAGCGGTTATGAGATGCGGACACGTCTTGCGGACGTCGCCGCCAATAGTGAGGATGATCGCCTTCAGGAAAGCCTGTCGATCGCCACAAGCAGCTCGCAGCCATTATTTTCGATGTTGTCCACCTAGCGTACGCTGTAAAAAGCGACGGCAGTGTTGCGGTGCGTCTCACTAAACGTGCACCGCCGCTTTACTTACGATAGAAGCATCACAACTTGTCAATGAGGGGCTTGCGCGTCTAGAACGCCTGCCGCGCCATAAACCAGCGTAGGGGCTGGTTGAGGTTTTGAGGGACCTGGGACTGTTCTTACAACGCGTAAAAATTACTTGAGAACGAGATATACGACTAACCACAGGCTTTCCGTGGGAAGCATGCACCACCCCCTCCTCTCCCCCCCCAAGAGTTTGTTAGCAGAGTAAGTTCGCGGAGCACGAGTCGCGTTGGAAATTTTAAACCGTCACGAGGCTCATATCGCCCTGCAACGCAAGGCGTTGCGGAGAACATAACTTACAACGGCTAATATCTCACCTGAAAGTGCAGTTCGGAACTGCTTGCTGTATGTGTTAGCTTCATGGAGTCAGGAGGTTGGCCAGGAGTATTTGAATCCCGGCCACTCACACACTCCGTAACTCGGACAGGGGTAGGGGGATGATGTTTTTGGCAGCCGCTTTTTGCATCGACTAGATGCGCAATTGCAGCTTAAAGGGTTCATAGAATGGATGTATAAAAGGGCTTCTTCATCTCTTCTATCTTACTCCAAAGCAGCCAAAGCTTGCTCTTCACTCCATCTTTACATCCAAGTTTTCACTAGTCACCGCGAACGAATCGTCTGTTACTTCGTCATGGCGCCCTGCCCCAACTGTGGACGAAAGAGAGACGGTCTTCCAGGGCAAATGCCGGTTCGATCAGCTTGCACATGCGCCAACGGGATGATGACATGCCCTCGTTGCAATGGAGAAGGCATTCACTTTGATCGACGACAAGGACAAATTGAGGATTGCCGTGGTTGTAACATGAGCGGCGTCGTCCGCCACGCTCAATGTGACGGAACTGGCTACGTCTGGACATACGTCACTTGCACTGCTAGCACGCACCGTCGCTAATGCTCTGCCCACGTTGCTTCCCTGCCGGCATTTTCGGTACAGCTTTAAAGAATTGAGATGGACTGGACGGGGGGTAGCTGGTTGGAAGTAGGAGAATTTGACAAGGTTTCTGCTCAAAGAAAGAGCTATCCTCTCGGCAATAGGCCAAGTTGAGTTCCAGGAGGCAGTACTTGAGTACATGCAGTTTCGTACATGTATTCATAAGGTCGAAGATGAACTATGTCTGTTCACCTACCAGCGCCTAGCCTAAGAAGAAATTGACCACGCTCCAAGTCTCCATACACATAGGCCTTTGACTCGGCAGGAAAGGTGCCATCAGCTACCCAGAGATTAATGAGGTCCTGCATAGGTTCTAGTTCATGGCGCTCTAGCATCTCAAGACTGATTGCTGTTAGAAGGAAGTGGCTAAAACAGCTATTTAGCTGCTTCTCAAGGCACAAATGAAAGAAGGGATCAATAAAATGGCTCCAATAGAGATGAGCATAAATGCGGAACATTTGACGAAAAACTACCTTGCAGGTAATAGCAAACTGCTCTGGGAACCCGCTTCGGATGCCTAACCATCTCTCGTCGCCCAGGCAAGGATTGACCGAATACCTAGGGTCGAATGCAGATGATGTGCCAGACGGATCGGTCGGAAAGATGGCGATGTTGTTGATCTTTGCAGATATCCATCGCTGCAAATGTGTTATGCATTCGTGGGCCGGGAGCTCTACAGGCTTCTGCTCCTCGTCGAGCCAAGTGTAGGAGTGATTCCTGCATCCATAGTTGTAAGCTTTAGGACAGATAAATAGGCAACAAGTAGACCTACTGTCCAGCCGACATCTTGGGGCAAGTAGCCGGTTTGCAGATGGAGGCGCCACGGTGCTCCTGGCCCTCTTTATCATGAACAAGGCGCACGAAACTCCACAATAGTTGGTAATGCTCAACCACTAGGAAGGAGGATACAGTCAGATGGTGATACATGTTGTAGTATATCATTGATCCGATCGTATAGACGTTACCCTGATGTGCGACCCATTCTCCCGGCTCAACAGTCTTCGGGCGGGCACTAAGAGTCGTCAAGTTTCCTCGGACAATGTGTTTGGCGTGGGAAGGATCGAGCCATAAAGGCAGTGTACGAGACAGGTCTTGAGATTGAGCCATCGCGTCCAGGCCAGCGGTGTGGATCCTTTCCTTCGCTTGGTTCCACTGAGACGGGCGAAGAGTTTTGGTGGAGATGAAGTGCGAGAGACGCTTGTTTAAATACATCTACTTACTGTGCGCATTCGGGAGTAGGGGCAGGTCAGGTGACCCTAGATCAGCCATTCCAATATCGAAGCGAATCCCAATAAAGTGGGGGTGGACACGAGTAGCACCTACATTTTATGTAGACTCGCGGGGCTGACGTGACTCATCAAGCAAAACTGGGAAGGGCAAGACGGATCAACATTCGGACCGTAACGGTTCTCCTTTGAAAAGGCGTGACTGCGTAAATGTGCCCACATTACCTACTCGCGCATTGAAATCGACCTCGCCACAGACCAAGCTTGTTGAGCCTCAAGAGAGGCTTGGATCTCGACGGCAACTGCCCTAACGCGCTCTCGCATCGCACCACCGAAGGCGGTATCCGACACCCCATCGACACCGGCGAGTTCACCTGCCTGGTGGGTGAGCGACTACGTCAGAATCCATATCAAGACTGCAAGGCGCTGGACGGCCGGGGCAAGGTTGGGGCGACAGGGATACTCTTTAAGCTAGAGCTGGCGCCGTACGGCTACACATTCGTCGGCAAGGGAACGCTGTCGGATCATCTATACATGACAGACCTCACAAAGATTTTTTATTACCTCTCAGGCCATTTTAATAGGAGTCTAACCGTTTTAGGTCGAAGTATATTTGGTCGAGGAGCGCATGTGACTTACCGATTAGGTATAGTCCGCTCCGGTGGCGTAGTCACGACCAGGATGGCCTGAGCTCTGCTGAGGTAAGATGAACGGACCGAGGCATGTCATCACTGTATCGGAAAAACTCGGCCCGATTTACAGTCTGGCTGTGCTGTAGTTAGTCACCAAACCGCTTTCCGTTCCAGATTGCAAATTCCTTCGCGTTTCCCGACGCATTACAACTTCCACCGAGCTCCTGATTCCGCATTGTCGAAGCCTTCGCGCTGTATCATACTCGCTGGTGATTTCCGCTGAGTCTGTCAATCATAGGTTTCTTGCCGCGTCGTTACGCCTTCTACGCATTGCCGGATTAAATGGCTAGTCTCTCGGAACACGATCGCCACATCATCGCGCGCCACCCCTTGGGCAGCTCTCTGTGCCACCTCAGGAAGCTACTTCAGGATGCAGAGCAGTCCTATGCATCAATTTCCCCACTCCATGGTGACACTACCAATGACTCCAAAGAGGGCTGCAAAAAGGCGATATCACGACTGCTGACTGCCTTGATGGGGCACGAGACAGCTCTTGATCTCCACTCACCACTGAGCAATCGAAACGTTGCATCCGAACTCGCGTCTATTTTAGGGCATCTTCGTCAAGAGCATTTCGACTACGGTCTCTTCTTTCCACTGGCTAAACTCGTCATTCAAAAGGCGTCCGACTCTGAAACCTGGAGCGCTGTGCTTGATCTCATCACCACTCTCACCCGAGTAACACCTCCCGCAAGCGTTCCTGCGGTATTCGACAGCACGCCCATTTCCCATTCTTCCGCATCCCAGCAAGGTGTCGAACAGACACGTGACGTGGTGGAAAAAAAAGTATTCGAGGAGATAAGACTCTGCACATATCGCGATGTGGAAGGATTTTTGAGAAATACTTCGAGGAAAGACTGGACACGCCGTGCTTTGGACATCTACGAGGAAATGAAGGACCGTCACGTCGATGGCAAGTGGACCGATATTCCTGACCCGCCCGTACAGGCTGAAGTTCTAGACTGGTGGTTTCGATTCCACGAAGACTTCTGCTCAGAGGAACGACGCCGCTACTATTCGACCACGAGCCCGAAGGACCTTGTCGGTGCTGAAGCTCAGCGACAAATTGATCTCTTTGTCAAGCGAAAGAATGGGCAGCCGCCAGACGCCGCGCACGACTGGAGAGATGTTGACGTTATCGGTGAGCTCAAGGCGTCCAATAACAACAAAAAGGCGACGCTTCTCCAGCTCGGCCGATACGTGCGAGACGTTTTCTCCTGCCAACCGACACGTCGGTACGTTCACGCGTTTACAATCTGCGGGCGCGAAATGGAGGTCTGGGTATTTGACCGCTCAGGATGTTACAGCCCTGGTGCGTTCGATATCCATGAAAAGCCCGAACGGTTCATCCAGGTGATCGCCGGTTACACGATGATGAATGACGAAGAACTGGGATTGGATATATTTACAGATCGGGATGGCGACGGTCGTCTGATACACATTGAGCAGGATGGGGCTTCAGGCAGGAAGAGGATGCGATTGGACTCGCAGCCTTTCACCCATCAACGAGCAATCGTCTGCCGCGGGACTTCTTGCTACCTCACGAAGCCTTCGGACGCCGAGGATTGGAGTTGTGTCGCCAAGCTTTCGTGGACGTCCGACAGGCGAAAGCCAGAGGCAGACTTTCTCAGACTGGCGCAACAGAGAGGAGTCGAGGGTATTGCTAAGTTGGTCGGCCATCGTCACATAACCAGCATCAATGAGATGCGAGCAGGCTTGACATTTACAAAGCCTTACTCCTTTCGAGGCCTTCCAAGCACTGTGTCGACTTTTTCGCAGTCTTTTTCCCGGTCTCAGCCTCCCACTGCCCTTTCTCGGTCAACCAGCGAGCTTCCTGGCTTGAGCGTCGCTGACAGGCCGCTGAGAAAGCGCAAGTCGGTTGATGTCGGCCAAAACCCTCTAAGCGATCAATATCCAGCAGTCAAAGGTTTGGCCAAGGGCAGGATGAGGTTACGTACGATGTGGAGGAAGTGCAGGGGACGAGTCTGCTAGCTCCCACCAACGGACCCTATGATAATCGAGTTTTCGATGTCTGGTGATCTCCCAGCTGGCCGGGCGATTCACAAGCACAAGAAAATATCGGAGCTTCTCGGGGCGCTCCGTGACGCCATCAAAGCACACAGGTCCCTGTACCTCAAAGGCAACATCCTGCACCGGGACATTTCCGAGAACAACATCATCATCACCGACAGCAAAACGACTGGTCACATGGGCATGCTGATTGACCTGGACCTTGCCAGAGAACTGGGCAGCGGGCGCAGCGGGCGCGCTGTCGCACTGGCACGATGGAGTTCATGGCAATTGAGGTCCTGCAAGGGATCTCTCACACCTATCGGCATGATCTCGAATCATTCTTGTATGTGCTTATCTGGCAGTGCGCGCGTCGTGGCTGGGGTAGCAAGTGGCCGAAAGAAACTCTGATAACAAAATGGTACACTGGCAGCTACCGAGAAATTGCGCACGCTAAACGAGGAGACATGGGTGTTGATGGGTTTGAAGATATTCTAGAAGAGTTTTCACCTCATTTCGACTGTGTTAAGTCACTCTGCAGAGAAATGCGAGGGATTTTGTTTCCTTACAGGGGGGGTCTGTTCGTTGGGACACCCAAGGACCCGGAGATTCTTTACGAGCCGATTATCAAAGCCTTCGGCAAGGCTATTGATGATATCATGGCTATGGAAGGATAAGGTAGTGTCTACTATTATATATATACCCGTTGATCTTGGTGTGGGGCCACAGCAGCCCAACTAAGTGGCGAAGACACTTAGTTGGGCTGCTGTGGCCCCACACCAAGATCAACGGGTAATGCGGTACACCTGCTAAAACATGTCTGCTCCTCAGTTGGTGGTGGGGAGTTTCGCTAGGTAATCAAGCAATGGTACTCTGCGCATCTGCGTCACTATACCGTCGCAAGCGATCACGGAAAATTTCAAGCTTCTGTTGCAGCGCGTCAGCCTGCCTGACATCGGCAGATTACTGGCACTCGTTGGCCCCTTCGTTACGAGTGACCGGCAATCTGAGCCGGGCGGTTACTGGCCACTTTGCCACGACGCTTGATTGGTTACTGGCAATCATGGCTGGGCGGTTACCGACAGCACATAGCTACCATCAGCAAGCGCCCAGAGGTTACCGGAGCCTATAGGCTGCCGGCAATCTCTGCCTGGCAGTTACCAGCACCTTTGCAATCCAGATGCTTGGTTACTGGTTACGAGCCGTTCTTCAGATCACCGTTACTGGTAACATGTGAGCCATTAGCCACCGGCCTTAAACTCGTGCCTGGGCGGTTACCGGCAAGTCCCGTCTCTTGCGTTGCGCGATTACCGGTACCCTACGACGCGCTATTGGGCCGACAAATACACAGGAGACCGGCCCCTTCCAGGGTCCGCCAATGCCTTTTCGGAACGAGCTTGAGAGCATGAGAAGCAAGGCGGCTGGCTTGTGAAATGAAGGAATGAGCCTGACACAAGCACTTGTCTTGTGCGCCTAACACCTACCTAACACATGCGCGGTAGGTGGCGATGAAGCTCTGGGTAGGTATCGCGTAATGGCCTTGGGTCATAGGCCATTGTAGATGCCCTTTCAGGTGTCTTTTTGAAGGGAAAGGAGGAAAGAGAAGAGTGTGAGCCCAGCAGTGAGCTATATAGGCAATTGGGAGACCGTTTTATAGGCGCTGGTGGCGTCTGCGTGTGACCTTTTTTTTTTTTGCTTTTCAGGGTTGAAGGTGCTGCGCACAGGCATTGGCTTCCAGCTAGACCCCGCGTTCGATGACATTGCAGTCTAATGCCGTTTGGTGACTTCATTTCTTTATACCTGGCCTGTTCAATCTTGAATCCTCCTCTGGTCGTAACAATGAAACGCTCTTCACGACTATCGATTACTCAAGATAGAACAATATGGCCACATATTCCGTGCTAAAATTTTCGCCTCTGCTACCTGTGGCCGAAGCATTACCCAGCACCCGCTCCAGCCGCCCCACAGTCAGTAGGGTCAGCTAGAGCCCGCACCAACTTCAACCAGCGTACCAGGGTCCATCCAAACTGTCATTGCCCGGTGCGATGTTGAGAGAATAAGATTTGTGTCTTGTTCGGCGTCGATGATCTAGGCAGATCGCCCCGTCATATAATCACGTATCTCAACATCGACCATGAATCCAGGTTTGTGCCCCTGGGGTGGCGTTCCTACGTCGGAACCGTGGTACTCTCACGAAGAAAGTCAGCAGAAAAGGCATATAATGTAGTAATGAGGTAGTTGCATCGTATTCCGTATCTCCGTCCTCCTCTCTTTCTGCCCTAAACCCAAGCCCCTATTTGTATCCCTCTTTCGTAGTATAGGTAATGGGCTGAGGGAGGCTGGGTGACCCCAGCCTCTCGACTGGAGACGTTCCAGTCTCAAATAGCAGCTTTCCAGCCTCTCGTTTGACCTGGTTGACAGCTCCCTTGTTGGCCCAGCTACCCATGTGTGACCTGGCTGACTCAATCGAGAGACGTTCTTCGCGACAGGTACCGGTGGTCGCGCGAATGGACGAGTAACCGTTGCTGCCCCAACATCTTGAGGTGTGTGGATGTATTGTGGCTACATTCTGGACCTCTTTGTGGAGGGAGAAGGTGCGCCGACATACTCGTATAATAGACAGGCATTCGAAGTGTGGTTGGGTTATTGCGACGAACAGGAGGGGTTTCGGCCGGGTAACGGAGGTGACAACGATCCGGTTGATTGGCGAGCGGGGAGGTGGCCTTATGAGATGTAGAGCCTTCGTGGGTTCCGAATAAAAGACCTGTATTTGTATCTCGCCCTGTCCTACACGAGGATTTGCTGACTTTCAAATAGTCGCCTCGTCACCGCCGCCAGATGCGTCAACCTCTGCATGGCATCAATGATGCTTTGGTCTGGCTTATTCCCGATGAAATCCTGGGGTCGTACGGGACTAAGAAGTTTGATACCTTGCAACGTTCTGCACCTGGATAGTTGTACATAGAGGCTGGTAAAGCCGCATTTGGAAGGCTGACCATGTGTCATACGGTTTCCTCGTAGCTCCAACAGTACATCCTCAAACGTCTTACCTTGAGCTTTATAGTCAGTAAGGACAAATGCCGGGACAACTGGCAAACCCCGCCGTGTGCATTTCCCCGACAGGAATCTGTAGTAGGAGTTTACTGGATCGAGAGTATGTGTGATAGGCCGGATAAGCACGGTGCCTGTTGGAAGGGCTGGGATAGCTAAACCCTTTGTTTCTTGCGACTCTAACAATATGCCTAGTGGCGGACCAAAGTGAATGGTAACGTCGTCCGCAAGATGGTAGCCCGGGGATTTTGTATCGGGAATGACGTCCGCGGCGGTGAACTCGGCCCCATTCACAACTTTTAAGCCGGTGTACGTATTTTTGTTGACAACTACAGGCATCCCCTGGGCGTAGAAGAAAACCCCGGGGATCTTGCAGTTTGAGTTGTCGCCTTGTTCGATGGTATGAGCCACCTCCTGCTGGGATAAGGCTCGACTGCGCCAGGTGTGGGCCGAGACGAAGATTGAGATGTGTCTCTGGTGAAAGCGGGCCCAATCTACCACGGCTTCCATGTTAAGGCTCCATCGGTTGCGATTGAGCGGTGTTATAGCGCGCAAGTCATCCTTGAACGTGATTTGGGAGCGGTCCACGAGCTTGGTGTTGAGCAAGTCAAGATCCTCTATCGTCTGTGTTCCAGCGCGTACTCTGTCCAAAAGAGCGCCTAGCTGAGGATCGTCTCGCGCGCGGACTTGTTCCTCGAGAAGGATGACAGTCTTGAACATCAGCCATAGACTATGGCCACGGTGGTGAGCAATGGTCGCCTGCCCCAGGGAGGCCATGTAAGTCAAATCTACCACTCGGTCCACCAGGAGACTTGCCTCAAGCACGGGGGCGAACTGATAGAAGTCCCCCATCAAGAGAACAATAGGAATACCTCCAAATGGCTTATCAGGACAGTCACGGAGGGCCTGGAGGCGGCAGTTGGCGTTGAATAGAGTGGCTCCCCCGAGCATGCTCACTTCGTCGATCACGAGAGCCAACTTTTGCTTCCACATCCATTTTTTCGCTTCCGAGAACATTGGAGGCTGTTGTTTGTCGTGAGGACGACTGATATCCAGGCCACATGCTGAGTGGAGTGTCGTCCCGCCGATCTGAGCAGCCGCACTGCCCGATGTGCCGGTAATCTGGAGGTGATGTGGCTGACCTCTAGCCGTGAATACGCCCCGCAAAGCATCGACGATCCTAGACTTCCCAGTACCGCCTGGACCTCCGACGTACTGAAGATGTTGACCGGCGGAGTCAGGATTGGCAATATACTTGTCCAAGAACCGGCACACAAGTTGAAGTGCCATGCTCTGCAGATCGTTGAGCGTGTAGCTAGAGGCGGCAAGAAGTCCCAACTCCACAAATCCTCTGCTGGAGCCTACCTCAACAACCATCCGAGGTCTCTGTACGGCCGAGTCTTCCAGTTGTCTCGGAATGGGGATGTCCGCGTCACACTGCCGAACAAGCAGATCGTCGGTGTCCGCATCGCCAATGGAGGTTGTATCACCTTGGACGCCGCCTTCCATCTCATTGAGCATCCGGAGATGGAGCATGTCCTGGGCCTTCGCCGCCGCCTGAACATCTTCTGCAGAAGGAATCGGACACCGAGACAAGAGGCTGTCCTGACGAGCGCGAATCTGCTGATAGAAATCGTAGTGACGTTGGATGACAGGCCGGTCCTCTTGTGTCGGGTTCTCCTGGCAAAAGTCTCGGATCAGACTTTGCAGGACTAGAGAGTCTCTCGTTGCGTCGGAGTCTCGCACAGCATTTCGAAGAATCTGGAGGAGGGCCGTATATTTTGGTGATGCTCTGCCATGGTTGGGTCTTCGTTATAATCGCCTTCATCCAGAGGAAAGTCCACATCCACTGTGTCGTCGCCTTCCGACCGGCTAGCCCAGAGCTTCGCGTCTTTACGAGCATCCTCAGCCGATTTTCTGAGGAGGGAGATGTTTGCGACACGGGATCTCAGGCGGGGGCAGAGGGTAGCTGCATGGTTCCTCCATATGCCCGTGATATCACCGCGCGTCTCGGAGAGGAAGTTTTCCCATGGTACAAACAAGGCCAGGTGGAGAACCGAGTTTCTGCGCAGAATGTCAGAGCCGGCTCAGGGGCAAATGGGGCAGCAAGAGGAGCGTACCGTTTGAAATACACCGGGTGCTCGTCTATATGGTCGTCGCTAATGAATCCCTGAAAGATTGGCACCGCGTACTCGGGGGGCTGTCGAAGCTTTTGGATCCATCCGTAGCACTCTGGAGGACCTTCCAGAGCAATACGGGTTTCATCCTCATCTCGGCCACGGCGACGCTCCAGGGTAATCATAGACATATAGTCATAGAGGCATACGTCCCTCAGAACCGGGCCTCGGTAGGCGTAGGCATCCAGGCACAATAAAGTCCGGCCACTTTCCCGGAATTGTACCGTCTCCGACGGCTCTTCGGCGTCGGTTTGCGTACTGGCCTGTCGACGGAGGTGAGTCCAGCGCCGGAAAATGGTCCAATAGAGTGCGGTCAAATTTATGTAGGACCAGTGCGGTACATTAGTAAAGTCAGTTTGATAGCCCAGCAGGAAGTAACAGACCTCTACGGCCGAAAGCTGTCTATCGGAAAATATTCGGTTGACCGCTCTCACCAGAAACTGACGACTCTCGTTCACCACAGCCTGGCGTTGGGCATCCTGTTCGGCAAGATTTGGACCCCTCAACGCGGCAGATTCACGAAGCTGTCGAAGAACATCAGCAGCGAAGACAAGGCGTTTCCACATGGGCGTGTCCAACTTGGTGGCGTAGTTTGTGATGTAAAATACCATGGCGAGTCCCTTGGTTTTCGTCAAGATCATCGAGACGTCGTGGTTGTGACGGAGGCCGACTGCCATGGCTTTATTATATCGGTTGACAAGCGGGTGGTTCCGCCGGATCTTGAGCAAGCCATCTTCTGTGAATCCGGATTCCTCGACGATTTTCCAAGGCGCCTTGAATCGACAAGGCGTCAGTCTATGCTTATGCGCGCCATCTCCGACGAGTCCCTTTAGAGAATACTTAATGCATGTGTAGGTGTGCGAGTGAACCTGGCAACAGTACGCAATGTAATTAGACTCCTTGTCAAAGACTGCTGCGAGAGCCTCGGTGTTGTGCATCATTCCCTCGACCGGATCAATCGGCTTTCTCTCCTTTCGGACAGCTTTTCCAGCTTCCTCGTCTAAGCATTCGTTAAAGACCGAATCCAGATACCGAACCACTTGGGCACGGTATCCCTCCTCGTCGGGCTTTGCCATATCATCGACCAGGGAAGGCAACTGCATGTTACCCTCCAACCAGAGCAGTCCATGCAAGTGCAGACTGCCTCGGTCATTCGTCTCGACTGTGGCGTAGTAATGGCTGATCTTTCCGAAAATCGATTCTTGGCCCGTCCTGACGTATTTCTCAAAAAACAGCGAGATTTCTCGATGGAAGAAGATGGCCGCGCTAACTGGGTCCATGGTGCTGAGGGCGATCCTATCATATCTTCCCCGGAGATCGGCTAGCAGTTCCTTTGCTGTGTCATGCTCGTGGAGCCTGTGGATGGAGAGCCTCATCTTGACCGGGTTGTTGATATCGTTGGGGTTGACAGTGATCCAGATGGCAGGCATACCTGTCCAAATGTTAACTGCTTGTATCTTCCTCCGCATTAGGAGTCGAGTTTCGTTAGACAGCGGTTGTGCGTGGCCAAAGATGGACAATTCGCGGAGTAAGAACGATATGTCCGGATCTGTCGTGGTCCTTGTCTCTCGCATCTCCTCCACGGCTCTTTTTAGGCGGTCCGCTTTCAGCCGTCCATAGACTTGCTCTAGTCTATGGAAGGAGCCCCTTGCCATACGGACCATGCTGATACGGCGGTTTGTGGATCGGAGAAGGATGTTGAAGACCAGGAAACAAAAGACCGGATGCGTAGCAAATCGACCCCCGTGCCGTTGCAGCACATATTTAGCCCAATAATTGAGCGAGTGATTCGCACTGCGCTGCACAGGCTGCGAAGGATGAGGTCTGTTGCCATCTTGCTCCCTCAGCGCCTTAGGGCCGCCACTCCCCCACGGAAAAAGTTTCGGAAAGGTCCGCGGAAAGAAGTCCTCGTGCAGATTGTCCGCAAAATCCGCACCACGCTCGACCCTAATGAACGGTTGGTCTCCTGCTGTGTAGACCATCATGGCGGAGGGTTCGGCATCATCGCCGCGCCCAACCTGGCTCGTCTGGTAGGCTTCGGCTAGGAAAGACAGCTTGTCAACTTCAGCAAAAGCGGCCGGCCCGTCCAAAGGAAACACGCCGGAGGTTGAAGTTTCATATAGAATATCACCGCCTTGGTCGGCACTCTCCGGATTAGGAGCAGACATATGGAGATCCCGAGGCAATGCGTAGGGCTGTTCTGCCGCTGTATTGCTACCTGACGGGCAGGTATCGTTGCTAGGGTCTGCCCGTAGCGAGGTGAGGAGCTCTTCAATGCTTGTGAAGCCGTTCTCTTCCAAACCCCGATCAATATTCGGGACGACGGGATCTGTATGCGTCCTTTCCACGGCCGAGAGATCCTCTCTCTGCATCCGTTCCATGAGAACGGCGGGAACTACTGAGCCCTCCGCGTACTTCCAGCCCCGTATCTCATCGAGGTTGATTTTGACGTCCTTATACAGGGGATTGTTCCTCTGAAGCCATAAAAGGGCGGCTATTACGCGGGACTTGCGCACCCGAAGGAGAGTTCCCACGTCCGCCGGGCTGGGTCTGTTGGCGCCGCTCCAAGATAGTCCCTGCACATAGAAATGGGCACCCCCCTGTTTTGGGCACCCAAGATGGGTGCCCAACCTAAACGGCTGCGTCAACTTCAACAGCAAATTTCACCGCGGAAACGCATCCAATCTGCTAAAAAATTGACGCATGTGTCTTCAAGCCACTACTGATGAAATATACAGAGTCTGACATTCACAGCGCCCTTGAGGCAATCGCCAATGGCGGATCCGCCAAGAAGGCTGCTCGCGATTGGGGCGTCCCGAGGGCAACTCTTTACAATCGCATGCATGGTCACGAATGCAGAAAGGATGCATTTTCTGCTCTTCAGAGGCTTTCTCAGACACAGGAAAAGCAACTTACCGAATGGATTCTCATTCAGGACGCCTTGGGCCTTCCTCCCACTCACTCGCAGATCAGGCAGTTCGCGCAGCGCATGCTCGCCGTCAAAGGAGACCACACACCGCTCGGAAAACACTGGATGCAAGCATTTTAAGACGAAATCCTGCAGTTCGGACCCAGAAGTGCCATCACAGAGACTCTGCGCGTGTCAACGGCGCTTCTACCGAGGTAATTCGGCCTTGGTTCAACAATTTCTTCCTTCCCGAGATTCTGGCTATTAAGCCGGAGAACAGGTACAACATGGATGAAGCAGGCATCATGGAAGGACTTGGGGAGAATGGCCTGGTCGTTGGCAGTGCTGAAAAACGATCTGTACAAAGAAGACGCCTGGTTCTCGGGTCTGGACGTCGTTCATCGAGTGCGTGTCCGCTGCCGGCACCTTCCTCCCTCCACTCGTCATTTTCAAGGGCAAATCGGTCCAGCAACAGTGGTTCCCAGAAGATCTCAGTACTTTTAGTGACTGGCAATTCACTGCGACAAAGAACGGCTGGACTTCGGACCAAACTGCGGTGGAGTGGCTCGAAAAGGTGTTCATTCCAAGAACCCAGCCACCCGACCCTTCGGAGCGAAGACTGCTAGTATTGGACGGCCACGGAAGTCACGAGACGGTTGACTTCATGTATCTATGCTACCAGCATCAGATTCACCTTCTTTCTTACCTCCCATACCTCTCATGTGCTGCAACCGCTCGATTTGTCTGTCTTCTCCGCTCTTAAGCACTACTACCGCAAACAGGTCGGATTTCTCAGCCTCCTGACCGATTCAAGCCCAGTCGGCAAGCAAAACTTTCTTTCCTGCTACCAGAAAGCACGCGAGCAAGCGCTCACTGTGTCAAACATCAAGGGTGGCTGGAAAGCGACGGGTTTGTGGCCGGTGTCGATGGCGAAGCCACTTTTGAGCCCTCTTCTGCTGGAGAACAGCAACAGACGCAAAAGAACGCGAAAAATGTGGCCAATGCATTCAATAGCCACTTACCCACCAGTGACTGGCAATCAGACACATCCCAGATTGCGTGGTCGACCCCGAGGCGCTCGCAAGATCTGAAGGTTCAGGTAGTTCAATTCAACCAGCTAGACGACGACGTGCCCACGAAGAGATTGCTGTTCAGGAAGATCACAAAGGGTTTGACGAGAAGGATGGCCTTTAGCAAAAGCTCAATTGCAGATTCAGGCACTGGAAACACAATTGGCGGCCGTCAAGCCGAAAAAGGAAGAGGGTGGTCACGAGCCCGAATTCGAGGTTCGCCAATATTGAGGCAATACGACGGGCGCAGGAGGAGGTGAACGCAGCTGAGAATGAAGAATCTGATGAAACCGAAGCTGAGGTTTCAGAAATAGGTGACGATTGTATCGTAGTGCACGGTGGTGGGCAGTGAAGGGATTGAATTAATGGTGTTGAAAATGGTCGTGATTTTTTTGGGGTGCCCAAAACAGGGGGGTGCCCATTTCTATGTGCAGGGACTTACACCAATTAAGGTATGGTGGCTTTCGATCATTCGATCTTGGTCCATCGTCCAACTAGCCTAACGTAAAAATTTTCGGGCTCCAACATCACGGAAGTAATTCGATTGAAAGGATCATTTAAGCTTTCCTGTCCCTGAAAGGATCATTTAAGCTTTTCCTGTCCCTCCGACGACGCGATTGACAAGTCTGGCCAGTGATACGTTAGGTCATGCTCCGTCCTACATGGAAGAACTCATAAAACTGGGTGCAATGAGAAGTACTTTCTAATACGCACTAACACTAGCCTTACCTTCGGGCCTTCCTGGGATAGCTACCCGGCAGCAAAGACGAAAAGCATCCGTTCGGTGCCGGATCGACCTGACCAAGGTAGCCAGGTCGATATTGTGAGGATGATGGTATTCATGATTGAATGGAGTAGATAAACTGGCAGAAAACTGGTCAATAAGCCCTACAGATGACACTGGAATCATCGCCGCTCGGATTCTGCCTGGTCATTCTCCGCAGTGAGCCTCTTACCTGAGCTTATTTTTAGCGTTACTGGTATGATTCGGTATACCGGTAATACCATGGTATCAAGTTTTTGTGAAACCATACCAGGTCTTGGCGGTATTTACCATACCAATACCAACTCATACCGGACCATTCCGATCACTGGGTGCATTGGTACTTTGACATCAGGGAGAAAGAGTACGGGTGGATAAAGCCAGAGAACACCGTAAATGTTGATGAAGGGGGAATTATGTCGGGATTTGGTATGCATTTGACTTTCTTTACACGAATCCAGCTAATCGCACTTCTTTTTCCAGGTCTGGACGGTCTGGTAGTTGGAAGTTCAGACCCTAAACGGAAGGCTCTTCTCAAGGGGCCCCAGTCCCGCGGCTGGACCTCTTTTATAGAGGCTATCACCGCCGATGGGCGCGCCTTGACTCCCGGCATTATATTCAAGGGCAAAGAGCTGCAGAAACAGTGGTTTAAGCAAGAATTTCGCAAGTTTGCGGACTGGCACTACATAACTTCGCCCAACGAGTGGACGGACAACCACATCGCTGTTGAATGGCTTGAGGAGGTCTATTTGCCCCAAACACGACCTTCTGATGAGTCTGAGGCTAGGCTTATCATTTTGGACGGACATGGAAGTCATGCAACGGTGCGTCGTTTCCGTATATGGCAATGGAGTCCCATACATTTGACGACAGACGGGGTGGCCATCGATACGATCGATACGATATCGATACCGACTAGCGATATCGATCGATATCGATGTGCACGAACTATCCAATTTCCCGTGCATACATAACTGAAAGAAGCAAGTCCTACCGTCATCGGTTTAAGCTAAACTCGTTTTTAGGTCCCATTTCTGAAATTATGATATGCATAGTGGCTCTGTCTGGGGAAAACGGACCGGATAAAGGTCGGATTGACTACCATCGATATCGTTCGATATCGATCCTTGTATCGATACGATATCGATCAGCGGTCAAATCGATATCGATATCGACTGACCACCCTGACGACAGAACAATTGGATGGCTACGTGCTTCTTGAACAATATCTATTGTTGTTACCTTCCATCTCACTGTTCTCATGGCCTCCAGCCGCTAGACAACGGTGTTTTCAATGCCATAAAGGCAGCCTATCGGAAGGAGCTTGACAGACTGGCTTCTTTGACGGATTCTGCGCCAGTTGATAAGGTCAACTTTATACGTGCGTACGCGAGAGCCCGTGGGATGGGAATGACTCAGAAGAACATATTGTCTGGCTGGAGAGTGACCAGGAATTGGCCAATCTCACGAGTGAAGGCGCTGCGGCACCCTGAAATCCAACAGGACAGGGTCAAGGCTTCTCCAGAATATAAGCCATATTTGGGGTCAGACGATACGCCGAAAACAAGCCGCCATATTCGTGACCTTGGCAAGAGCAAACGCCCCGGAGACGGTATACTAAGATAGCTAAAGGCTGGGAAACGCAGGAACAGACACTAGCGGAGCATAACAGCAAAATAGCCAAGCTCGAGGAAGAAGTGGACAGGTTAAAGAGGGGAAGAAACAGAAGGGCAATTCCGAACCCCAACAGACGTTTCATGGATCTCGCTGAATCTTTGGCGGCCGGAGAAGCCATTCCCGAATTTTGGAGTCCAAAAAAGCCTGTTGTGGTGGATTGTGACCTGTTGGAGACGGGGTCGGAGTCGGAGTCGGAGGCAGCTTCAGGGATTGAAGTGAGAGTACCTGAACCTCCTCCGCGCACTACCCGATCAGGTCGCGTGGTCAAAAGACCAAGAGTCGGATGAAGAATTCAATTCTCTATCACATGATATAATTTTTATATGAGTGTATCTTTATTTTGTAAAGATACCTGGGTTGCCGCCGAATACGCCGTCACAGGAGTAAGCAAAGCTGTAAATTTATGTGCTACGAAGGCTGTGCTTGGAGAGGATTGCAAGCAAGCCAGCAATTCCCCTTATTAATCGTCATCCAAAAGGCTCCTGTTCGCTCCTGTGCATATGATCAAATGGCTCAGACTCTCAGTTAGAAAACCCCATCCCCGTTTTGCTGACCCATAAGAGAGCCAAATTGTCACATTGAGAGTTTCTGCAAGCAGGCGAATGTATGACCAGTCAATTCAATGCTTCCTGGGCAGTCACAACCTGGCCAGCACGCCGGGCAGCGTCAGCAGCCCGAGCAGCCATAGAGCCATCCGTGCGACGCCGGATATCATTGAGATCAAAGGACGCATCAAACATGATGCCATTCAACGTCTTGGCGCGCGAGACGGCGACGTAGGTGAGGCCAGACTGGAAATCGCGATGGGATATATCGGCAACAACCCATTCAAGCGTAGCACCCTGTGCCTTGTGCACAGTGATGCTATATGCAATTGTCAAGGGAAACTGAGTGCGAGAGCAGGGCATACTACCCTTGATGAAGTCCCGCCAGGAGCGAAAGATAGGCTGGACGTTGGCTAGCTCAGGGTCGTCGAAATAAGGGGGGCCGGTATAGCGATCGAAGCGGACCATAATGACAAAGGGATGATGAGCTTGAGGATCCTGTACGTGATCCTCATAGGCAAAGTCATATATGGTCCCCAGTGCACCATTAACAAGGCTAACATCAGTCCAGACGTTCTCAGTCAACATAACTCTTGCCCCAATGCAAATGGGTAACTGGTTATGTAAGTTGCCAGCAGTCATAGAGTCAGCTTCGGCGGCTTTTGGACCGACATTTGTTGCCCGAACCTGTATGCAAGGCACAGCTAGGCGTTCCATATGATCCCTATTGAACTCGCGGACCTGGGCATTCGTTGTGTAGATGCGTACTGCCCCGTCAAAGCACGTAACCTCGGCTAAGGTCAGATTGGCCTGGACGCGGGTGCAGAGCAGCTCCCAGTCTAGGACAGTAGGAGCATTTATACGTAGGCTCTGAAGAGCAGTGCGAAAGGAGCCTGCTCTTCGCCCTGCTGACGCAACACTTGTCGTAACACAACTGTCTTGTCGAATGCCAGGTAGGCATTGCGGCCATTGATATCAGGTAAAGCCGTGAGCATAGACGTAGTAAAGAGCGGCTTCTCCATAACAGGTGGAAGCTGGTAGAAGTCGCCGAGCGACAAAACGCTACGGCCGCCGAAAAGGTGTCTTGATATTCGGGAAATATTTGTCGGAGGCGGCTATCAATGTAGCCAAAAGTACGCAAGCCAATCATTGACTTCTCGTCGATAATGAGGTAGCGGAGGTTGCGTAGCTTTGACTGTAGGTTGGCAATGTCTGTAGGGCCTAGCAACGGCAGCTCCGTTGAAGATTTGGTAAGAGGGAGTCGTAGAAGGGAGTGTAGTGTAACGCCGCCAATTGCATTAGCAGCCACACCGGTAGGGGCAGCCCGAGCGAAGCAGGTTGGAGATAGCTGCCCAAGACGTGCACAGAGCGCTCTGATCATAAAGGATTTACCTGTGCCACCTTCTCCGTCTACCTGCACAAGGAGCGGTGCCGGGTTTGGCTGTTGAGGGTCGAGAGCCTTCTCAAGATGTCGAGTAAATAGGTCAAACACAGTGCGCTGCTCGACGTTAAGCTGATCAAAGAGGCCATCAGGGACATCATCTTGGTTGTTGCCTAGGGGGTGTGAAGCTTTAAGCTCCTTCCAATAGTCATGCCCCAGAATGGCTAAATCCGGATACTTGCCAATGTAGGGCTGCCAATCGTGAGCAAGGTCAAAATCGCGATTCCCCAGTAAGTCAATGTCATCTTCATCTGGACCACGATTTGGAAGCACTGCAGCAAGCTCTTCCCAACCCTCAGCCGCAACATCTTCCTCGTTACGCGGTTCTTCCTGGAATTCCTCTTCGACTGGAGGAGGAGGTCCCGTAGTAGTCGTCTGGATGAACGTCGTGGACAGCAGAGCAATGGTCGTATGCCCCAGAGAAGGTGTCGAAAAGGGCGCCATCTACCTCTTTGAGTTCCTGAGGGTCGCGATGAGGATGGTGGAGGGTCAACTTGACACGACAAAAGTCCTCGTACTGCTCGTTACCGCGGAGGGCCTTGTACCGAGGGAAATAGCTCAACACACGGTCAGGGGCTCGGCTGTAGTAGTGCCAGGCTGCCGGGCGTGTAAAGTCAACTTTGGTGAGAAGCTCAAAGTAGGTCAACTGCGCCCATTGATCGTTGCGAGCGAGGTATTTCTGATATATATTCCTTGAGGCCCGAATACCATCAGCAGCTTCATCTACAATAGCTGCCTGCCATTGCTCTTGAGGAGGGCGGCAGTCAACCGATCGTACAGTCCTCGTGCTTTGCTGGAGTGGTAGGCTGAGCAGCAGGTGGTTAATCTCCATAGCAGACCAGTCACGCTCAGCCGTAAGCTTGTTCATGAACTTGGCGACGAAGCTGACGAGACCCTGTCGTGCATTGACTCTAGGCAAGATGGCCCTGGCGACGTCGCGGTAGCTCTCCGTCTGCTTCTCAGCTTTAGAGCAGTACTTGCCGAGATAGTTAACAACTGCATGAAAGGAGGTGCAGGAGAAATGTCATGATTTGCAAGCCAGCCAATAGCCAAAGGGGATTGAAGTTGTTAAGCAGAGGGTCGTTGCGTGCGCCATCATACACAAGGAATGTCGGGTTAAGGCCATGTGTGACGTGGGCCTCGGCATGGGAGGCGCGAGGGAAGTGGAATCGATATAGCTTTTCCCTTGACAGAGAGTTGTCAGGCAGTCGGCGGTGTCGCAAGCAATAGAGCTCAGAACAACGATGGCGTTGTACGCGATTAACAACCTCAGCGAGGAACTGGAAAGTAGGCGGCGGTCGGACTAGTACCAATGGATTTGCGTCGCCTTGCTGCATCACACGAAGCGGCTCTGGGTTAATGGCAGAGACATAAGGGGCCCAGAACCGGGCAAACTCAGCTTTGCCTTCGAGAGTAGACATATCAGGCTTTGGTGTATCCCTAACCCAATAAAGGCCGTGCACATGCGTGCTGCCACGGGCCTGCCATTCATAGCGAAACCAATAGTCGGTAATGTTGAACTTTGGCATCGATACTATCTTAAGGAAGCTAGTAAAACGGCTGTGAAAGTGATATGCTGCGATATGAGGGTTTTCAAGGAGATTCCGGAACGCAATAGCACCCTTACCACGGCTATCAGCCTCACGCCATTCAACATATGACGGCATGTGTCTCTGGAGGCTATCCCAGTGAAGATCAGCAGCTGAGAAGGTGAGGAAGACACCAGGACAGGTAAGGCCGTGGACGAGGGCCTCAAGCTGATGTCTCTGGCCGCCCCAGTAAGCTCGTGTGCCTTTTAGCTGCTTGAGAAGCGCACAATAGAGCTCAGGAGTGCGCGAGATTCCGGGTATCTTCCTCAAAGGCATTGCGTAATTCATCCATGTCAACTCGCTGCTGCAGGCCAGGCCTCTTCACAAAGAAGGAACTGTGAGAGTTAACCTGTTGCCGCATAAGTGTGTTAAAAGCAACATATCGAAAGCGTGGATGCCTAGCAAAACGACCATCATGGTATCTCACGGCGTGTGCGATATACTCATCGTACCGAATTGTCCTCTGACGAGGTGCCACAAAGTCTGCCTGCCCAGTAGGGTAAAGGGTAGGAAAGGCGAGAGACAGCAGAGGCTGGGAACGATTGAACTCATTGAGAGGCGTAGATCGGATATTAGGCATCTCGATGTGGGCCTGGCGCAGAGGGATCTGCTCGGGCGGTACGGGTTCGTGATCCTCAAGCTGAGCCCGGAGACGCTCAAGGTCAGCCTGCGCTGCAATGAAGTTTGGGACTGCTGCTGCATCGTAGTCGTCGATGCCAGCTGCATCAGCATTCTCAACAGCCTCAGGGTCAGGGTGCTCTATAGGATGTTGCTCTGCTTGCACGCCCTCAGGCACAGCGACTTCCTCGGCAAGCATTTGATCAACCACATCACCGTCGTTTGGTAGCTGACTTAGGCGTTCAGCGTCAATAATGATATCTCGATAGCCAGGGTGGTTAAGTTGAAGGTGCTCCAGCCAGACGCGAATGTGACCTTGCCGAACACGGAATTGACGTCGAAACTGCCGGACGACGTGTGGCTGGTTCGTTGAATCCCGTGGGCGTAGTATGATGATGTCCAATTCGCGCGGCAGAAGAGGAAGCTGCGTATAGACGTGGCCAATATCCCGTAAGAAGTTAATGACATGACCACGATACTTATACTGCTGGCCACGGTACTGGAAAACCTGGATGTGGACATGCACCCGCGCAATGAGCATCTCCTCGACTTGGGATAGTTCTGGGAGCTCGTTGGGAACGCTGCCGAGATCCAGGTTATTTTCCTGGGAGAAGAGGAAAGGTTCGTGAGGCTGCCTTTTCCCATCGGCGTCACGACGACGGCAGGCAGAACAGACATCATTCACAAGGACCAGGTTGAACCAGGACTCCTTGCATCGACTGCAATACTCAAGAGACTCAGATTCAAGCCTGTCGTTCCACAGATTAAGGAGGTCCTGATCACTCTGAGAAATGGCCTGTGCGTTGAGATCGCCGGCAAAGGGCCCAACGATGTCCAAAGGAGGAACGTCTTCATCGGCCTCGTTGCCTTGGATAGATTGTAGGCTTGCAGGGACAGAAAGGCCAATGCGAGGAACCAGGGACAGATTCAAATCGCCTGCTGCAAAAGCAGAAGAGGCTGGAGACGACACGTTAGAAGGGCTGCTTGACTGCGGATAAGAGAGATGAGAATGTGTTGCTGACCGCGGAATGGAGAGCGCAAGAAATGAAGGGACGGGAGAAGGGGCCGGCTGCATAGAAAGCAACTGGGAGGTGCGTTGCGTTGCGGATGGCTCATGGCCTTGCCGTCTCTCTATACGATGATGTCGACTGATGGCAACTTGGCGGGCGTGTGCCCTTGCATGGCCTGGACTATCCTCTGGCCGAATGCCCCGACGAAAGAACCTCCTAGGGGTCCGAGTGCGAGGCTGTAGTGGAGGTAGGCGTAGCGGAGGCGGGGCAGGACGAGGCTGCAGAACAGGCAGAGCAGGCAGAGCTGAAGGTGTCTGTGTAGCTGTAGGCCTACGCGCCGTTGGACTCTGCACATCCACGCTTGCATGTCGTTTGTGGATCGCTGAAAGGCCTCGAGTAGCTGCCATTAAGCGTTGAGCCTAGGTGAAGGAAGATTAGCAGACAAATTGGGGAAAGGAGGCAAAGGAGAAACGCACACCACGATTATAAACCTGACGACAGGGAGACATTTTCTAGTGCGCCTAGACGGGTCAATCAGATGAATGAATTGATCGGCTTGCTTGAACTGGTGGCATTGAATGCAAAGACGATGGGGAAGGGTATTGGGTAGATCTGAAAGGCCCCCAGTGGGAGGAGGATCCCTCGGAGGAGACGGAGACGGCATATAGATGTCATATAGGCAACTTTCTAGATGATTAATTTACCAGATTTCGAAAGGAGGACTAACGTCAAAGGAAACAATGCCAAAGGATTCGAAAAGAAGTTCAATGTCAAAGGATATCAAGAATCGAAATTTTCAAGAGTAAATTGGGACTTTCCCCCTGCGCGGGGGGGGGCCCCTGCAGGGGGCTACGCCTGCGGCCGGCATTTTCGCCTGCAGCGGGCTTTTCGCCTGCGGCGCTGCATGCCACGCGATTCTTGCGGCGTGATTCTTAGCATCATATTTGCCAACAGCAGGCATTTCTACAGCTCAAGCTCCAGATGCAACAATGCATTAATATAAGGCGCGCGCTGTGTGACGTCTGTTGCGGCAAAAGGTGCCCTCTCCACGGCAAAGGCACGGGTAAACTTTTTTGGGCCAATCAGGAGCACTCTTTACGGTGTGAATAAATTTACTGCGTACAGTATACATGAGCTCTGACCAATCATAACGTTGCCCACGGATAAACTCTGGGTAAATCTGACCAATGATGGTTCTGCAAATTGTGAGTAGGGCCAATCAAAACGCTGGGCTAGCAAAACAGTGGAACGCACTTTTTCCTCAGTAAAGAAGCACAGCTGAATCTGCGCACTGCGTGTACTTCGTCACTTCGTAGCACAAATTTACAGCTTTGCTTAATTAGGAGACCGCATTAGGCAGCCACATAGGCTGTAGAGAGACTGCATATACGGGGGAAGCTGAAAGAGCCCTCGGCGACTAGGGAAAGTCAGTATGCAAAGGGGGGGGGCTGGGGAAAGGAGCCCAGCTCTCGCGAAGGAGAGATAAAAGTGGGCATAAAAGTGAATAAAGGGACTTCTCGTAGGTAGATTCCCAGATGATCTGATATTCTGTGGTGTCACAGGCCCCGGGGCCGGCTGACCGGTCATCCGGTAATCGGATTACCGCCCCGCCCCACGCAAAACCATGTCGTTTTCGAAGGCCCGGCCCTGCGGGGCTGGCGTTTTCTTAGTCGGATTACCGCCATCGGACGACAAAATCGAAGGTCCGAGCCCGCGGGGCCCTGCGCGAGACCTTCGATTTCGGTCTCGTTCACGCGCGTTGCGCTCCACCTCCCACCTCCAACCTCCTCCACCTCCTCCACCTCCTCCATTGCCACCGTCGCGACGGCGACCGCCTGCACCATGTCGAACGCGATAGAGGATCCCCGGGTCAGGGCGGCCATTGAGCACTACCTGTTAGATCTGGAGAACACCCAGCCGAAGAATACGAAGCGAAATTATCGTCCCAAGCAGGAAGAATGGAAGGCAAGCCCGCATGCGCGCCCTGCAATCTTCATGTAGATCCATGCATTGACTGCCTCACAGGAGTGGTGTCAAGCCAACTGGCCTGCGATCCCGGACGTTTGGCCGGCCTCAGTACCACAGGGCCAACAGCTACCGGGAGACCTGGTCGACGAAGGAAAGCTCTTGCTTTTCATGAAGGAGGTAGTGGCATCACGCCCTCCAAAGAAAGGAAAGAGGGTCGCCGATGAAAGAAACGACACGTCGAGGCTCAGGAAGCCAAGAGGGCCGTGAAAAACCGTAGAGCACCATCAGGTAACAGGTGTTGATCACGGGATGTGGCCGTCGGACTGAGCCAGCCCATCATACTAACACCCAGCTTCCCCCAGCAGATACCATCGTTGTAGGTGGCGGAGGTAGCGAATACGAGTCAGACTCCGACTTGGAGTTGTATGAGTCCACGCTCAAACTACAGTATAATACTGTACGGGGCTACGTCTCGGCCATACAGATGCTTTACGACGAGCAGAAGAGCCGGGGGGTCAATCCTGCGGCCCGGCCACAGGGAGTGGCGCTGAAGGCGCTCAAGCGCAGCATTCTTGCAACGACTTGGAGCCGGAAGAGGAAGGAGTACATGGACAGGGGAGTTGGAATTCTGAGAGATATGTATGCGCCGGCGCAGATACCCGACCACACCAACGTGGCATGGTCCGAGAGGAAAGAGATCGCCTGCGCCCTGAGGACGCAGGTGGACTTCTGCTCGGGAACCACATGCTACTGCGGTCTGGCAACCGCCTGCCGATGGAGTTGGCAGACTGCTTTCCCCTGGACTTACCCAACGAGGGCTTCAAGGCCCAGGGGTATACCACAAAGGCGCTGGTTGTCGTGATGAACTGTGGGAGGACCAACCAGCACGGCCGCATGGAGTACGGATCTCCTTTTCGGCATCGATATCCCAGGTCTTGTCTCATCGGCGCCCTCGCGTTCTGGCTTTTCTGGCGCTGGCAGGTAGAAAAGGCGGAAAGGTTTCCGTCTTCCAAAGAAGCGAAGACTGGTATGAAACGAAGGTGCTCCGCCGATCGGCGAAAGAGCCTCAAGGTAAGCATGATGGCATTCACCAGGATCCGATAACTCAGAGGGTCCATCGACCCTTTCATTATAGCATGCGACAATTCTATCTTCCAGATTGAAAAGCTGCAGAAGCACGATCTTGGTAGGCTGCAGCAGCGTCTCCCATCATCTGGAAGCGTTCAAACATCGTGTCCGTCCTGAGGTCCCGGTTGATCTTGTCTCGGTTCCATGAATTCACACGATCCCCCGCCAGCCCTCTCGGGTCAGGGTTGCTGGCTCGTCTCTCGAACCACTGCCGACGCTCCCTCTGCTCCTTAGTTGGGCTTTGGTTTCGGTAGGCCGCTTTGACATCTTCCCATCCCCTTGCACTGCCTGAGTCTTCTGCTACGTAGTGGCCAGACCCATCCAAGCAGATAAAGTCGGGGGTGGGATCGGCACGTCCCAATACTGTTAAATAGTGTTCCCAGTTATCACCAAAGTCGTAGGTATAAACAATCTGACGACCTGGCTCAAGTGTTAGGAAAGGGGCGGTAAGGGAGACTCGGCTGATGCACACATACTTTGGAACCGTACATCGTCAAATAACTCGAACAGCTTGTACTTGTCGGCTTTCCTCTCTGGTGTGTTGGGATGACGCCTCATCGGCTCGTGCATGCGATCGATGCCGGAGAACATGGTCTGCTTAGCCGGGTCGACAACACGAAAGAGATACTGCCTCGGCGCGGAAGCCGGAGGAAGTTGATCACCCGTCGGACCCATGGCGTTGCGTCTGATGATGATCTCCATGATGTCATCGGGCTCGCGGTAATCTGGGTCCACGACAGCGAAGTCGAACGAATGCGTGGTGGCCCAGCCAAACGCTGTTTGCAGTGCCAGATGAAGCATGTAGAAGACGGTGTGCGCGGGGCACGACAAGGTGCGCGTCACGGGCGGGTTCGTAATGTGCTCCGGGGCCAGGTGGAACTTGATTATGTAGTTGGGCCGGACGCAGACCCCCTTTGTGAGACGACCAGGCCGCGGACTGACACTCAGGCGAGCAGTATGCTGTCCGGCGGCATCTGGAGCACAGCCGGAGGGAGTTGGAGTCTGAGGGCGACGACGTTGTGCAGGCGGCATTGCCGCACTTGTCCATAGATGTCATCTGTCAGAGGGGCCACCCTTGATCGGAAGCCGCGAGGATACAGGTAGCTGGCCCGTGATCAAGAGCGCAGTGGAAGAAAGGACCGAAGTTGACTGGAGTTGTGTGGCGGTTTCTCGTGCACCACCCTGTCCTTAGGGCATGACATGGATCTTAGCCCCGCACGGGGTGGCTCCAGACATCTACCCGCGCCACGTCCCACTTTATTGGCACTCGTACCGGAGACCGGCCCCTTCCAGGGCCCGCCAATGCCTTGAGGAACGGAACTGGAGTTGGGCGGGGTTGCAGGGGAGCAGGCATCAACGCGCTCGCTGGGCCGGAAATGCTGTGTCTAAGGTTACCACTGAAAAGAGGCTCTCTATCTTTGCACGCAGATAACGCCGCCAGGAGAATTTTCGAAATAACGTGCTAAAATACGTCATTTCTATATCGTTTAAACCGTCTTCTACCGCCTATTATAAAGCACCCATCTCAGCCTCACGCATCCCGTTGCGCGCCGTGCGAGGCGTAGTAAAGATGCAGCCGGAAGGTGTCAGAACAACGGGAGCAGGGGTCACGTGCGATAGGGAGATAAGCAGATGACTCATTGGAATAGAGCCCGAGAGACCCCAAAAAGGGGCCCCGGGCGCGCTCCGGAGAAGAACACACACACAATACACACATGTCTGCAAGCCTAATCGGCCTGCACTCCCACATACGATTGTTCCACTGCATCACAACTGTGCATTTCCTATTCAGGATCACCTAGAACCTTCGGTTCTGACAGAAGGCGGCCAAGCCGCCCTCTTTAGAGGCGCGGAAGAGTCTTCCCTGCTTACTCAGACCAACCCGATGCCCCAGCAAACCGGCCCCATCGCCGACGCTACAGTAGCACCGACCCTTAACGCCGAAGAACTCATCGAGGACCAACTACTCGTCCCACAGACCCACGTAAAGTGGGTCCTCACCACCTGTCTGTGTCAACCACCTGGCTGTGTCACTTTACGGCTTCAACGCCAACTTAATTTAATAATAAAACGGCAAAAAAAAAGTTAAAAATTGATGCATACGATAATTGAATACTGGCCGCAATAGTCTACCTATTTTTGACTTTTGTAGCTTATAAAGCTGATCGTTGGGCTTCTTTTTTCGGCTTTCTTAGCCGCCCGGGCAGCACACTGGAAAGGCACTACCCGTCCTCCTTTAACCACGTGCAATTATATCACCAACTAGAGAACCCGGTTCAATGCTGCTCGCCATCCACCACGGTAGCCATCTTGCCCTCAAATTTCTCCTGCTTGAAACGACCAAAACAAAGCTTGAGGCTCGTCGGCCACTAGCTGCGTGCCTTCCCTGGAACAACCTTTGGTGACCAGGCTGTATATGGATTCAATGACTGCTGAGCAGAACAGACATCCTGACTAGCCTCTGGGAGCTAGCTTGACTCTGCGTGGCCGCTTCCCCACAAACCTGAACCTGGACATCCTTGGAATCGACCTATGAGGATCGCCGCTACTGTGGGCGGAACGACACACCTCAATTGCACAGCCGAGCGAGTCCCTGGCTGGGTACCTGTTTCAATATCATCAGCAGACGCCTAAGCTTGTCCTCGGCTCGAAACTGAGTCGAGCCCATGTTCCCGACTCGTTTTGCGCCCGACTCGACGAGCGGAGCGGGAGCGAAATCAGGTTTGAAGAAACAGATCTTCAAAACAGCGCACATCACTATATACTGACTCGTCGAGCTCGGAGCAGGGTGGTTTTCCATATCTAAATATGGAAATACCCTTTCCATGAATGGCATGGAATAGGTATGGATATGGATCCATGTATTTCCATACTATTGGCTGAACCACGCCACTAACAAGGGTTCCTACAGGGGCTACCTACAGGGCTGTGGGCCTGGAACCACGCTACAAATCCGCACATCCACAAAATCAGCCTCACCACCAACCCATTATCACCTGGCGACAATGGATTCTGAGCCTGTGTTAGTTATGTTTCTTCGATTCTGAATCCATTGCTTCGGATTCATTCGCGTCTATATCTCCCAAGACAAGAGAAAACCTGCTTTTGGATCATGAAAACATGCTCATCTGGCAGTAATGTACTGGTAGTAAAAGGGTTAGGGGAAGCGGAGTTCAAAGGCAGGAACCGCCTCATATATTATCTTTATTGTCCCCAGAATGATCCCTACAGTACTTCTGTCACCGCCAGCTTTCTAAAACACCCTGAGGGCAAGAAAGTATGTCATCAACGTCGCAGAGAATTTATCTCCTCTTCAACCGTCCATCATCGAAGGATTTGATCAACTCTACGGGCAAGCGTGGGATCTGGGGCCTGGGCCGTGTCTTCAAAGGCTACCTTGACCAAGAAATTATCAATAAAGAGAATTCGCCCTATTACGCCGCTTCTTTGGTCCTTCATCCAAGCTATCGCACGACGTACATCCACTCAAATTAGAAGAAGTGGCATAAAACTGCTTTCAAACGGGTCAAAGACCTTTGCTACTCTTACCGAAATACAAACGACGGTACAATTTCGTATCATGTACTGGACGAAGAAGAAGACAATGGCCTTGATGCATTTGATCGTATTTCAAGAAATCTGCAGAATTGTGCTCGACCTACAAGTCAAGACGAGTATGAAGATTACATCTCAGGCAGCGCTCCTAATAGTGCAGACCGTTTAGCGCACTATTAGTGCACACTGCAGTTTGCACTGCTTAGTCAGCACACTGCCAGTGCAGTGTAACCGTTTGGCAACGCACTGCTGGTCCAGTGAGGCCTCCTCCACACTGCTGGTTCAGTGAGGCTTCCCCGCCACACTGCTGGTTCAGTGCGGCTCCCGTCAAACTGCCCCATAGTTCAGTGCGAGCGTCGCGCACTATCAGTGTCACCATCAGTGTGACGAGTGTGACTTGTGTGATAGAGCTAAACTTGGACGTTTGACCATTAACGTAATTCCTGGCCTACTTACAACGAGTCAATCGCTGATTAAACGGCGGGATGCGTTCTTGCTCAATTTTACAAACCATCTAGCTCTTACGAGATATCAAAGTGTTGCCAGGGCAGAACGAGCCTCTGCGTAGCTTTCATCTCATGTCTTTAGGGTAGCATCTGGTCACACTTCCCATACTCTCTGCTAGGCAGAACTTGACGTTGAAGCCTTTCCTCAGTTCACCTTGCCCCCCGCCGACAAACACGAAACAGACGCGACAGGGTAAAAGCAGATCAGATGTGCAATATTTATTGCGCTCTCCAATCGCCAGACCGCTTCACGATCACTGAACTTTACCGCTCGACTAGTCTTGATGAAGCAAGCCACCGGCTTCCAATCATCCAACCTTGAGGGATGTGATTGGACGTCAAGCTCATTCTGGGACGCCCGATTTTGGCCTTAATCTGACCAACTTGACCAATAGCGAGCCGGAACAAAGAGCTGCAGTCTCTTGAGCGCTTTACTGAACCGAATTCACGCTTGCATGCGTATGAATCGCGCCGTGACGCGCCAGACTATTTTATCAGGGCCTCGTCGCGCTTTGCAGTGTCCCAATTTCTACGGCAATGACTCCTGTTCCGTAGTTGCGGTCGTTCCCGTACCAAGATTGCCGACTTCGACACGCCCAAGACGTTTCTTCAGTATCTGATCGCCTCCAAGTTCGCGACATCATGGACAACTTCACTCAGGCGGATGCGGCCGACTGCGCAAGTGACACTGCCGCCTCATCATCGCCAACACCGTCCACTTTGTCCCCACTGAACAGTTGCCGCCAGCATATTTCGCCCGTTTGGCAATTTTGCCGAAGAGAGGAAGGAAAAATTATGCGGCAGCTTGGACCGACGCAAACGGGACGAAATGGTGGCACTGTCAACCCTGCTGGAATAAGAAAGAGCCAAAAAGTACAATTACTCTGGCGGTTCATCCGCCATTGTCAACCACTTGCGCAAGGAGCACCGAATCATGCTTCCCGGAAGACAAGAAAACAGGCGAGAAGTGACGCAAACTCGACTTGGTGACATCACCGCATTTTCGGCCGATGAGGCCCAGGTTTCCAAGAAACGCAAGGCGACAGTGGCTGAAAATGCCCTTGACCGGCCCATGTTTCGCGAGCTTTACTGTCGCTACGTTGTAGCCTGCAGTCTGCCATTCACTCATGTTGAGCAGCCAGCTTTTCGCGACTTGATACAATACATTTGTCCGGCTGCGAATGATCTTCTTCCGACATCTGGGGATACCATTAGAAGCGATTTGCAAAGAGGCTACGATGGCAAACGGGAGTTTGTCAGACGTGCACTACAAAATGCTCTCTCGTCGATACACATTGTTCCAGACAACTGGACATCGCCGAATCATTTGGGCGTGATAGGATTCACGGTTCAGTTCGTCACCGAGGATCATGGTCTGCTGTCCTTGGTGGTCAGGATCAAAGAACTTCAAGGACAGCACAGTGGTGAGAATATGGCGGAAGCCATCATGGAGTTTGTGCGAGAGTATGGAATATCCTCCAAGATTGGTTACTTCATGATGGATAACGCATCCAATATGAACACAATGATCGACAAAGTCAGCGACGACCTGGAACGTGAGTTCGACGTTTTCTACGACCCCCTCCAGCATCGACTTCGCTGTTTCGGCCACATCATCAATCTGGCGGTGATGGAATTCCTCATAGGTAAGCGTCCGCGCACGATCGAGTCCTATCACGGCCCATCCGAAGATGAGATCGAACAGTGGCGGACACGAGGGGCGATAGGAAAGTACATAACATCGTTGTCTTCATCACATGGACTCCTCAACGGCTCCAAAGTTCACAGGTCTCAGTGATGGTCTGCGGCTTCGGCGGGATAACGACACCCGTTGGAACTCGTGGTACAACATGGTCGAATGGGTTCTCAGACCAAAAATTCGTCAAGCCATTACTGTGTTCTGCTCCGAGGAGCCTGCGCTGCAAGAAGATGCCTTGCACCCGTGCGATTGGATTGTTTTGGCTGAGATCCATAAATTCCTCGAGCCCTTTCACGACGCTACTATTGCCAACGAAAGCTGGAAAAAGTCCATTTCCGATGTCCTACCTACCATGGACTACCTTTGCACCATATCGAAGCAGCCAGAAATACGAGCGATATACCTCACCTAGCCACGATGATGGAGACAGCATGGGCAAAATTAGCCGACTACTACGAGCTCACAGAAGATTCACCTGTCTATTCGGCCGCGACAGTCTTGAATCCTTCTCTCAAGTGGACATACATGGAAAAGACCTGGGAAGACAGGCAAGAGTGGATTGAAAGAGCGAAGGCTCGCGTTGGGCAGTTGTGGAGAGATGAATACAAACCGGCCTCGCAGTGCTGCATTACCAGACCAATTCCTGAACAAAGACCAGATGCAAAACGGCCAAACGGATACAAAATATGGATGAAAGAGCAGAAGGCTACGATTTTCAGCATGGATGATGACGAGTATGATGTGTACTGTCGCGAACCTGTAATCATGGTATCGGACCCGCTCAAATGGTGGCTGGATCCAGCGCAGCGGCGACGATTTCCCGGAATGCCTCAGGTCTTGGGATAATAGCGCACTGATACTTCCGACAGAGGTAAGTTCCCAACCAACGAAATGGAGACCAGCTTACGAGTGCATTTCAAGTGTCAATACATGGACGGCAGCCACGACACCATCGAACGCGTCAGCTCTGAAGCCTAAGATTCAGGTCTCGAGGACGAAAGTCAGCATCGGCTTGGTAGAACGTGATGCATTTGAAGCAATGAGGGATTCATGGGCACATGGGCGGCCTAAGGCGGAAATAACGTCTTGACTTCAATCGTGTGCGCCAAGCCTGTATTTTATATATCGCACTGATAGTGTAAACTGCAGTTCGCAGTGCAGTGCAGTTTGTCGCTGACGAACGGACGGACAGTTTGGTTTGGCCATCTGGTCTGCACTGCCAGTTTGGTTTGACCATGTGGGCTTGCACTGCCAGTTCAGTGCGCCCTGGCCGAGTGCACTGGCAGTTTGGTCCAGTGGCGTCACACGCACAGAAGGGGCCGTTTGGGGTGTTCACACGCACTACTTGCACTATTAGGAGCCCTGAATTCTCAGGTGATCCATATGAGATTGCGCCAACAACTGCTTTATCATGGTGGCTTCAAGAGCGACATAGGAACCGACGGCCGAAGTTATCACGAATGGCAATAGACATCCTATCAATGCCAGCGATGAGCGACGAGCCGGAACGGTTGTTTTCAGGGGCTCGTCGTACGATCTCCTGGGAAAGGGCACAATTGGATGCGGACCAAATTGAAAAGGGAGAATTGGTTGAAGCATTGGGTGAAGAACAATGTCTTGAAGAGGGAAGGGGCGGTGGCGTGACCGTGGCGTGAGAATTCGTGCAAATTCCCGTCTGATTTCCCTCCTCGTTTTGGAACAAAACACGTAAGATTTGCCTACCCTCTCTTTTTGGACATTATCATTGAGCTCAATCAATTACTTCGTATTTTTAATTCACCATATGGTGTGAATTTGTCCATCTTGTCGAAGGTGTCTTCAGTGACATTTTGTCGTCGTGCACGGACCAAGTATGGAAAGGTGTATTGCAATACTTGCAATAAATGTGGGGCCGATACCGATTATCGATTGCAGGCCTTTCCATGTATGGAAAACCACCCTGGCTCGGAGATTAAGGGCCGAAACGAAACACCTACACGAGGAGTTGGCAAACAGGCATTAGTCGGCGCCGTTGAACAGAAGAGACGGGACAGCTGGAGCCATGGGTTCTTCGTCCCAGTCATGATTAATCCTAGGGCGTTACTGATGATTGCGCCAACCCAAGGAAATATGGGTAACGCGAGATGAACTGGCCCTTGAATTAAAGTGCCGAGAATGAGGTCATGGTGAGCAATCCCCAGACTCGCGGCGGCTAAATGAGTTGAAGTTCAAAGACCGACGAGGGTTCTAATATTAAACCAGTGCGTGTTCTCGTGTCATGACTCAAAAGAACGTCGCAAGCTACTAAAAGACGGACTCAAATGGATCGGGTTCGACGTCTTTCATCGGCCGGCTGAATCAGCTGGACTATCAACTGGATCCAAATATAAATCTTTCACCTGAAATTTCAGTCTTTGCGAACCGATTTCTTTCTATTCCAGTCCGTACTTGCAGGACCGCCCGAGCTGAGAACAGATGCTCCATGACTCCGAAGATCAAACATGGAAAGAAGGACGTCGTGGCGCAGCCCGTGGCTATCGCGGGCTATGTCGTCCTTGCTGAATCCATCTTCAAGGCCCCGAACGGTCTCGAACGCGCCAGGTGACCATAATCTCGTAGCATCTACCCTGGAAGCACAAATGAGTCGTACTGGAGCTCTCAATTCGGAGTCAAGAGTGTCAACTTTTCTGCCAAGTATGTGTGTCTCGGCGAAATTGAGCTCGGATCCAAACAGCTGAGATTAGCCCAGATTCAAACTTCCCCGTGTAGAAAATTTCACGTTATTTACCCTTCTCCTGAGTCATCGTATCTGAGTAGTGTCCTGACGAATTGAACGAACATTGTTGGAGTAGGCCTGAACAAGTGTTTCTCCACGACGCAATGAGCACAGCATGGAACGTTGGCACGCACCCTCTTGCATTGCGCACTCTTCCAGCGCATGGAGACACATTTGGTTATAGTTCCCCTTGAGGAAGAGAGAAAGGTGACTGTTATGGCGAGGCGCGGGGGGTTGATCAGGTTTGTAAGTTCGGTGAGTCCAGAGGCCACAACACCGACGATGGGACTGATGTCGCCCTCGACCAAGTTGACTAATAAGGGATTTCCCGGTGATCTGCCGGATCGGGCGATTCGCCGGATTCACCGCCAGTTCACGTCTCCACTTCAATCCTGAATTTCTCCACCACCATGGCCCCGATTGATGAAGCGCTTGAGTTTCTGAAGCTGTGTGACACTGTTAACTATGCCAAGACTGCGCGTCAGTTCAATTGCGACGAGACTACCCTGCGACGGCGACACCAAGGCAAACAGAGGTCAAGACGGGATGCCGACAGTTTGTATAAGTCACGTCTCTCAAAACAGCAAGAAAGGGATCTTGTTGCGTATATTCGCAAGCTTTCATCACGTGGGATTCCGCCTACGCTGCCGATGATCAAAAGTTTTGCCCAGGATATCGCCAAAATTGAGGTCGGAAAGGACTGGCCGTATAGCTTCGTCCGACGTAACAGCGATGAGCTCGGTTGCACTTGGTTCGACGGTTTTGATATCGCAAGAAAGAGAGCAGACAATGCTTCTAGATACAGAGCCTACTATGAGCTTGTAAGTAGGTGCCCAAGTCCATCCCTTCATTGCTGATCGTACAAGATTGGCGAGAAAATCGAGAAATACGACATCCTGCCTTGCAACACGTATAATGTGGACGAAAAGGGCTTTCTCCTCGGCGTCATCAATCGTACCAAGAGAGTATTCTCTGTTCGTGCCAAGAAGCAAGGAAAATTGAGGCCCAAGTTATCTATCCACCCACTTTCATTAACTGTACACCCAAAAAGTGGATTAACTGTGGCTGACGGCCGAAGAGGGCCGATACCGCCAATTTGTATGCACACATTCTCTACGATAAGTAGAGCCAGGTAGTAACAGTTCTCCTTCAACGATAAGGCACCCAAAATTGAAGCTATTCGTACTGCGCTTTCTATGCTGATGAGACTATTCTTTGGTGTTTACAACAGGCCTCCTTCTTCGAGTGCACTACGTGCCTGATCCGCTTCATCTAACTGTGATTCCAATTGATCCCATACATCCTCAAGGGCGGCATCGTCCGTGAGGCCAGCGACGAAGATGCAGTCTTGGGTCTCCCGCCGTACCGGCTGATCGTCATCATCAGAGACTGGCGTTTGACGCCCGGCTTGTTGATACGCCCGTTGCATCCGTGTGCCTGCCTCGTACGTATCGCCGTTTTCCTCGATGTGCCGCAGCCCTCGTTCCGTTGAAGTCATCGCGGCCGTTACCGTACCCGTCATCGCCGCTGGTGCCGTTGAGGAGGAGGCAGTCGTATAGCCTCAGCCCGCTCATGCCGTTCAGCGATCTCGTGATGTGACGGATCCCGCCGCGTTGATCTTGACCGCCGTGACTCTTCGAGGTTGAGTGAGCCCTGGGGCGGCCCTTAGCCCTGATAACTTGTGGCTCGTATGGTGCCCGAGTAGGGCTTGTGCCCTGAGCGCTTGGATCGATCGGAATATACCAAAATGGGTCGAAGTCGTCGAGTGTAAGGGAGGTATTGGTGTTGATAGACTCGAAGATTCGATGGCAGCACGGTAGCCCTCGACTAGTAGCCCAATTACAAGGACATTGACCTGGCGGCGGTTTGGCCCGTTGACTTCGGGGGGGATCTTGCGATGCTCATCTATTAGTAGCTTTAACGCATATGACGATACTCGCTCGCGGATCGGCATATACGGCGCCTGTAGGAGAACGTTGATATCTTGTGGAGGTTTCGATTCTCTATCGCTGTGATCTGAGCAGCCTGATGGCCCCAGAAGCGTTCGAATCGTTGGAAAACGGTCGTCAAATCGCCCGTACAGGACCAAAGGAACTTCTTCATATGAGAGTGAAGTCCTCGACGATCGAGGTCGTTGTACGCCCGAAGTGGCGATATTGATTAACGAAACAAGATACAAACTTCTCCTTCCAAGGCGTTAGCCACGTATTGCAACAGTATTGTATAGCTGCAAGCGGGTGGCGGCCTGGTGTCTCAAATTGGCGTAAACGTTCGTTGAAGCTATTCACATCTTGTGACTTGACGATCTCGTTCCACTCTTGTAGAAACGCTTGGAATGCCGGGGCCCGTACGACTCGATTGCCGATTTTTGATGCCTTAGGGAAAAATTGCTTGCATTTCGCAACGACATTCTGGTTAATATGCCACGTGCAGAGAAGGTTAGTACTGTTTTGAAGCTCGCGAAAGCTATCTAACGCCTTAAGCAACGCAGTATCTCGGTCCGTGACAGTGACCCTTGAAATGGGATCGACTCCTTCTCGCAAAGGACTAGCAGCAACGAGATAGCCCAATAGTAATGGGACTCGGTCTCGCCGTTCAAGAAGATAGAGGCAATAGAGAACGTTTTGTTATCTCGAGTGGCCGCGCAGATATTCAATAACGGCATATTGAATCGGTTCGTCTTGTAGGTACAGTCGAGGACGAGGACATCGTGATGCTGACGCCATCGATGGAAGGTAGCACGAGGCGCGAGAAATAGCCCAGTTAGCCGGCCCTGGGGATCACGACTATCTCGATGAAAGAAGTCGGACTTATCTAGCCGGTCGTAGAGAAACTGAAGAGGCGTACGGCCAGCTAGTTCTTCCTGACGGTGCCTAGCCAAGGCGTTACTCACGTCTTGAGCCGTGATACCGGCTAAACGAGGATCGTCGTGAACCAGGTCACGAAGCTCGCCAGCAATATCGGTCGGCCGGGTATTGTTATTAAACTTCCGGATAATGTCGTCGCGATACTTCTGGATAACAAGCGCCCGGTACTTCGGAAAGACCATCGGGTCATCAACAAGGCGATGATTGTGAACATCGTGAAGATAAGAGATAGTCCAGTAACCGCGTTTTTCCTTCAACGAGAGGCGAAATTCACAGTCTGTTTTCTGGGTTGCTGTATTGAGGCGACGACGAGAGATATGAGCAGCTTTATCCTTCCGATTTTCGTAGGGGCCGGCCTTGATACAACGAACAAGTGCAGACTTGCGTTGGCCAGCGTTATCCCGCTTCGATGTTCGAATGTGTAGGGCGTAGCCCTCAGCCTCAGCAACGGTATCGGCGGCTTCCATCGCGGCCTGGAAGGTCGGGAATAGTGTCTTCGTAAGCGACTCCATGATTCGGGCTCGTAAGGGCAGAAAACGCGGTGCGAATAGCTTCAGTTTTGATGGTATTGCTGATAGTTACGGTTACAGGATGTTGTTACGCAAGCATCACGAACTGGCCAGCTGGCCGGCCGGGAATGGGCGCACCAAAATTAGCGGCATCGGCACTGCGCCTGACCCAGCCACAGTTGATCCACTTTTTGGTGTACAGTTAATAAAAGGAGGTGTATAGATAATTGGGCCCAAAATTGATCGGTGCTGCGCAGGATGGCAACAGATCATGGATCACGTTCCTGGCATGTGTCTGTCAAGACCTGACCGCGCTACCCCCGTTTCTCATCTACCAAGGCAAGCCAGGGCAAGTTCAGGACTCCTGGCTCACGGAGTTTGATCCGGAGCACCAAGCGGCGTTTTCACAACCTCAGAAACGGGTTGGACGAACCATGAACTTGGAAAGGAATGGCTCATTGGTGTTTTCGACCGGTTCACGAAAGAAAAGGCGCGAAACGGCCGGGATTACCGCCTCCTGATTACCGACGGACACTCTAGTCATGTCAATATGGACTTCCTGGAGTGGTGTGACCAGCATCGGATAATCGTTGCCGTGTTTCCGCCGCATTCCACGCACAGGCTGCAGCCCCTGATGTGTCCCTTTGGCCCTCTTTCGACCGCATACACCAACCAGCTCATCCAGTGGACTGCAAAGACACAGGGACTCATCGGGCTATCGAAACGCGAGTTCTGGTCGTTATTTTGGAACGCATTCGGGTCATCTTTCTCGGCGGAGAACATCGCAAGTGGTTGGAAACGGACCGGACTCCTCCCATTTGACCCTGAAGTCGTTTTGTCGCAGATCGCGGAGAAAACAGAAGATGAGTCTGAGTCTGGCGACAGCTCCGTTGACTCGCTCGCCCTGCAGCAGCCCACTGCTCGGGATTTGCGCCGACTTGTCGACAAGGTAGTCGATGGATCCTCAAAAAACGCTAGCCGAGACAGTCGGAAGCTCAAAGTACTCTCGAAAGTCTCAATCTCAGAACGAATTGCTTCGATATGAGAATCAGGGACTTCGGGAGACTATCTTTCACGAAAAGCAGCGCAGAATGCGCGGTAAAGCTCTGAAGGATTACCTTTTCGATCGTGTAGATCCTAACTCGGCGCAGGTATTTAGCCCTGCAAAAGTGGCCCAAGCGCGCTTGAAGAAAGCAGCCATGGAGACTCAGAAGCAAGAAGAGGCCTTGGAGAAAGAACGACAAAGGTTTGAGCGACAGCAAAAGGCGGCAAACCTCAAAGTTCTCGCTCTGGAGAAGAGAAGGCAGCGGGAGGCAAAAACTGAGCAAAGACGTCAGGCAAAGGAAGCCAGACAACAAGAGCGGGAGAAAAACAGGCAGATACGGAAAGAGCTCAAGCGAAAGAACCAGAAAAAATGTCGGAAATGGGATCCGGACCTCTGTTGCTCCACAGACTCGCGAGAAGAGTCCGGGCGTTCGAGACGAGATTGTCGTCGCCATTTCGGCTCCACCAGAACCGACGACAGCTCCGGAACACTCAAAATCGCCAAACATTAAGTTGCGTAAAGATCCAAAGCCGGCATTGACCACTTCCTCACGTCCCAAAAAGCCATCATTGGCTGTCGAGCGCGACCAGGAGATGGTAGTCGCAATGCGGGGACTTGCGCGATCGGGACGCCACAGGAAGCGGCCACGGTGGCTTGATGACTGCGAAGTAGATTGAATGGAATTGCTAGGCATCTTTCTTGCTTCTGCTTTAATGTGAGATTGTTTCATATTATTTTCGTGGAGTTTCACTCAAATCTTCACCGGAATGCAAGGGAACCAAAATCCGGCGAATCGTCCGATCCGGCAGATCACCGGGAAATCCCTTATACTTCCAGATGCGAGTCTTTCCAGAGAAGAAAGTGCAGTGATGAGGCGAGATTTGCCTATAGCCAGGTGGGCTAAGTCGGAGACCTAACGCATTAAAGGGAGAACGACGGCAGCTCGACCTCAATGTCTCAGGCCGTCCAAGCAGACAATCCCGCATCTAGACTTACAGTCTTGCGAGAAGAGAAATAAAGGAATCGCGTGTTGGATCCACCTGTGCACTAGGCACCGATCGCGCACGTATAACTAATCGACCGCGCTAGTCACGTGCGAGTAAGAGGTGAGACACAGGGAGGAAGGTCTTTGCACACAGTTTGTATGGGACACGTTTCCCTAGTTACACAAGATATAACCAATTGAACCAGTTCGAATAACCTCACTGCAGTGAAGAGCCTGTCCACACTGATCAGTGTCGCCCGGCAAAGGTGACACAGAACAGCAAGACGGAAGAGAGCTAACCTATCGTCACGCTCTGCAAAGCGAGCTCCTGACGGTAGGATAGTTGCTACAACGCGCGGATTGCTACGAAGACTCTGCATCAGAGCCCACTCTAGTTATCCAACCGTGCCTAAGCTTTGCTGTCATCAGCGACCCTTAGGCGTGCCCTATCGCACATTGATAACCTCATTGACACCCTGTGCCCTGTTTCTCAGCACACAGCCTGTCAATATGTCTGACAATTCATCTGCCGCACTAGCCCCGGCAACAGCCCAGGATACCCCGGCCAACGTGTCTCTCGAAGACAGGCAACTCGTTGAACGGAACCTGACGATCGTGGAGCTCCCTTCACTCCCGATCAGGCATTTCGACGCGGATTTCCTCAACGAACCTATCACCCAGAGCTCCTCCCTTGTCCACCGCAACAGCTTCTTCTTAGGCTGTGTGGCAACATACACGGTGGATAAACGTAACCACGGAATTGCCCTGCTTGGGGATCTGTATAACGACTTCACGGGATGGAGCTATGATGACTTCGAACTAATCAACCCACGCCTTAGATCAAGACTCCGGACGCTTCTCAGAATTAGGGGGATCTATATGGGCAAGGCCAACTCTAGCATCTCTCGAGCTTTATGTGGCCTTCTAACAAGTAACGAACTTCCTGAATGGGATGAGAACGAGTTGCTTGGTCAAGAGGTTGCTGAAAACACCGTGGCATATAAGGTGAAACAGAAGCTGCTCCAAGGAACTGTTAAAGCGGCTATATCGTCACCGGCACCGGTAGTAATCCAGCAGCCAACTATTACCCGACCGGCGGAACCGGAATCCCCTCAGATCATTGAGACCCATCAACCCGCTCAGCAAGAGCCTCAGCATCAATGGCGCGAATCCCTCGGTATCAGCAGACGCTCCCCGTACGGACTACCAACTTCCGAGATGCATACACGAGCATTCCACCTGTTCGATTCGAGAACGAGGAAGTTGAGGCCGATCTCACGATTAGATTCATTAAGATATGGGACAAGAAACTAGCCTATACCGGCGAACCATACGATATCTTCGATGACAAGATCCGAGATTCATGAGCGTGTGCCGTCAAGCAAACATTCCTCCGTCTAAATTCCATGGTGTTTTCCTTCGATTCTGGCCAGGAAGCTCAGTCCTTCTTTCTACACGAAATCAGCACTGATTTAACCTTCGCTGAGATGTATCAGAAGATGAAAGAGCACTTTGACACCGAAATCAACCAGAAGATGTATCATACCCACTGGAGCACCCTCACCTTCAGCCGACTTCGGGCTGAGATGCCCGGTAAGTCATCTGACGAGGTCCTCCAGGCCCTTCTTACGAAATTGCGGCTCTGTAGGAGAGCACTCGGGGATAAGTCTGGCGGCGAAGGTGGCCTGATCGATGCAACGCTCAGGGCGTGCCGTGGTGTGCCTGAATTCCGACTCGCGATATACTCTCCCGCACCTACATTTGAGGGATTGGCATCACAGCTTCGATCATCGCTATCTGCCATGCAAGATGAACGATCTGAACAACCCAGTGGCCAATATCCCCAAGACCTGGATAGAGGACATGATCAGCACTTCGTGGATCGCAAATTTCAGCGAAATTCCGGCGGAACAAGAGGTCAATCACAAAGGCGTCAGCCAAATTGGAAGAAGAAATGCTACGTTTGCGGCAAGGAAGGTTGTTTCTCAACGAGACATCCTGAAAACGAGAGAAAAGCAGCCAAAGAGAAGTATCTACGAGAGAGAGGCTTCCACGGTCAATCTCGTTCGTATGCTATGTTCTTGGCTGACTATGAAGGGGAATCACAGGATCAGGATGACTCGAGCACCGAGGAATCCGATGATTCTGACTCCTCTGACCCTTATGAATCGTTCTACGCTGCTGCGACCTTTCTGTCCAACGAAGCTTTCCATCATCGGATCTCTCCAGTAGGCATCAAGTTATTCAACAGTGACGAACCCACACAATTCATACTAGATCGTTACTCTCAAGACTCGTTCCAAGGAATCATGCCGGACACAGGTGCGGCATGCATATCGACGGGAGGAATCGAACAACTGCGTGCTCTCCAACGAGAGATGCCCCCAGTCCAATTCCGTGATGATCGCAAGCCCGAACCAGTTAGATTTGGTGCAGGAAGATTGGAAACACCACTTGGCGTGATCACCTTGAACACACCAGTGGGAGAGGTTGATTTTCATATAGTCAACGTGCCAACGCCATTCCTCCTATGCCTAGCTGATATGGATCGGCTCGGCGTATATTTAAATAACGTCACGAACGAGCTCGTTGGCAATGGTGTGAGCGTTCCAGTGATTCGAAGATGGGGTCACGCGTGGTTCTTCTTGCGGAAACAAGAGGCATCAGTGGCATATCTCACGGAGGCTGAATTGCGGCGCCTCCACACGCGTTTTGGTCATCCATCCGTGTATCGGCTGCACAAGCTGCTGAATTCGGCTGGCCATGATGTGGAAATCGAAGCTCTGGAAATGATCAAGAAGTTCTGCCACTACTGTCAGATGAAATCCGACCCGCCACGAAGGTTCAAGTTCAGCTTGAAGGATGATTGTGACTTCAATTACGAAGTCATCGTTGATGTCATGACATTGGGTGGCAGACCAGTCCTCCATGTTGTTGATCAAGCCACTGCCTATCAGGCAGGAGATTCCTATCCAACATGACGGCCAAGGAAACGTGGCTCGCGTTGAAACAATGTTGGATGGATACATACCTTGGACCACCCGATGTGATCACTCATGACGCAGGCACGAATTTCGCTGCTGCCGAGTTCCAAGCAGAAGCGAAATTGATGGGAATAACGTGTCATCAGGTGCCTGTGGAAGCACATTGGGCTGTTGGGAAGGTTGAGAAGTATCATGTGCCCGTCCGAAGAGCATATGATATATTAAAGGCAGAGCTGAAGGATACCGTGAGCCCTGATCAAGTCCTTCAAATGGCTTTCAAGGCTGTCAACGACACAGCCGGTCCGGATGGCCTCGTTCCAACCCTCCTCGTCTTCGGTGCTCTGCCTCGAATGACGATGGATTCGCCGCCTACACCTTCCGCAATGGCAAGAGCTAAGGCGGTGTGGCGAACGATGTCAGAGCTGAGGAAGATCAACGCCCAGAGGAAGGTTCAGACCGCGTTAAATACGCGTAATGGGCCTGATACAGCGTTGCGCCTGCCCCTATCCCTGGCGCTAGGAAGCGAAGTTCGCGTATTTCGCGAGAAGCACGGATGGCAAGGCCCATATAAAGTGCTCGAGGTGACGGATACGGAAATCGCAGTTGACCTGGACAACGGACCAGCGAAATTTCGCAGTACATGCGTCCAACCGTACTATCGTCACCCGGAATCGCTCCTTCCTCAGTTGCAACCCGACCCTAGCCCTAGCCGCACAGACCCATCAACACAACAATCACTCCTTCCTCAACACAATCCGATCAACAACATCCTCTTCAAAACCCTCTTCCCTTCCACCCACAACTCAACAACCTCTTCCTCTTCCTACCACAGAAGACCAACCCAAACCTTTCGAATACCCTGAGCCAAAGAGGCCGCGCAGGCGTGGCCGACCTAGGAAGGATGCTGCACAAATGGCACATCAGAATCCACTATTGTTTGCTCACCCGTTCAATTTATCGTTCATCATGAAGCTAATGCGTTTCTTGTTCGAAAAGAAATGGAACATCTCGGCCTAGCCAAGCGGCTACGAGCTGAAGGAAAGATCACAAGCACCGGTTTCCCATTTGAAGCTTCCGACACACTCGAGCTCACGAACCTCCTCGCCGCTGGGGTCATTGTACCCGAAGAATTCGATGCGAATAAACATGGTGGATATCGTGTCTTCAAATCACGAATGGTCAGAGAGGTTAAGGGAAGAAATACTGCAACGCCATACGAGAAATCACGCCTCGTTGTGCAAGGATACAATGATGATGGGAAACGTGGGATCCTCACACAAGCCCCTACCATCAGCCGGCCCGCACAACGCGTGGCCTTGGCCTTAGCACCGTTTCTCTGCACACGGGATATGTTCATCATGATCAGAGACATCACGATGGCATACACACAATCCCAGACCAAGCTGGCCCGTGTCATCCTGGCAGCCCTTCCTCAAGAACTCAAAAGAAGATATCCAGAGGGAACAATCCTGCGAATCGTGAAGCCGCTATATGGCATCGCAGAGGCAGGAGCCCACTGGTTCAACACATATCACGACCATCACTGCCGCAAGCTTAATATGGAAACCTCTTCGTTTGACCCGTGCCTTCTGATCACGGCAAACAACATCGCCGACAAGGACCTGTTTGGCATCGCGGCCTTGCAAACGGATGACACATTCATTGTTGGCACAGATGCATTTCTCAAGATCGAGGAGAAAGAACTCTGCTTTAAGGCCAAGCCAAAAGAGATTCTCCAAGAAGGTTCCATCTGCGACTTTAACGGCAGCCGCCTGACCATACAAAATGGCTGTGTCATCGTCAGGCAGAAGGCCAAGCCCAAAACCTCGAGGAGATCAATCTTCAGGCATCAAGTAGGCATCAGGATTATGCTGCTCAACGCGCCCGGGGGGCATATATCGCTTCGATTTGCCAACCCGAAGCAACATACGATTGTTCCGTTGCGGCACAAGCCCAAGAGCCCGTTAATACCGACTTCAAGGCTTTGAACAAGCGGATTGAATGGCAGATCAACAATCCCGACCGTGGCCTATGTTACATACCCATCGATCTCGAGAGCGCGAAGATCTTTGTGTTCACCGATGGATCATTCGCCAACAATAAGGATTTAAGCTCTCAAATCGGCTTTGTGATTATCATCGCCAATGAGACCGCGCAATCAACCGATTCATTTTCCATCCGCGGAAACATTCTTCATTGAGCTCAACTAAATGCAAGCGCGTTACTCGAAGCGTTCTTGCATCAGAGATCTATGGATTGACATCGGGCTTCGATCTCGCATTTGTGATCAAGCAAACGGTCAATACGATCGCACAACGCCTTGATCTGAAGCAAATCCGCTCGTCATTTGCACAGATTCATATAGCCTCTATGAGTGCCTCGTCAAACTTGGCACCACAACAGAGAAGCGACTCATGATAGATATCATGGCGCTGAGGCAGGCATATGAATCAAGGGATATTGCGGAAATCCGTTGGGTCAACGGCGCAGATAACCCTGCCGATGCTATGACGAAGGCATCACCAAACAGCGCCCTCACGCAGTTTATTAGCGACAATCAGCTAAACGTGAGGGTGGAAGGATTCGTTCATCGCAATAACACAACAATTCTCGACGAGATTTAATCGGTTTTTCGTTCCTTCTTCTGCTTTACCGTCGTTCTTTTATTCCATTCACATTAACGAGGAGATCCTCGTGTCCATATTCCAACGTGGGACCGATGGAATCAGCTAGCGCATCCGGCGCTCGAAATGCGGCCCATGATGGCGTGTGGCAGAACACACCCAGTGTGGGGGGAGAGCTACAGTCAGAGCACACTATCCAACATAGTGATGCATCGTGGTAGGAGTTTGTTGGTGTTCTTGTTCGTGTTTTTCCTATCTCATCTTAATTCGCTGTGTTTGGTGTGTTTTTGGTGGATTGATTAGTGCGCGATCATCGATTTAGAAAGAGGTTCCAGTGTTGGATCCACCTGTGCACTAGGCACCGATCGCGCACGTATAACTAATCGACCGCGCTAGTCACGTGCGAGTAAGAGGTGAGACACAGGGAGGAAGGTCTTTGCACACAGTTTGTATGGGACACGTTTCCCTAGTTACACAAGATATAACCAATTGAACCAGTTCGAATAACCTCACTGCAGTGAAGAGCCTGTCCACATCGCGGGACTTTGTACAAAACTCAGTCAGCAAGCTGCGGATTGAAGGTCACACCGGACAGGGGTAATGAAATCCCGACAGCCCGTAAGCCCGTATTATTGGATCATCAACATGCCACTCCATTCCATGCTGAAGATGACGACACGTGAGCTTAAAAGCTCGAACGCAGCCGTCAGCGTCGGCTTCCTCCCTCGGATTCCAACCGACTCCGTCAACCTCGAGCCCCTGATCTTTCTCTGCCTTTGAAACACCCCATTTTTGGGCACTCCGGAGACTGAACATGACACTGCCTTTCACTTCGTATCGCAAGCTCGCGCTTGGCTGCCTCGTCGCCTTCGCTGCCTTTACCCTCGGCGAATCGGCCCCCGCGTCGTCCAACGAGCCCCGCGATGCCGTCATCTCAAATGCAGCCACACAGGCCGGCAAACCGGGCCCGAACCCGCTCAACAAGCTAGCTGTCACGCTGCGGCAAACCGGCTCGTCGCCCCCGACCGTGCGCGCCACCGTCACCAACAAGAACTACTTCCCCGTTACAATCGTAGCCTACCAGTCGCCCCTGGATCAGCTGGCCCTGCAACTCGGTATGCTGTCCATCACACCCGCCGGCTCCAAGACGCCGCTCGAGCTGCGGGTCGTCAAGGTCAAGCGGGTGTGGCCTCCCCCCGAAGGGTCGCTCATCGTCATCCAGCCGGGAGCGAGCGCCACCAATGACATGGTAATTCAGGAACCAACGGTCCCGATGGATAAGCTCGACAGGAAAGCCACCGTCGTCTTCAGCGGCGACTGGATCGCAGTCTGGCCCCGACCGAGGAATCAAATCAGCAAATCCGAGATTGAGAACGCGAGCGAGAGCGCCTTTTCAGGCCCCTTCTCAACACGCGCCCTTGAGATTAGGGTTAAATAGTCACATGTACCATGCCCCACCCCCCTTTCGGTAACACCCACCTTTCGGTAGCGCAATTGAAAAATTCTCCACCAAAAGTCTACCATTTGAACTACATGAAATATGATCAGAACTTAACATTATAAACACAAAAAAATATCATTCCGTAGAGAAATGGACGCTCTTATATGTACCGGCGCTTTTTTACCATTCGCCCGGATCTGGTGGTGACTGGAAGGGCTTCGGGTGCCACCTTGACTTCGATCACTGAAGCTGTCTCCACCTCTGAGACCGCCTCCTCCTCTGTGTCAGAATTCAGCACAACGGCTATCTCTTGGCTTTTAATTTGGGAATGGCTTCCTCAGCCACCAAAGCTTCACTGAGAGTCATGAACCGTCTGTTCGGGTTCGGAATTGCTCTCCTCTTCTTGCCTCTCTGCAGCCGGGCCACTTCTTCCTCTAGCTTCGCGATTCTGTTGCTGTGCTCGGCAAGCGTCTGTTCTTGGGCTTCAAAGCCTCTAGCTATCACGGCGTATCGTCTCCGGGTGCCAGGAGTCTTGTTCTTTCCGAAATCGCGAATCTGGCGGCTGTTTCTTGGCGTATCATCAGAACCCAAAATGGCGCGGACTTTGGAGACGTCTCTACAATGTCCGCGTGAATTTCTGGATGCCGCAATGCCTTGGATCGTGAGATCGGCCAATTCCCAGTGACCCTCCAGCCGGACAATATATTCTTTGCCGTCATTCCAACCTCGCGCGCTTTAGCATATGCCCGTATAAAATTGACCTTATGAACAGGCGCAGAATCGGTCAAACAGGTCAATTTCTGAAGTTCTTTCCGGTAAGCTGCCTTGGAGGCATTGAATACCCCGTTATCTAACGGCTGGAGGCCATGAGAGCAGTGGGCAGGAAGGTAACAGCAATAAACGTTGTTCAAAAGCATGTGGCCATCCATGCATCCTGGTCCCGGTTAACAGTAATTCCTACAGAGGTGGATAAAGAAACGCACCGTTGCATGACTTCCATGTCCATCTAATATGATCAGTCTAGCATCTGAGCCATCGGCTGGTCGCGTCTGGGGCAAATAGACCCTCTCAAGCCACTCAATAGCGATATGGTTGTCCGTCCATCCGTTGGGCGACGTTATGTAATGCCAGTTGGCTATTTTGCCGAATTCCGTCAAGAACCACTGTTTCTGAAGTTCTTTGCCCTTAAAGATAATGCCAGGGGTAAGGACACGGCCGTCCGCGGTGATAGCTTCAATAAATGAGGTCCAGTTGCGGGACTGTGGCCCTTTCAGAAGAGCCTTCCGTTTTGGGTCTGCACTCCCAACCACAAGACTATCCAAACCTGGCAAAAAGAGTCTGGTTAGTAAAAGTAATGAAAGACAAGCCAAATACTCACCAAAGCCAGACATAATACCGCCTTCGTCAACATTCACGGTATTTTCTGGTTTAATCCATCCATACTCCTTTTCCCTGATATCGAAGAACCAGTGAACCGCCCGAGGCGTAAAAGCATTAAATCGGTTAGCTTCCTGACGTCTCCCACGCTTGTTCTTGATGTCCGGATGGCGATTGATGAATTTAGAGACCCAGTTGCACCCCACTGTCCGCTCGTTGTTCAGTTGCTTCATAAGAGCCTCCACACATGCGCGGATCTGACTGTGGGAGGGAGCATAGCCGAGAGACTCTTGGCGGAGGATCCAAGAAACCAAGCGAGCTTCCTGAGACTTACTCAAGAGTTGACGAGGCTGGATCTGATCAGCCAGGGCTACCTGGCCTTTGAGTCTGTCGGAAATAGACTGCTGAGGTATGTCATACTTTGGGCGGCGCGGTACTGCGACAAGCCGTTTTTGTGACATCAATTATCGCATTAGCCATAATATCCTCCGTATAAATACTCCGAGGCCGCTTTAAGGTCATTTTGGTCTTGTGGTGGAGGAATAACGAGAAGAATCATCGTCAGGAGGCGGAAGGAGATTAGGGGGTTGGATGGTAATTTCGCGTGCAAGGTACGCACAGGCCACAGACCCCTGTACAAACATTCAACCATCGAAAAGTAGAATTCAATCAATCCTCTATCTACTCCAAGTGACGGCTTGTGAATATCTTCAAAGCTGGCTGGAATCGGTGTAAGTGAAATTGATGGTTTTTGGTGGGGATATTTTCTAATGCGCTACCGAAAGGTGGGTGTTACCGAAAGGGGGGTGGGGCATGGTACTACCTGTGTTTTGGGACCAACGTGCCTACGAACGTTCTTTGCTCGGAGACTATGGCAAAGCACAAGGCTGGCCTCTGAGAGCCTGTTTGTGTGTGTAAGGGGCTACGCCCCGATGTGTAGATCTGGCATGGCCAGACTAGTCACGTGCGAGCGCCACGGACACGACTCCTAAAGGGAGCGATGTAGACACGTCTCCCCTTTACACTCTTTGTAGCTCAATTTACATCAATTACGCCCAGCACCTGTGCCAACAGTGCTGACCCTGTAACATATTGAGCTACCAGTTAACAAAAGACAGGACAGACAGAAGGACAGACAGCAGGACAGACAGCAGGACAGACAGCAGGACAGACAGCAGGACAGACAGCAGGACAGTCAGCAGGACAGACAGCAAGACAGGCGATAGGCTAAACGACGAGACGGACGATCGATCGGACGACGAGACGGACGAACAAGATGGAGGACAATAGTAGTTATGCAGGGGCACCGCGACCGGCGGCGCAACGAGCCGATGGAGGGAAGGAGCAAGAGCTCTTGCAGATCTTATCTGGGATCGCGGAGACGAAGAACTGCGGAAGATGTTCACCGGGCTAGCCTAGCAGCGCCACCGTTGACACCCAGCCCGGGGTGCTCAGTACCACGGCGATCTTACCCGTCGAACCGAGGCCGGAAGCAGCCCAGGAAATGGACCGTGGCAAGAAGCGCAAGCCGATGACTTGGCCGAAGTGGAACGGTCAACCGAGTCCTTCCACTTCTACCTCGACCGTCTGGTATTTAAGTACAATACCGACGAAGAGGAGGGCCTAAACGGCAATAACAACGTCGTGTGGTACGAGATCCTGCAGACCTTGCCGGATCAGATGATGAGGAGAGTCGAGGGTTTTTGGAGGCAAGAGAGCGCGAAGGGCAACCCAGACCCCCGGAAATTCTTCTCGCACCTAGCCCAGACGTTCGGCAGCGTGCAGCAGACAGAGAGGGCGCAGGACAGGCTGCGCACCTCATTCAACGAGACAGCCAAGAGTTTGGGAAGTTCCTCCTGAATTCGAGGAAACATTGACCAAAGCGGCGGCGCGAGCTGGGATAATGCTTCCAAGCTCGCATGGCTACGGAACTCGATCTCTCCTGCTCTCCGTGAGCAACTAGTCCCGGTTATCATGCCGAAGGACTACAACGAGTACATCCAACGTCTACACCCGATTGCTTGGGCGTTCGAGCACACCGCGAAGTTTAAGGCGTTGCAGAGAAGCAGGGCTCCGCGGGCAACGTGACCAAGGGCAGGCATCAGGCATCGGCAACATCCAGGTCGCCGGTAACGACAACACCCCGGCACCGTCAGCAACGTTACCCGCCGAGCAGAACGCACGTGACGCACGCGACCATGACGGCGACGTAATAATGACGGTTACACGCACTCAGGGTCAGGGTCAGAGAGGACGGGCGAACGGCCAGGGGTCAAGTGGAACGAGCAAGACGGTTCGCTTCCAGCCTAGGTCAGGACGGAAGCAACGGGCGAGGTGGGTATCCGAGGACGAACGGAATAAACGCCGTGACGAGGGTCGTTGTCTCCGCTGCGGCGACAACACCCATTTCATTGCCGCTTGCCCCTACTCGCCAGGACAGGACCCTAGCCGGTCGAGGGATGTAAAAGTCCGCACCGCTAGGATCATGCCCTTGCTGGAAGATGATGGTAACGACTCTAGTGAGGAAGAGTCAGGACTTAGCGAGACCCCATCCTCTCGGGAAATGCGTAGCCTCGAAACAAAGACGGGTCTCGAGGCCAAAGAACGGAGCAGTGGCAAAAGAAGAGAAGTTCTCAGGAAAAATGGAAGTTGGTCCTACAATAATTCGAAGCATTATCAATAGGACCAATCTCTTCTCCTCACTCGTAGACGAGGGATGCCAGTGCTACGCCGCGGTTGACGAAGAAGTCGTCGAGAAGTTGGAAGTTCCTATAGTGGAAATAGCACCGCGAGCTATTACAGGAGCATCAGGGGCAATGGAAGGAGCAACGATTAGGGGCCTCGTATGGCTATCAATGGAGGTCAACGGCCACATACAGACGATCTGTGCCTACGTGGTGCCCCGATTGGAATTCCCCCTAATCCTAGGAAAACCCTGGTTATGCCACACAAAGTCGTACTCAGTGCCCCACGAGAAACGACTATGGCATGAACCTACACAAGACTGGGTAGATCACCTCGGGAAGGAGAATATTCTGCGAAAGCCAAGGAGTTCGAAGAAGCAAAGCACGTACTAGCCAGTACCTTTGTGGGTTACTTTGAAAGGATCCGCAAGCAGGAAGGAAGAGAGGCAGCTGCCACGGCGATTTTCGCTATCAGCATGAAGGATATCGAAAGGGCGTTATCACCAAAGAAACCCATGTCAGAAGCAGAGCTACGCCGAACGATACCCCAGCGGTTCCACGATTTACTGCCTCTATTTATGAAGAAGGAAGCTGATAAGCTGAATCCTCATAAGCCAGGCATAGACCACGAAATCAGAATCAAGGAGGACCCGAATGGCCAGCAGTTACCACTACCGTATGGAGCACTATACGGTATGTCACGAGAGGAACTCCTGGTTCTTAAGAAGACTCTACGAGACCTAGTGGATAAAGGATTTATCCGTGCAAGCAGTTCAGAAGCAGCAGCTCCAGTCCTGTTTGTGAGGAAACCAGGTGGCGGGCTGCGATTCTGTTGTGACTACAGAGCGTTGAACGCAATCACTAAGTCGGACCGTTACCCCTTCCTCTAATAGGGACACACTTCGCAACCTAAAAGATGCGAAGTGGTTCACTAAGGTCGACGTGGTACAAGCGTTCCATAAAGTACGGGTTGCAGAAGGAGACGAGTGGAAGACAGCGTTCCGCACCCGGTACGGTCTCTTCGAATGGATGGTTACCCGTTCGGGCTAAGTGGCGCGCCAGCAACCTTCCAGCGGTATATTAACGGTATCCTACGAGACTACCTCGACGAGTTCGCCTCTGCTTATATGGACGATATACTTATCTATTCGAGCGGGAGCAGAGAAGACCATTTCCGGAAGGTACGGTTAATTAGTTTTAGAACGCCTCGCCGAGCATGGACTACACCTAGACCCGGAGAAATGCGAATTTGGAGTCAAGCGGATTAAGTACCTAGGATTCATTATTCACGCAGGAATTGGCATTCAGGCAGATCCCGACAAGATACGAGCAATAGTCGAGTGGGCAGTCCCCGTTACCCAGAAGGGGTTGCGCAGTTTTCTAGGATTCGTTAACTACTACCGGATATTTATACCGCAAGCCTCGGAAATAACTGCACCCCTAACAGCACTAACAGGAAAGGGGACTAAGTTCAAGTGGACGGACGAGCACGATATGGCGTTCCAGACACTAAAGACGCTATTTACGAACGCCCTATTCTTACTCAATGGGATTTCGAGAGGCCAACCTTCGTAGAAGCAGACTGTAGCGGCTGGGCGCTTGGGGCACACTTACGCAGGAAGTCGACGGACAACGCAAGCCAGTAGCGTTCCACTCGCAGAAGCTATCACCGGCTGAGCGCAACTACCCAACCCATGATAAGGAAATGCTCGCTATTATTCGTTGTCTCGAACAATGGTCAGCCGAGCTACGAAGCTGTGATAACTTCGTTATCCTTACCGACCATAAGAACCTCGAGTATTTCATGACGCGCCAACAGCTCTCGGAAAGGCAGGCACGTTGGGCTGAATATCTCTCGCGTTTTAACTTCCAGCTCCAGTACCGTCCGGGACGGGAAGCAGTGGTGCCAGACGCGCTCTCTCGCGAACAGGACCGACCAAACGAAGCGGATCACGAAGCACGAGATATGCAGCTTATTCCAGAAGCAGCCCTACGTACCTACGTCGGAGTAACGTCGACTCAAGCGGGAGAAGGCGAAGAAGAACACACGATTTTCCACGACCCAGAGCTACAACAATTATGGCAGCAAACGGCAAACCAGGATCCAGTCTTTACAAGCGTTTATAACGCGGTACGAAACGGATCTCGGTCCCTCGACCCCAAGCTTAAGCTGAAGGTACAAGTCGCCGAGTGCTTTATTGATCCTCGGGGGCACCTACGACTACGTGGCCGCTTATGGGTGCCAGGCGCACCGATCACGACAGAAGCAGCAGCCAAGGCAGCACCGCTAGAGCAGGAGTCGCTAAACGAATTACGGGCTCCTTAATCCAGAAGGTTCATGACTCCCATGTAGTAGGCCACCCGGGACGGAAGGGACGATAGAAGCCGTATCCAGGGACTTCTACTGGCCGCTAATGCAACAGCATATCCGACGTTTCTTGCGTAACTGCGATGTCTGCGGCCGTACGAAGATATGGCGCGAGCATAAAGGGGTCTACTTAGACCGCTACCCGTACCGGACCGCTTCTTCCGCCAGATACAGATGGACTTTATTACGGACCTCCCCTTGCGAACGGTAACCGCTGCCTCTGGGTTATCAAGGACCGGCTAAGTAAGGAAGTTATACTCGAACCGATGCCAACGATGGAAGCGGAAGCATGTGCAGAGCGTTTTCTATGGTGCTTCGCCCGCTACCACTGGTGGCCCGACACTATAACGAGCGATAGGGGCTCGAATTGGGTAGGCCGCTTTTGGAGGCACATGTGCAAGTTACTGGGGATCGACCAGCAGCTAAGCACGGCGTACCACCCCCAAACCGACGGAGGCCCTGAGAGGATGAACCAAGAAGTACAGGCATACCTCCGCGCCGTGATTAACCAGAACCAGAACGACTGGGATAAGTGGGTTCCCGCGGCTCAGATGGCGTTAAACGGTCGGGTCAATACCTCTAGGGATGTCCCCATTCTTCGCTATACACGGCTATGAGCCGAAGTCACCAGTTCCTCGTTACGGAAGCATATGCGGAAGAGTATCCTCAGCATTCGCCAGAAACCAGGGCAAAGAAATTTGTTACCAAACTACAACAGATTACGGACCTCTGCCAAGCATCAATGGCGACAGCTACGCAGCAACAAGAACGCTTCGCTAACAGACGACGGAACGCGGCAGAACGCTTCGAAGTAGGCGATAAGGTTTGGCTTGACTTACGGAACTACGCGTCAGAGCGACCTAAGAAGAAGTTCGACTGGCTGCACGCTAAGTATACGATAAGCAAGGTACTCGACCCGTACACGGTTGAACTAGCAGACCTCCCGAGGGCTGCTATAATAGGTTCCACGTCGACCAACTCCGGAGAGCGGGGACGGACCCAATGCCTGGTCAGCAACGCACAGACGCTCAACCCCATCTATCCAAGTAGACGGGAGGCTCACCAAGTAGTAGAGGAAATACTATGCGCTAGGTGGAAGAGAACCGGCCGCGGCCGTAGGCGGGAAGTCCTTGTACGCTGGCAAGGTTGGCAAGACCCGACCTGGACCTCTTTAGACAATATGCAACAGACAGCGGCCTTGGATAAGTACGAACAGAGATACGGCCCGGCTCTCGAAAACGATGGACCATACCAGCACCGACGAGTGGCAACGGAAGCACAGCCGGCCCAAATCCAGGGGCAAGTCGAAGGAATACAACCACAGCTGCAGATACAGGGCAAGAGAATACGCGGACCACTACGGGCTAGGACTAATGGCGACGCCCCGTCGATAGTAACGGCACCAGACCCTATAGACGACGGCCCTACGATCGTTGTAGAGGGGACCAGGAACAGGAAAAAGGGCACCAGCGCCAGAGAGGAGTAGGGGGCTAATGTAAGGGGCTACGCCCCGATGTGTAGATCTGGCATGGCCAGACTAGTCACGTGCGAGCGCCACGGACACGACTCCTAAAGGGAGCGATGTAGACACGTCTCCCCTTTACACTCTTTGTAGCTCAATTTACATCAATTACGCCCAGCACCTGTGCCAACAGTGCTGACCCCGTAACAGTGTGGGCTTTCACGAGTAGGGGTATGTCAAAGTACGCCTCTGGTAGTAGTAACTTGCACCGGCAGAAAGGGTCAGGGCAGCTAGATCAGTACCAAATAGCAAGTGCCAATACCGGGCACTGCTCTATGACGTGCATGTGACCAGATTATCACGACCAGGTATAATGCAAAGGTCTGGTGCTTCGGTCGGCGTACCAAAACTGTCCATCTCGCAGATTACCGAACTCCCGACTTAACATTATTCCATGCCTTGCAAGTATGTGTGGGAAGCCATCTGAACTAACCCTGTGACCTATAATGTATGTTGGCAGTTTGCGATTGGGCCTTGTTGTCGTACAAGGTTCACCACCAATCAAATCAATAGAAACACGTCGTTGCTCCTTCGCTCCAAGGCTCACACTATGGCAGAAGACGAGCAAAAAGCCACTGTGGAATTCCAAGAACGCGGGCGATACCAATATTGGGCTTCACCAAGTCTTAGTCAAAGTATTTAGAGAGTCTCGTTGATTTCATAGCAACACGAAGTAAAGACTGTATGTACATGTAAAAAGAACATGGACTCGTGAATCACTCTTCCCCGACAGATCCACGGCAACCTCGCCTTCCCTGCGTCCAAAGTTGGCGTTTGATTTCCGAAGGGCCTGTCTTGTAGGCGGCATCAAGTGCTATCGCACCATTTAAAGAAGTTTGAGGCAGTTCAGCGCAACGACATTGATAAGAGTGCCCTGATGGACACATTAGCCGGGGGCTCGCCGCAACGAGTTCCCGCACATTGGAGGGATGTGGAGATCATTCTTACAGCAGGGGCATCTGTCGTGCAGCAGTAGGCGCTGTTGTTGCAGTTTTCTCCGACAACTGCAACGAGGCAGTTGAGAAGTCCGGTGCAGCAGACTTGCTTCTGGCCGCTGGCGGAGCAGGTGGTGCCGCCGCCGCCGCTGCCGCCGCCGTTGCCGGGGCCACCGCGAGCCTCGAGCTCGGTGGGGACGGCGATGGCAGTGGCGGCCAGGGCAAGAACGGAGAAGGCAGCGGTGTTGATGCATTTTGCATATGGATGAGATGAAGTGGGATCGATGTCTCTCCAACTAAGCTATGACTGCCTCATCCTTATGTAGGAGGCAGCCAGGTCGGACTATCTAGGTGATCCGGCCGGTTTACAAGGCAGCCACATACCGATGCCTGTTCACACGGCTGCCTGTTTCACACGGCTGCCTGTTTCACACGGCTGCCTGTTCACACGGCTGCCTGTTCACATGGCTGTGCGTGCGGCAGCCGGTGTCCTTGATGCTTGGTGCCGTGCCCAACGCTCCAGTGTGCGTAGGGACACGCAAAACGCATCATAATGCCGGCCTCAAAAGAAAACTCCACTGTCCTCAGTGACTGCCTCAACAAAGGCTACATGTCAGAACTTTCCGATCGTCCCTTTGCTTTGCTGTTGCGAACCACTCGCGGTCCCGTCGTCTGCCCGTGGAACTCATCCAGGGCCTTTGACGATATCTCTTCCTTCCTGACCCACTGATCATGCATGCTGCCCCATCCTTTCCAGTGGACCAAGTACTCCGTGACGGGCTTCCTGTTTCTTCCAATCTTCCTGACCCGTACGTCCAGAAGCTTGTCAACTTCGTAGAATTCGCCTTCCTGGTCCGTAAAGTCCTTTGTGACTTCTACTGGTCCGGGGTGAGCTTCTTCAAAGCAGCCTTCGTGAGCTGGCTTGAGGTGGTGTATTGAGATCACTGGGTGGACCTTAATTTGCTCTGGAAGGTCCAATTCACAGGCCAGGTCTCCAACCATCCTTCTGATCACAAAGGGGCCTTCCCGCTGTTGTGACCACTTCTTGGGCGGCCTGCCTGGCTGGTGATATCCCTGATGAAGCTTGAGATATACCTTGTCTCCAGCCTTGAGATGGATAGGTCGGTGTTTGGCATCGTACCAACGCTTGGCCTTCATCGCTGCAAGGTCCATAGCTAGGCTGGCCTGCTTACGCAAGGCTTCCTTGATGTAGGGCAATTCGTCTGCCTCTGCGCTGGCTGTGCGATCAACAGCCTCCAGGGGCCCTTTCAGGGGGAATCCGTACATTAGTTCATGGGCTGAGGTCTTCGTGCTGGTGTTGTAGGCTGTGTTTAGATGCCACTGCAGCGAAGGAATAAGGGTCTTCCAGTCAAGGTTGGGGTCCTCAATATAGGCCAGTCGCAACGCTGTTTCCACTGTTTGATTGCGCCGCTCGGCCAAGCCGTCCGCCTGCGGATGATATGCCGTTGTCATGCTGATTCTGGTGCCAAAGGCCTTCCAGAGCCCTTGCCAGAAAGCAGAGGTGAATTTGCGGTCTCTGTCACTGACTATCGTGCGCGGCATGCCCCAATCACATAGCATGAGCTGCCTAGCTAGGGAGGCTGCCCAGTCCTTGGCGCTATACTTTGCATTGCCTGGAATCAGTAGGCATCGCTTGCTAGCTAAGCAAGTGACTGTAAGTAATTGATTAAAGGCATTAAAGCCTTCAATATGCCAGGGTGAGCCCATAGCTGAGACGGCAGGCATGTCTGTGATAAAGTCCATTGCAATTGACTGCATTGGAAGCATTGGGGGTCGATTGGGCAGATAGCTTCCAGCAAGCTGTTGTCGATCAGTCTGTCCAAGGCAGCAAGCTTTGCACTTGGCGATGTGCTTTTTCGCTTGCCAAGTGACGTTCCTGATTGAATAGGTTTCCAGCTCCTTGAGCATTCTCACAACGCCAAAGTGGTGCTTATCATCGTGTGCCATTTGCATCAATTCGTGCGTGAGGCTTGCGGGCACGCAGAGACGAACATATCCATCCTTTCCTTCGTGATATAACAGGCCCTGGTCCACGAAAAAGGGAATTCCTCTGCGCTTGATTTTCGCGATTTCTGGGGCCCTAGAAGCTTTGACAGTGTTCTCACTGTCCTGGATCATTTGAAGGATCTTGCGATAATGGGTATCAGCCTGATAGCCTTCTTTGAATTTGATGCGGTATGCTGGATCCATGATGGCCTCAGACGCAAGGAGCACATCGTCAAGCGCTGTGTAGTCAGGTCGTTGTCGCTCGATCAATTGGTCGGTCTCAGGGGCTGACAGCCTGCTTAAGGCATCAGGGATGAAATTGATTTTCCCTGGAAGATGATCAACCTGCAATTCGTACTGAGAGAGATAGATGGAGGCTACTACTAGCCGTCTGTTTGCTCTGTCCGTGCTTGAAGTGTCGAGGGAGGTCTTATTGACGATCTGCTGTGTGGCTGAATGGTCCGTAAGCACGATTAAGGGCTTCGTTGACGATTGGACCACTGTGCGCATCTTTTTGATATTAGCCCAGACTAGGCAGGCCACTTCTAATTCCGACGGACCATATGATCTCTCTGCGTTGGTGAGGGTGCGGCTGAGAAAAGCTATAGGTTGCATCGCTGTTGAGGAAATAGCTTGGCCAGGCTTCCATTCGTAACCTTCTTTAAGGTGGAAGTAGGTACAGGCAAATCCTCGTTGCAAGGACCCGTCAACTTGACAGAACAGTTGCCTGCTTGGGTCCATATGGTGGATCATCCTGCCGGAGGCTACTTCCTTTTGGATAGCTTCAAATGCCAACCGCTCCTTTTCATTAGGCTCGAATTTGGTGTTCCTCGCAAAGGCACGGCGTTTGTTGATGTTACCTTGCTGAATTTTGCCAATTTCTCGTCCTTGGGCCAGTAATTGAGTTTTCCGGCGCTGCAATGGCTCAATGAGGGCTCCATAGTACGGTAAGAGATGCCGTATGTAGCCTGTTGCTCCAATGTAGCTTTCCAACGCAGATAGCTGGTCTGGAAATTCCAGCTTTGCAAAGGCTACCAGCCTGTGTTCCGTTGTGCTCATTCCAAAGGCATCAACGCTGAAGCCAAGGAGCTGCACAGAGGGATACCCAATCCAGCTTTTCTTTGGCGACATCGTGAGGTTAAAACGCTCGAATAGCTGGAAGATCTTGCTAAGGTGCTGTAAGTGCTCCTTTTCCGTTTTCGAATAGATCACAACGTCGTCAATAAACGCTCTGCAAAACCCCTTATATGGTCGAAGCACTCGATCCATATAGCGCTGGGCGTAGGCCGGGCTATTGCAGAAGCCAATTGGTGCAACAGTCAGTCTTTCCAGTCCTCTATGGCTCGTGAGGGTAAAACGATCACGATGTTCGAGTTTGACTCGGAATTGATGGTAAAAGGACGATGCGTCGATTGCTGTAATATACTGTGCGCCTCGAAGCTCTTGAATGATGTCTTCTTGCAATGGCAAGGGATAGCTGTCTGGCATGGTGACCTTATTAAGAGCTCGCAAATCGATGACGACCCTGCCCTTGGTTTCTCCTCGGGCTGTTCGCCACACAACGAAGACGGGGGCTGCAAAAGGGGTTGGCCCGTGCACGTACTCCATGCGTCCTTGTGCGTGGAGCTTGTCATGGGTTTCATCAATGACCTGTTTGTCTCGTAATCCCTGAGGATAGGGGCGTTGAGCCACCTTGTGCGTGTGCCAATCCTTGATAAGGGGAACTGTGAGCTCGTGGCCTGCTTCGACTTCAGCTGTGCCCGAGTCTTTCCATAGTTTGGCGTGTTTTTCAACGAGGGCTTTGATCTTGGTCACGAAGCTGCCTTTTTGCGCATAGATGTGAATTCCGTCGTCAGTGCATACCTCTGGGAGCTCTGGCGTGCGTTGAACGTGCGTTTGATACGGAATTCGGGTCTCGGGAGCAAGGTCAGGAGTATCGGCTGTTGCTGCTGCACTAAGCTGGGTGCTTGTGACGTGGAGCTCCTTTCTTGTTGTTGACCAAGGCTGGCTGTCGTTGCTGGCTGCTGTTGTGTACGCGTACAAAGCTTCTGATAAGCTTGTAATCGATTCTGCGGTTGCTGCTAGAACAGGGGTTTCCTCCGGGGTGAAAGTCCCGTCAGCTATTGCGATAATATCGTCTGAGAGGTGGAAGGTGCTGTTGATAGCAAGATCATACGATGCATGGCTCTGGGGAGCACTTTCAATCGTCATTGCAGAAGTTGCTGGGGCCAAGGCCGCTGTTGGAGCTGCTCTTGCCGCTGTGGCAGCGTGGCTATTGTCAAAGCTGTCAGAGCTGATTTCCATGAGGCTGCAGCGAAGTAGCCCGATTCCTCGCATTCTTTGATCTGCCCTAGGCGCTGTTTGCGGTTCACGATGATATCTTGGTTCGTAGTGTTCGTGAACATGACCGCCGGGACAGTGTTTCGGTCAACGAGAGCATGAGCGGCCAAGGGATGATTGGAATGAAAAGCGAAGGAACGGCCTTTAGGGACTTCCTTCCAGTTAGCTGGGACTAGCATTGTCTTGCCTGCCGGGACCACGGTTTTTCTGACGGCCTGAACGCGTCGGACTACCCCTTTATGAGGCTTATAGATGTTAAAAGGGATACCGAAGTCGTCGAGGAGGCCTATTTGAACGACTTCCTTGTCGTAGTGGATGTTTCCAACATACGGCTTGAGGAAGGCATTGCCTAGCAAGGCTCCTGGTTCCACGGTAGTCACCCAAGCGGAACTGGTGAATTTAGCTATGCCGGCGCTGCTACCGTCAGCCCTCTTTCCTTCTGCATAGAAGGAGAACGTGGCCCAGTCTGTGCAGCGGACACTGCCGCTGATGCCTGCAATTGGAGTTGGAGGCTTCTTCTCAATGGTGTGCTCGAAGCTCTTGAGAAGCTTTCTGTCAATCAGGGGGTTGCCACATCCGGAATCCGCACAGACCTCGGTCTCTGGTCCTGTGGGAGCTGCCTTGATTTTGATGCGAAGATATGAGTAGCCGAAAGGGGCATCGTGCGATGGCGGCTCGAGCGGCTGTGGCTCGAGGATTTCCTGCGATAGCGCTCGCGACTGTTCCCAAAGATACTGGGCTTTCTGGGGAGGAATTGGATTGTGCTGCTCTACGGCTTTATATGCCTCTCCATTTGAGTGGGCCTTGGGCTGTCACACGCAGTCAGGAAGGTGCCTGAAGAGTGCATTGCGTGAGGGAAATCGGGCGTAGCATTTCCCACATAACGAAGGTCTTGCTGGGGTCGCCTCCTGCTGGAGCTGTTGAGCAGACACACAGCAGCGTGCTTGTGTGTGCTCAAATAACACACTGCGGGAGGAACTTGCGGTTACACTTCCGGCATTGGTGGTTTCCTTGTTGTCCAAGATTCTCAGGAGTTGAGGTCATACAGACGTAGTATTCCTCGATAGAAGCGTCTGATCCTACATCACTGGCTTCATCGTCGTCGGAAATGGCGGTTTTCTTGTCGTCTGGAGCATCTTGCTTGTTTTCGTCCTCGCTGGCAAGGTAATTTTTCTCAAAGCGGACCTTTTTCTCATAGCTGCCGCTTCGCTCATTGAGCTGAGGATCTTTGGGGCGGTTCTCTCGCCTTTCCTTGGCCCGTGAGTCGCTGCTGGGGTTGCTGCGGTCTCTGCGGTCAAGGCCTCGATCGCGTTGGTAGTGATCTCGCTGATAGCTGCGGTCGCGGTCGTGGCTATCGTTCCTAAAGCTGCGATCACGATCACGACTACGATCACGACTTTGGTAGTTGCGGTCACGGTCACGGCCTTGGGGGCGTTCATCGTATCTGCCGCGAAATTCCAATGCTGCGGAGATCAGGGGTCGGCGTTCCTCGATTTCTCGTACCCACTTATCAATTGGCGTGCGTTTAGTGGGCACAGAGAGGTGAGTAGCGATTTGGACCGCAATCAAGGGGTGGATGCTTTGGATGATTTGGTAGTCCTTTTCGATGTTGATTTGCCTTGCTAGGGAGACTTTCCGTTGAATCCATTGAGGCAAGGAGACTTCACCAGCATTCCACATTGACACGGTATACGGAATGCCGTGTAATTCCTTGAGACCTCTGCTGCTGGGCGTTGGAATCGCTTGATGAGCATTTTACAGAAACGCTCTACTGATGACTTCATAAGGCGATCCTTCTGCTCGATGGAAAGTTCATTCATGAACCACTGTAGAGCTCCGCCGGCAAGGAAAGACATATAGTGCTGCGACAAGGCGTAGGAGTCGAGATCCTTGTACATTCGCAGGCGCTCACAGAAGAGATACACATCCGTGTACACATTGCTGCCGCTTGAGAGGGACACAAGGCCTTGTTTATGAGGATCCTTGTGATTGGGGTTGAAAACACCCATGTTGTCACGTTTGAGCCTCTTGGCAACAGCTTCCACATCACTAGAGGTTTGAAAGGTCTGTGTGGTAGGGAGAGAGGCGCTCCGGCGGCTGTGAGCGTATCCAATGCCAATGCTGCT